CTTGATTACCAGGTATAAGATTGGGTGGACACAAGTCAAGATGCAGCTTTTGAAAGTGATAATAATGGAAGGGAGAAGATGAAGACTGAGATGAGAAGGTAAAAAGACTGGAAGAATGACATAAAATGAAAAAGAAAAGGTTGAAAGAAAAATATCCAATTGAAATTTTACTTTTTCTCTGCCTATCAGATAAACTTCCATGCTTTATTAAATTAAGCTCATCTTTAGGATATTATTTTATCATTTTTATCATTTTCTTGTTTTCATTTCATTTTTACAAAAATTCAATTTCAACCTTTTCCTCCTCATCAAGCTATTTTTAGACGCCATTGGGTTAACGAGAAACCAAAACTCATTTCTAGTTTTCAACATTCAATTCATGATGATTGTTGCTGAGTAGTTAAACCATTAAACAGTTGAAAAATTGTAATCAATTAAGGATACAATTTTAATAGCATAATCAACCTGAAAAGGTGCGCAAAAGGCAATAACTGAATCAAACTGGAAACGTATTTTGAGTGAAACGCAATTAGGATCAACTAGTCACAATTTGATATCTTTATTGGTCTTCGAGTGGATATAAAATTGCATTTTAAACATAGAAGAGAAGCTTCAGAGAAAAGGAGGAACAGAGGAAAGCATCAACAGGGTGATCATGATAATAAAACGAGTAGTTTAAACATTACCTTGATTAAAGGTGAAAAGGTAGGTCGATCACTGGGAGGATCTGGAATACTACGGAAGAGTAATGATGTGGAAGCGTGTATATCACAAAGATTTTAGCTTCTCTCTTTACTCTCGCCATCATTATCATCATCATCTCTTTACTAATTTACTTTCCAAGAAGAGTTGATGGAAATAAGTTCAAGGAAAAAAAGGTAGTTCTACTCGAGTAGATAGATAGTTTTACGAGTTAAAAATAGAACCCAATGGAAACCTTTGCCTTTTACTCGTTCCTCTAGAAAGTGATTTATTGTTGATCAAGTTAATTGAATAAATTTTAACACTTCAAGTTTACGTCTTGAAACTGCTCAAAGCACAATTATCTTGTTGACCAAACATTTCATGATTTCTTAATCTCAATCTATGGTAATTTTTTCTTTTACTTTTTTTCCTTTCTTTCTCAATTCATGCTTCTGTAACTTCTCATGAATTTTTATTTCACCTCATGGTAGCTGAGCTTTTCAATTTAACTTTCAATTGCTTCAGTTTAAACTGTTTTTTGCTCGTTGCTCAACTAATCATCCTGTTCATGAAACCCACAGATTTAAAAGACAATTGAAGCAAAAATATTTTGACTCAATTTCAAAGTCAGATTTGCTCTTGAAACCTTTCATTTGTTTCATTCAAAAACATTGGATTGCTTTAAGTAACAACAAACGCATTATAATAAAAGGTCAATGTAAATATTTTGATCAATACGATAACCTTATAATTTGAACAGTTTTCAATGACTTTAACTTAAGTTGACAAAACCAGAAAATTCTCATTTTTCTTGAAACGAAAATTTATTAGAAATCAGTTAAATTATAAAACTTGTGACAATGCATTGATTCTTGAGACAGGTGAAGTTCCAAGTGTGATTCAAGTGAAACTGCACTTGGAACGGAACTTCATTCTTACGCATTTCAGTGCGAGAAATGCGCACTGAAATTGGCAAGGTGATATTTGGGCGAGAAAGTCAATCAAAATTTATCTTCACCTGTTTATCAAAGGTCTTGAAATATTCCATTGATGCATCCATACATGGGATCGAATCTGAGAAATGTTAAACTTTCAGAGAATCATAAACTAATTGCCTAAAATCTTACATAGACTCAACTTTCCCAAAGCAATAAAAAGCAAAGTAAATAAGATATAAATACATATCTGTGTAACATGAAGCAAACAGAAAAACCAGAATCTTTGAGCTGATTGATTATGTGGTAAAGGAAAGTACATTTGAAAACAAATGAAATAAAGATGGTAAAGAATGGAGTAAATATTGTTACAAGAAAAAGTACAAAGTAAAATGTAAAATCACGAAGTGCATATTTAATCAGATAATGGAGTAATCAATGAATGAAAACATTACATTTGTTAGACAATAATCAGAGTGAAAATGATTTAGACCTGAAAATACAGAAGCTTTTTCTGGTTAATTGTTTACTGCTTTTTTGCTGTGTTTGCAAGTGTTTCCAATCATTTAGTGTTATTGTGTGAATGACAGTTCACATATTTCCTTCAAATCTCTTCATTTCTCTTCATTCAATTACAATTTCACTGAACATTATTGATCTTTCTTCTTCTTATTCTGCTGATGATTCAACAAAGATATAAAATCAAGTTAAATGGAGGAAACAAAATGAATAACTTTCTTTCAAATTGACAACTTAAATGAAGCTTCCATGAAAAGCAATGAACAGAAGAAACATTTGAAAGGCAATCATAATCATCATTGAAGATCAATAAATAGCTCCATGTGATAAATTGATGAACACAGAAATGAATACAATTTGATAGCAATTTTGACGTGAACAAACAAAAGGTTCAACATTTGAATTATGAGCTTAATCAGTAAATTGGTTGAAAACAATGAGAAATGATTCCAACAATTATATCCTTCAACTGAAGATCAAAACGCAAATTCTTGATATTTTCAAATTTGCTGCTAATTTTGTATTTAAATTTTGTCTTTTCATAATTTTTCACACTTGAGTTTTGGTCTTTTATGAATTTTTATGATCAATTTATTTACTTTTAACCCACATTTTAATTAGAAACACTTTTTATTGTAAAATTTAATTTACTTTATCATTGATTGTAGATGGGTTTATAAGAGTTTCAAGTAGAGCTCATCAAAATGGAATTTGCTACTTGACTTTCATGACAATTCAAATCGATATCAGGAAAGGAATAAAGGAAAATCAATACTTTGCTAGATTTTCATTTAATGCTTTTCCATCAATTTTATTAGATGGAGAAAAAATTGAAACAAACAGCTGAAGGAGTGAAATAATTGTCAACAATCAGTTTTTCACCATCATTTATATTAGTTTGTCAGTTAACCAACACCAAATAATCAGACTAACCCAGTTAACTTTTAATTCAAGTTGCAAAAAAAAGGTTAAGTGAGTTCAACTCAGCATTAAGGGGAAACTCAGTTTAAGTATTAATTTGCTAATTGCATTTGCTTTGTGTTTTGGGTGAAAAAACATTGAATAATTATGATCTTCTTTACCCATATTTGACCTAAAAACATTGAGTATCGAGATGTTTCAAGTAATCATTGAGTTGGTTTATCAAGTGTGATATCAAGAAGCATAAAGACGATGATAAATCAACATCATTGCCTACTATTAGAAAGGTTGATTGTGAGGAATTAACAAATTGTAAATGAAAGGGCAACAATGGAAAACGTTTTTTATGAAGTTAATTAATTACAATCTAACAATATCTAGGTTAAATAGGATTCACTTGAAAAATGAACCATTTTTTGGGTAAGTTGAACATGAAACGGTGAAAGTCATTTCTGTTTTTTTCACTTTTCACTTTTGAAAACATTATTCAACATCTTCATGGCAACATGACACTTGTTTGGAGGAAAGGTCACAAAGGATACATTAAGTTGATCAAGTAAATAATGAAAATTAATCAGAGGAGAGAAAAAAACATTAAAAAGTAATTGCAATTCATTGATATTTAAGGCTTTTTTCAATTACAATTCTTGAGACTTTGAAGCCATTTCTAGGTAACCGGGTAAATCTGGTATTACACCTGACAGAAGAATAGACTTGAACAATAATTGAATGTTAATCATGTTACATGTGTCAGCATAGCGATTGAAAGAAAGATTTTGAGTCAAGTTGAGATAATTTACTTGATTGTTACCTTAATGATTTCACTGTAATCAAGAATAGTGATTTAGCTGAATCTGGATTGTCATGATAACAAGTGATGATCATGATGAAAGAGAGTGAAGGAAAATTTGTAAAGGTTATCATGAAAAAAGGTGAATGTGTGAAAATGAACATAAATGTTGATAATAATTATAATGATGGAAATAACGATCATCAAGATGATGATGTAAAACGAAAGTTGATTCAAGAGTAAGTTGAAGACTTGATTTTCAAATAGCTTCAACTTACGATTGTGACCCATTTTTATCCTTTAAACAACAGTAAACTCATCTTTATTTCAGATTATTAATCATGTTATTGAATGAACATTAACATGATAAAAGTCTGCTCATGATAAAAGTACAGTTTTACCGAAGTCTTGCCATAAACACATTTTTGTTGACTAACCAACAATGGCAACTGCATCGTGACTCAATCAACAAAAGGTCACAAAAGGATATTAAAATTTGCAACAATTTAAAATCCTAATGTTGCTGGAAAAATATACATTTTGAAAAACTTTTACTTCTGTAATTAATATTCATTTTTACATTCATTTTAGCCCATTTAATTAGGGTTGTTGGTATCAACAAACATTACAGGTTGCCTCTAAGTTGGCTAAAATGCTATGTCTATGGGAAGAAGTTAATTTTTTGTTGTTTCATCAACATCATCATCATTATCATCTTCATTAAACAACTACAGCTTAAGAGGAAGATAATGATGTATCAAAATAAGAAAAGTTAATGATAATTTTACTGGCATGATTAAGGTCATTAAACTTGGGTCAGTATAAAAACAAAAGTAAAAGCATTCACATTTAATTATATTTTTGTTGTGTGCAGTTGATTGTTGGAATTGATTAAAAAGAAGAAGAGAAAAAATTGTATAATGTATTGAAGGTATGATTGGGTTAACGGTTGCGGGTTTAATCCGTGATTTAAGGTTAATCAGGAATAAGAGTGTAAACAAAAGGTTTTACTTTTAGGTTTGAAAGTAAAGTTCAATGAAGACATAATGATTGGTGTAATATTGACAAATGATGTTGAAAAAGGTAAATAGAAAAAGAATGGAAAAAGAATGGAAAAAGAATAGAAAAAGGAAAATGTGTGATAAACTTACCTCAGCAATGAAAACAACTATTAAAGCTTCTTCCCTTTCGGATGGGTTAATGTTGTCAATGATGTTACGAAGAGTTTGAACTAAATATGATTGAACAGGACGCTTGACTGTTGGTATACCAAGAACTAGGTTAACACCGGTTCGTCCATTGGGATAACGTGCAGAGGCTCGACGGAAAGCTGGTGTCAATGGGTCCGGGTTTTTGAGAAGATGGGGCAAAAAATGGACTAGTGTGGGAAGTTCAATTTGATCCGAGGAAACTGAATGACTTTGGTAGGGAATATCCAGTCCGGTTGGACTTCCATAATTATTTTGATCTCGATGGTTTAATGTTTCATACGATCGGGTGTCGTTGTTGGACACGGATCTTATTGTTTCCCTTAAATAGTTGACTTCAATTTTACGCTGTTGGTTAAGCATTTCCACATGGTTTAACTTTTCTCTCAGTTCGATCAATTGTTGGGTTAATATGGCTTCTTTGGAGGGTCCAGAGATTGATCGATCAATTGATATGTCCCCCGTGAAAAGGACCAATATGGTTAAAGCTGGTATTAAGGCAAGTAATACGCTGAAATAGATGAATTTAAGTCGATGACCACCACGAAGTTTCATCTCAACAATAACCTTTGACTGAAATTAGAGGGTTCCAGGGGTGAAACTGAGCTGTACTTTAAATTGGGATGATTGGGTAAAGAGAGGATATTTCCAATTGTTATGTTGGTCATCAAGTTTAAGGCTTGACTTTGATCTGGATTGGTCGAAAAAAACTGGTCAGGAATAATAGAAGGATTAAATACAAGGTTTGAAATGTATATCCATTTTCTCGGTGGTATTTTGACAAACAGGATTATTAGTGATGATCCGGGTTTAGATGATGGTGAAGGTTGACTTTTTGAATCACACTAGATTGGGTTTTACTTTTGAGTTAGTGTATGATGAAGAGTTCAAAGTGAAAGACACTAGGATAAGGAAAAATCAATGGCACTTGAATTAGATAGTGAAATGACTCAATTTTTGGGTTACATGTAATGAGTTGGAAACAACATGGAATAATTAAAATACTGGAAACAACGTAGAGTGAAAAGAGATTGAATAAAAGGCCAGAAGAATGAACTAGAAGTAGAATGAGTGGTTGATGGAAAAAATGGGTTTGAATAGGACGAATTTTGCTGATGGATTTAAATGAAATGATAAAGACGAACAATGGATTGGCATGAAAAGTATAAGGTCGCAATCAGTGTGACGTTTTTTTCCAATTTTATTCCAGTGTAACAATAATTTATCTTGTTGTCATTGGTTAAAGTTGATAAAAATCACTAGATAGTTGATTGATTTGAAGGTTGTGATGGTGACAGAATAACGGAAACAAATATGAAGAGTTGGTAATGCACAAAGCACATGATAGAACTGTTTCGGTGCAGGTTACAGTTTAAATTGTAATCTATTGTGTGTTGATGGTTGCTGTAACAGTAGAGATGACTGGGATGATGAAAGGGAAGAAGAAGACGAAAAAATTGAAGAACCAAGAAATAGAATTAGAAAGTGATTCTTGCGTTATTGTGATGATGATGATGACAATCTGGTTGAACCATTGATTAAATGAAAACTTATCGAGTGTTGGCGATGAGGAAAACAGCAACAAAATATTAATAGATGAGAGACAGCATGGAGATAATGTTAGATAACTTATTTTATCTTGAATCAGAATTGGTCTTCCTTTATCATTGACAATATTTACTTGTTCGAAGCAAATTGAAAAATAAATAGAGAGATGAGAGAAAACAAAATATCGTTTATTTGTTCATCACACTTTATTTATTGGCATCAATCTTTAGCTAACCATTTTCCCTCTCTCTAACAAACCATTTGTCACCATTTTCATTACATAATTTGACACATTTACTTGGTTAAAAATTATATTATTTCACCATTTTAAATAAACTCGAAGATTCTAATATAACTGTAAGAGTTGTCGTTATTGTTGTTACTGTTGAGGTTAAACTGGCTTTTAAAGCTACCAACAAAAGACATGTTTTAAGACTCATTTCATCCAAACAGATATTAAATCTCAAAACCAGGATCAGATATCAATAGATATCTGATATTTTCACAAGAAGAGAGGAAAATTCAATTATAAATTGAATTATTTCAAGCTTAATTGTAGCTAACTCTTGAGTATTGTTCAACTAAATATTAGACTTTAATACAATGAGAGCTAATCATGATATATTAATGAGATTATCAACTTATCTTTATAAGTATCGGTTATTTGACCAGAATCGGATTCGGTTAATAATCGACTGAAGATTAAATCATGAAATCGATTGGTAGACTTGTGCTATTAATGATTAAATTAATCAACACAATAACATTTGATCGTCTGGTTTTAAATGTCTGACTGTAATCAAGATGACTGTCAAGCTAAAACCTTAAAGCTAAGCTTACTTCGATCTGTTTATCAGCTATTAAATATTGAAAGATGTCTTGTTGTTGCTTTTAATGCGATGTTTAATAACAGTCTGTGATCTAAATGCGTGGTTGATCTAGCTTTTTAATTAGCTATTTGAATGAGACCAGGTTTGGTCTGAAATCAAGTAGTCTTGTAACATTTAATTTCGTTGGTGAAGCTTAATTAGATTTGTTAATAACTTGAAAAAAGATCCAAATTTAATTCAGTAAGAATAGTTTATTGGTGAAATTTTAGATGGCAGCTTTGTGTTCCCGGTAAACGCCTTGTCAAACGTCAAAAGATAATCCTTTGGTAAATGCAACCATTTGTTTGGTTTTAATGGTTTTAATTTATCAGTTTGTTTAATCAATGAGATTCACTTTAATCTATTTTAGTAATTTAATTGGATTTTATGGCTTAAGAATCGCTATTAATTCCTCCTACCTTATCAATAACTCGAGTGATGTAAATGTTTGAGGATGGCGCCACAAAAGCTGCTCTATTAACCACCACCCATTGGAAACCACATTTTTGATTCATTTGGTTGCAATTGACTTATTACTGTAATCTAAGTTTATATTGTCTCAATGTTATTTATTATATTTCTTATTTTCTGACTATTGTGCATCTCATCGTTACAATGTCTAATCAAGAACAACGAGTTTCTTATTGTTTAAAAGTATTGGAAAGAATCTGTGTCACCGATAAAGTTATCCGGCGAACAGAAAAACTGATTGGTGATACTCAAGTCAAATTGGAAAATCTATTGAAGGAGATTGATTCTGAACGACAATTACGGAATCATATTCAAGAGATTGAAGCCAGAATAAGGTGTTTAAATAAAGAGCACAGCTTGGTGAAAGCAAGCCTACAAGCTCAAGATGATAGATCTTCGCAAAATGACCGGCTTATTCAAGAAACGTCAATTGACATGGATGTTCAAAGAGAACAGATGAGAATCGATTATAAGTGTTTAGAGAGCAAACGAAATAATCTCAACGAAGAGAAAATAAATCTTCAAACTAACAATTTCCATCTCATCTTACGTAGAAATAGTCTAATCATGCAGCTTTGTCAAATATATCCTATTCAAAATAGTCAAGGTAAGTCCATCTTTTAGCAAACGTGTTTTTGTGTTGATCCAAAACTGACTTCCCACCATTGTATTGAGGCCAATTTCTATATTATATTTTGTTATGTATTGAGATAAAGTCGTGTTATGAAACAAACAGTTTTAACCGGATTTTTTTGTTTTTTTTTCATTACAGGTAAATATTCCATATGTAATGTTCATCTTCCTGATTCTGAGGATTTTAAGGGTAAAAATAATTTTCACCTGTCAGTGGCTTTGGGTTATGTTTGCCATTTTCTCGTCATGATGTCTAAATTTTTGGATATTCCTCTACGATATTCATTGATTCCTTATGGTTCCAATTCCTGTATAATTGATCATATTGATCCTTCACTAGACAAATCTGGACGAGTTTTTCCTCTTTATTGCGATACAAATTCCAAGGATAAAAAGATTGCTTTCAATTACGCTGTTTATCTGATCAACAAAAATATCGCCCAATTGAGGCATTACCTGTCTCTTAAAACAAGCGATCCTAGAGCTACATTACCAAACTTATATAATCTAATTGAAGAAAGGTGTAAGCTAACAAATAATTAGTTAGTTAGTCAATTTTTATTTGTTTTGTGTCTAATCAAATGTTTGTAAATACAAGTTAAAAGTTATATATATATATTATAGATGGATTAACCCTGTTTATCAATTTCAATCATACTCAGTTTTTATAGCTTATTGCTCCTATTCTTGTCTTTTAAGTTTTATGTTATTTTCCAATCGATACACTTCAACATTCTCATTTCGTTGAATTGTGATTAAGTTACAAGTTTAATTGACCAAAAGTTAATAAAGTTTATCTCATCAATTAATTTTCTGATTGCCTAGTAAATCGTGATTCAGGGTCCCAAGATTCAAGATCTTGGGATTGGAAATCAGGTATTTTAACAATATATTTCAGCTGAAAATGATCATTTCAATTACTATTGAAAATTAGCCCAATTAGAAGTTTATTATCAAGTTATACTCTTTATCATCAGTATAGACCATTTGAGAGTGTAGTTAACATATAATTGCTACTCTTGACTTCGGTATAAAATATAGAATGTATAAACAATCAGTATTTATTAAATTATAAAGACAGACTATTTCGAGCATTGAATTATTTTCTTTTCCTTTAGCTGTTCAATTGATTTTTGATCGTAGCCTAATTGTTCCAGAACTTGAATTGTATGTTCACCAACATCTGGAGGAGAAGTCATTTTTTCCCGGAAAGCCGTCAAATTTGGAGCCAGAGGTTGATATTTAACAGCAGGACCAAGGAGTTTTATTTTACCTGAAAGATAAATTGTAAACGTTATTGAAAACTCAAGCAAAGAATTAGGGTCAAAACGAAATCGACAATTACCTCCTTTGTTATGGTCAACATCGATAACCGATTGATTATGTATAACTTGTGGATCTTCAAATACTAGATCAACATCATTCACAGGTCCATAGGAAATGCCAGTTCCTTCGAAATCTTTTAACCATTCTTGCATTGGTTTACGGGCCAAAGCCTTTTCTATCAGGTCGACAAGCTCTTTTCTATTCACATTTCGAGAAGCGTTATCAACGTATTTCGGATCATTGATAACCTTTTCTGCCTCATCTGAGGGAAAAACGACTTTACAAATGGAATGGAACATTTTATCAGAGCCAGCACAAATTGTTATATATCTTCCATCGGCGCATTTAAATGCCTGATACGGGACAACATTTTCGTGAGCTGTTCCTCGACGTTGTGGAACTAGACCTGCGTTAAGATAACCTACTCCTAAATTGGCTAACAAGGAAACTTGAGTTGAAAGTAAATTACAATCAATTTTCATTCCCAAGCCTGTATGGGTTCTTTGATGTAGAGCAGCGAGAATAGCTCCGTGGGCATAAAGACCAGTGCTTAAATCAGTTGATGCAACTCCAACCTTGCAAGGTGCACCTCCTTCTGGTCCAGTTATGGCAAGAAGACCACCCATAGACGCAGCAATGACATCGAAACCAGCTCGTCTAGCATAAGGTCCTAAGATAAATTAAAGTGGTCTTAGATTACTGTTGAAATTGAACTAGCTGCAGCTAGTTCTGGCTTACATATTGGTAAATTTCAACTAACCTGTAGGTCCGAAACCACTGATGGAACAATAAATGATTCCAGGATTGATCTTATTCAGATCATCATAGCCGAGACCCATTTCAGATAATTTACCGGGTATATAATTTTCAATGAAAACATCACTTTGCGCCACTAATTTTTCTAGTATCTTCAGTCCTTCTGACTTTTTGAAATCAACGGCAATACTCTAAAGGTTGATTAAAATAGAGATAAGGTGATCTTTTTAGTTATCTGCTTAGCTTTATCATAACGGCTAGGCATTCAGAAATAGGGGAAACCCTTGATAATAATCTCAACCTCATCGTATTCAACAAGGTCATTAGAGTGATCTTAATAACAGAATTTCAAAGAGAAAAATTACGAAAATAAGTCTTTTTTTTAATATTAATCAAGTTTATCACAGGCCTACATATAAAACTCTGTTTACCTTTTTATTACGATTGATTGACAAGTAATAAGCGGCGTCACCATTAGCGTAAGGTGGACCCCAGCTCCGAGTTTCATCACCTTTACCGGGCTTTTCAACTTTAATAACTTTGGCACCCAAATCTGATAAAAGCATGGTGCAAAAAGGCCCAGCCAATATTCGGGTTAAATCAAGGATGGTTATATCACTAAGGCATCCTTGTATTTTCGTTGTGGAATCAGGACTGGAAGATAACAGACGACTACTTTTAAAACCATGAAAAAAATTCAAAACTTGTCTTTTAGGACAAATCATGGTTATTTAGATAATATAGTTGAACAGTCAATAAAAGAACTAAATAAAACTATATTCTCAATCAAGCATTTATATCTTAAAAGATCCATCCATCCACATGGAAACCATTTTGTGCGACATCTAGTGATATCTAAAATGCCGAGTAGATAATCAACCAAGTGAGTTAATCAGTTAAATTAACACACTACAAGAAATCTTCAGCTGGGCCAACAGAGTCCCAAAATTTTCTTGCCAAAACGCATGGTCTTCAATGTGCCATCCATCGATAGTTGATGCCTGAAAGTAGATAAAAGTAACATTAGTTAGATTCAGAATGATAAAATGTGTCAGAGTTTCGGCGCTAAATGTGGTACGATTATGACCCATTTGCTTCCTATAAAGACAATTTAATCTTGTCTCCTTCAGGTATCCACGAGAATACAATAATTACTCAAGGGGTGTTTCAAGGAGACAAATAATAGAAAACAGACTAACACGTTGGATATGTAATCTAGTTAAATATCCAACAAAGTAAAATAAGCGAACAATCAAAAAACAAAATCTAACAATAGAAAGGCAGCAGAGAGCAAACTTACATGAAGGTGTACATCAACAGCAACTAATCATAAAGGTAACAATCAAGAGACATGAACTAGAGTCTACGAAGAGGCCACAAGTGAAACCAGATTTAAAAGTACCAGCTATTTATAGTCAATAGCAAAACAAACATTTTTTGTTTATTTCCTTTCTCCTCTCTTCCTCTCACAGTTAAATCCGTTTCCGAGTGGTAACCGGGGAGACACTCAAACTCTCTCTCACTAAAATACCACCGCTCAATTTGAAATGTTGAAATCTCATTTAAATCTTTGAACAAGTCACAATTAAACAATCTATATTCAACATTGGAGCCTTTGAGAATTCACAATCAGTAATTCAACTAAAATAGACAACTCAAAAGCATATTATTCATAGCCACAACAATAAAAGTCATTGTGAATGTATGTTGAAGTTGCAAATGAAAACATCATTAAAGACAATGAACACTCTGAAATGAATGATGAATACGCTAGATTTTGCACAATTAAGTGGAAAATCAAATAAGTCCAACAATATTCCAGCAAACAAAGAAGTCCCAAGGTATCTGGTAAAGGGTTACTTTGCTTTTATTTATTTTACTAATGCAAGTGTTTTGTATGGAAGTGAAAAGAGCATAATTTCAAGTAATATTCACCTGCAAGTATCAGCTACAAACTGTTTTGTTAACGATATAAAATGAAACAAAAATAAAACAAGTAAAGTGACGGAAAAATGCCAACAATTTATAAAATGTATATTTATGTAATATCAACAAACCTAAGGATACTGAACTAACATGAAAAGGCTGTAATGGATGACAGAGAAGGAGGGAAAACATGAAAAGATAGAATCAAGAGTTTCACAAGTTGAACAGTTCAGGTAACTAGTTCAGATGAAAGTTACTCTTTGATGAAAACAGTTTCTCACTTGTTATCATACTTTTGGCCTTAAACATAAAGAGTTGTTAAACTCTTAATACATAGTTCAATGTATTTGAGTATAAAAATTTGACCCAAATTATCACTCCAATGATTTAATGTTAATGATTTAATAGCAAAGACGGTTGAACAATGCAGTAACCAAATTCAATCTTGAAGCTTGATTAGTAAATCAGAGAATCATTGCCAATGATTTGATTATATTTATATTAAGTCGATCATAAAGCTTTCTTGTTTGCTTGTATGAATGTAAAGTTGAAAAGATACTCCAATGATGAAGGAATCAAGTTCAGGTTCACGAATTTACAATCTGGTTGACTTTTATAACCAATCGGATCCTCTTTTCTGGTCAAATGTTACAGAATGTGTTACAAGTGCAAGTGACCTTACCAATGGTTTAATTGATAGCCAATCTTATAGTGATACATCAACGCGGATACCAGTGGTACCTTCACTTGGACCAGGTTGGACCAACAGTGACTCCTATCTGTATCCCAATCAATCTCAACCAGGAGCCACCAATTCATCCATTAACCTGTCAACCTCACGATTACTGGTTGAATGTTTAAAGCTAAGGATTGGCTCAGCACCGTACATTCTGGTTCCTTGGGCTCGAGTCATTTGGATCCTCTTGTTTACCGGTATCATCACAGTGACTGTTATTGGTAATGCTCTAGTCATATGGATAATTTTAGCCCATATCCGAATGAGAACCATTACCAATCTGTTTCTCCTTAATTTGGCTCTGGCCGATCTACTTATGGCTCTTTTTAATACAGCCTTCAACTTTACTTGGATGTTGAATAGCCATTGGCCTTTCGGCAGTGTCTACTGTTCAATCAACAATTTTATCGCCCACTTAACTGTCTTCTCTTCTGTTTTCATCTTGACCGTTATGAGCATTGACAGGTAAGTTTTCAAGTTTTTCTAATATATGTTGATAAAACATCAATTCAAAGAAACACTGAAGGTTGTCAAAAGACTGAAAGAATCAAAAAAGGTAAAATGATTCCAACAAATATTGAAGCATTTCTCATTAATTTAATTATTTTCATTGTTATGTGTCTAGTTAAGTGATTGAAATAATTGGTACAATTTTACAATATACTCTAATTTGATTACTGTTCATGAGATGTTTACATGAATATTTAAGAAAATAAAAATTCAATTTTACACTGAATCTCAAAACAAGGATTTTGAGCAAAATTTGAAATTCAAACCATGTAATGATAATTAAATTTGCAAAATTTTATGTTTCTTGCTTCAAATTATAAAATAATGGCAACGGTTAGTGAGACCAGAATAGTTCAATGGGCCTCGAGTTGTCGATTGATATTTGTTTTGCTCCAACTGAATGTTAATCCTAATAATTCTGGATTTGGATGAAATGTCTCTGAATTGTGTCGACGTTAATCAGTGATGGTGAAGTCGAAAAAGTGCTTTTTTCAATTTTCGTTTGTTATTGTGTTTCATTATCTTCGCCATCTTATTCATTATCTGATGCCTTGAATCTGTTTACAAAATTCTTGGTTTTCTATTCTTCCATTCTCATATCTTCTGTAAAATCTGATGAAAGAAATACCATGTTACTTCAAGATGCTTCAGCCAGAATATCAAGTTTCAATTCACTTCGCAAGTTGAATGGTTTATTTTGATATTTTTATTTATATCCAACAAGTGATTATCAAGAGAGTAAATTGACTGATTAATCTGTAAGTTTGAAAAGTTGAACTTATTCAGTGTAAAAGTTTGAAGATTATTTTTATCGAACAACTTGAAATGAAATGTTTGAAATGAACTAAAATTAAACCTCAAAGGATTCAATTTTGAAGCATAAAACTGTTCAAAATCGTGCAAAATGTTTCCAATGATTGAACTGACCGCTATCAATAACATAGTCCTTCAATTGGATTAAACGAAATTGAATTGAGACAGAAAATAGATATTAAGATTTTGTTTCAAGTTCATTTCTGGACAAAACACTTCTACATGATAAATCTAAATATTACAGTCAAATCATTTCGAATCCTAAACTTTTTCTTCAATATTCAGTTCTCGTAAATTGGTCAACATTTCAGCTTCTCAGAAGATTGCTGAGTACATGAGAGATTATTCCATGGAAATCTGGTTATTTGCTCAATTCTTTTGTAAAACCTTATTCTTTGTTTTTTCTTGCCTTCTCTTTCATCTTTACTGTTGTTTGCTATCAATTTACTTTGTCCATTGAATTACATGTTTACAATTTACTAGATTGAAGTTTGCTGTTAAACAATGAACACTGTGACACTTATTGATCAACAATAGTTAATCAGATGAGTGTCAACCCTTGTAATAAGCGGACAATACAATGAACAATGAACCATGTAACAGCTTGATTGTCCATGAAGGTCCACAGTAAAATTGAGTTTCTTCATTAACACATCTTAACAGAAGAAATTGAACGAACAGAAAAAAAGCAAACAAAATAAACCATTTTAATCAGTAAATTGAAATCCAAAGAATGACATTCAATTGAAACAATTTCCAGTAAATCAACATCAACATTTGAAACATTCATTTCTTAGCTTTCAAACCAACATCTGTTATCAAAATCAGTGTAAAATGTTGACCAAAAAATGATTTATATTTAAATCTAAATACAACAATAACAATCATTTCCAACAATCTAATTGTCATTGTCAGCCTTTTTCCTTTCAACCAATTCTTTGCATTTGATTATTGGTTGTAAAAGGCCTTTGATGGACACTTACAAGTTAATCAATCATTCCCAGCCAAGTGTTGGCTATTTAATTAGTTGAAGAGTTTAATCAATAATTGATTGGACTATTAAGGACATTTTATTATTAATTTGATGTTAACATGATTCACATTACCATATCATCAATTAACCAAGTTTACCTTGTCAATAGTAACAAAGTAACTCTACTTACGGCCTATCATTTACTCAATGAAAATAATAACAGTTTTCCCTTTTCTTTGCCTTTCATCTTGATTCTCATGAAAACCGTCATTTTCATAATCCATTGTATCATCATTTTCATGATCGTCTGAGCAAACCAATTTTCATTCCTATTGATATCGTGCCTGTTGTAATGATAAACATTGAACCTATTGATTTGCATACAGTTTTGTGCTTTTCATTGTTACAACCTTACAATTGTTCACATCATAATCATTATCAACATCAAACTTCATCATCTTTCGCCAAGAAGAAACCCTTTTCATGGGCCAAGTCTAAGACATTGTCATGGAACAAGTTATCATTATGTTTCCATTTTTCTGTTCAACTCTTCATTCAAATACAAAATTCTTAATGGAATCCATGAAATATTATTTCCATTTTTTCTTCACTCCTTCAATTCCAACTCTTTTCATCTTTTAATCTTTCCCTTTACACTTTTGGCCTCAAAAATTCAAACCTTGAACCAACTTTAATCAGAAATTTTTAATCTGCCATCAAAAAGGGTTAAAAAGCTTGTTAACTTTATAATGCTTATTTTAAGCTAAATAGGATTTGTTTGTTATTAAACCTTTCCTAACCATATAATACACTGACAATGGGATTATCAGCTACTTTTAATGAAATCCTCTCAGGTGAATTAACTTGAAATCTTTAACTTGCAATGAAAGTTGACTGAAAATTCAGCGGAAGAAAATGATTAACTCTTTTTTACTCAATGTTTCGTTATTTTTTAATGTTAATTTTCTATATTTAACTCATATTGTTCATTCATTTATATTCAATTGTTGGAATGAGATGAAAATTCAATGGCTGTTTCTTGAATACAGGGAATTGATTTTAATCTAAGAGAATCTCATTTTCTAATAGTAATTTGATTTCTTAGATAGCAATGTTATATTTGTGAATTGTTCATTTTATTGTCCGCAATATTGAATTGTTTTCATTTTATTTATCAACTTAAGCTTGAATAAATCACTTTAAAATGTCTCAAGTCATATTAAATTATGATAAATTGGGTTGACATTTAAAGAGACTGGCAATGCTTTTTATGGTTTTTTTTCTGGTGTGAAGAGCATAAAAAGCATAACAAGATCTTAATTAACAGATTATCCCTCAACTTTGACTCATTTTTTGCCTCGCTTTTTTTCAATGGTTTTCAACACTTAACTGTAAATATTTTGCTCAGTGTTTAATAATTTGATATTTTAAATATTAATAGTGATATAATTGAAGATTGATTCGGTTATTTTAATGAAAATTTCATTATACAGTCTTGTGTTTTCAAGTTTAACAGTTCTGAGAAGCTGACGTTTTAATTTTTCCTTCAGTCAGAGTATAAACTCTGTTAGTGAAACTCCAAGTTCAAAGCTGATTTCAAATTTGGCCAATCTTGTTGATTTTAAAGTATTTCAATGATTAATTAGATGGACTTTTGGGATTTTATACTTCAATTCTATCCATTAACTCGAGAAAGGAACTGGATTTACTGTTGAACGAGTTTGATGAAGAATTAACGAGGTGTTAAAGGTCAATCTTTGTTGCTACTGGACTACAGACACTTCTGGCTCAATGAAGTCTTCTTTGGCTAGTGTTATCACATTTGGCCTCAATAACCGCGTGGGTTATCAAATATTTACACTGAAACTATTTTCGGAATCCTCCTCATCAAATAACTCTCTATAAATTGGTCATATCAAATGAAGAAACAGAGTACAAGAGAACCAAGAAATACTGAATATCTAAACCTTTAAACGAATTGAACCAGAAAAAGTAAAGCATCCAGTTAATGCTAGGATCACTAAAACCTAGGTGTTGATCACTAATGATTTGCTGCACAGATGAAACAAAGATGAAACAATTAACCAGATTAACACTTGTTAAAGTCATAAATTAGATGTAAGTGGAGATGGAAATGCTGACAATTCACTACCTTCCGTAACCAATTAACATTTACTACGACATACATGAGATGGAACGTAAATGCTTAAATATGCAAGACTCATTGAATGGAGTAATTGTTGTTGAAATGTTTCACCTACAAAACAATCTCAATGGTGAAATGAACAACAAAGAATAGCAACAATAATCATTGTTAACCGAAAGAATTGTGTAAACACAATGCTAATGGTATCAAAAGAAGGAAATTGAAAAATTATGATCAGAAACCTGATAAATGATGAACATGATGACAAATTGAATTCCCATGGACTTGTTCAAACAACAAAACTCACGACAGTAATAATGCACGACAACAATTCGATACTTGCCAATAACCATTAATGGATCATTATTCAGTATCATTATCATTAAGACCAGAAATTTCTGAAAACATTCAACAACTGACTCAAGTGGGCCAATAATTATCTAATCCTAAACTTATCGGAAAAATTTAAATATCTCATGTAACATTGTAGTAATGATGGATTGGCTTGAGAAAGCAAAGGAAAAGTGGCTGTTTTCATGTTTCATTAGCCTGATGTTGAAACAATCTCACCATGAAAGAATTGAATTTCAAAATGAAATCACCAGGTCTCATCATTAATGATTACCCAAGATTCAGATAACAAGCCGAGTTTAGAATTGACTTTCCAATCAATCTTTTGTGTTCCATTGCATTTTCTTGTCATTTAATATTGAACATTTTAATTGTTAGTTCATCCAAAAATAATATGATATTGCAATAACATAATCATGTCTTGTGTTATCTCGATATTATCATTATATTGCTTATTAACATTTCACTGTTGACTTTGCTTTCATTTTTGGGTTTCACCTGTCATTCAGTTCAAAATGTTTTAATCAACTATCTATTAAAATATCTTACATTCAGAATCATCAACTCTATTTTGTCATCATGAAGCAACATTTGATAACATATTCATCAACCCTTTCAATCTTATTATCAAGAGGATTTGATAAAGGCTTTTCTCGCCTTTCATTCAGTTTAAAGCATTAAGATGAAACTGAATCAGTAAAAGTCAAGATATTGCAAAATTTTGAGTTAAGGCAAATTATTCGTAAATTATGTTCTAATTGTAATGATATTCATTCAAATCTGTTTGATAATTGGATGTTCTCATGCTGATGAAGTTTCGTCATTGTGAATTAGTTTACTCCTGGATCATCTTGAGAATTCATTGTTAAGCTTTCGAGCAAAAGCTAAATTTTGCTCTTCTCTTGAAATTAAAAAATCATTTCTTTAAACTTCATGAATCATGTAAAAACTCAGTCCTTCAATGCCATTTTTGACGTCATTTTGTGAAATAATTCAAAATAAAAGATAAATTCAATGTTTTTCTATTCAAAATAATTCTTCGTCAAAATTATTCCACGGCTATATTAACACTTTGTATCGTTGACTGAACCCAATTTTATTAAAATTAATAAGATTCACAAAACATGATTTAGTCTGCGAGTTTTATTAAACAAATTGTCACAAAGATCAGTTTACCCACAAAACTATAAAAATTAGCGCTCTTTACGATTCCAGTCATCGAGCTATTGTTCAAACCAAGAAGAAATTTGGTGATTAAATTGAACCAAAAATGTTGAACATTTCAATTGAATATCAGACTTAAGTATATCTAAAGGCGTCATTGATAATAAACCCTTAGCTTATTTTATTATAAATTCAAAATCTTGTGCGAATTCAGTTTTCAATCTTTCCTCATTAAGTGAATACGAAAAATGGAAATTAGTTTCAGAATTTTTAATGATGGTCAGTTAGCTGATACTAATCAGAAATTAAAAAAGCGTTAGATTGAGATGCAACACTTGAGATGTTGAACAAATGTTGATAGAGCCAAAAGATGTTTATGATTTGATTGAGATCAAATTGCCTTGAAGACTGTATCGATACCTAGCATCTAGACTTGATTATTACATGATTGAATCGAAATATTAAGTTTTTAAGGTTCCTCAGTTTATTCTTTAGCGCTTACTTAACAGTTTACAGCGTGTTGTCGTTACTAAAAAATGGACGGAATCACGTTAGACCATATTTTAATCATTTTACGGCATTTCTTTCACTTGTAATTCAACTGGAATTGATTTTTTGGATGTTAATTTGAAATTTGATTCATAAAAGTTGAATATGAAATAGCCTGATGAATGAAATCCAAATGTGTGAAAACATTAACAAAATTAGTTTTATCATTTGATCCACATGGCCGATATGAACTAGATAATACACCTTGGATATAATCTGTATTATTTATGGTCAGAATTAAAGGTCCACCTGAGTCACCAGTACATCCAACGGATCCATCAGGATTAGCAGTACAAAAATTGAAACCTGGATTGTAATGGCCAGTTTTGTCGTCAGCCTGACACTCTTGATCAGTACGGTAGTATACAGTTGCTGATTGCAATACATCTGGATCATCTCCGGATTCCGTTATACCAAAGCCGATCAATGTAAGCCGTTGCGCAATGGGGCTTCTAGTGATGGGGAGTCTAATAGTTGCATTAGGTCGAGGATCAGGTTTGTCCAATAGTACAACAGCGATGTCATGTTTGATATGTACTGGAGCTGTAAAATTGTGACCTGGATGGATCGTACGATACTTAATTTTGAAGGTTAGATCGTTTGGATGAATAAACGGTGTATTACGATAGTTGGGTAAAATTCGCATTTTGGGAATAAGCTGGGTTCTAAAGAAATAAAGAGAGTTAGCAAGCTAGTAAAGGAAGCGCGTATACTTGTCTGGCGTATAGCCAAGTCGGAATGCTCGATCATAGCACAATTCCATTCGGTGTTTGACGCAAAAGACAACCGTATTTAGTTGAGAGTATCTGTGACCTCTGGGTACAGAACCAGACATCTTGGCTACAAGAACGTATCTCGAGTAATCATTTGAAACTTACCTACTTAAACAATGAGCTGCTGTTACCATGATTTGCCTTTCTATTAATGCTCCACCACATCTGTGCTTGTATCCGGTCGTGCTATTCGGATCTTCACTTTGGATAGAGACAAAATAAGGATATTTTCCTGATTCGGTAACCGGCTTGCCAAAAGCAACTCTTTCGTATTGTTCTGTTGAATCCTCGATGTCTGTTGATGATACAAGATTTGAATATAAAATCATCACTAAAACTGTATAGCAAATCATCATGATGGTTTGATTAATAAACATTCGAATTTTAAGATTGAAATACTTTCAGGGGTCAAAAATATAAGCCGTGAATGATCTGAGTCTTATTAGAAGTAAAAACAAAATTAAACGAATCTAATTGAAATGTAAACAGGTTGCTTCATTTATAACTGTTTGAAAAGTCTCAAACTTCCACCCAGGTTGAATGAAGTTGGTAACATAATGATGAAGATCGCAAGAATAAGGAAAATCGCATTGAATCTTATTTTTTAAATAATATTTTCTTAAGTACTTTGGGTAAAATGAAATTGATCCGCCTTGCACTTACTATTCGTATAATGTTTCAGAAGAAAGTGAAAGTGCCTCAAACGATGAGCGAAATGAACTTTGTACCATTTCATAGATGTAAATTGTAAACCAAACTCTTGTAAACCTTTAATATTGAAACATCGTACAATTATTTTGCATTATTATCCTCACAAGATGATATAACCTGAAACAACTTGTTTTGACTCACAAGGGCCATAAATTTGTTGACTAGAGTTGATATGAATCTAACCAAATGTCTCACTCAATTATTGAAGCTGCTGAAAATTGGTTCTCAGTTTTCACAGGTTGAAAGGTCTGAGAGTTGAACTAACTAACTCGATGTCTAATATTTATTTATTTATTATTTAGGATTATTTTGCATTATAATTGTGACAACATATCAACACTGAAAATATAAATTGATTACCAAAGTTGCTACAATTTGTGTAACATTATAAAGCAACCTTAACCTTTTACAGCTTTAACCTGATCCAGTCAACCCAATTTATTTAAATTGCATTACCATTCAGTTAACAGAATGTCGAAAGTAAAGTTACAGAAGCTAATTGGATGCTAACAACATTTCACCATTTCAGCTAATATACAATGAAATCAAATTGCTACAATACTTCAACTGATTAACAAACAAAAAGTGACAAAATTTAAACAATTGAATCATAACATTTCAACTCGTAACCTAATTTGATTTATTTCAATCTTTAACATTAAAGTTTACAAATGCAAAAAACGAGTAAACATAAACGAGAAAGTTTGAAAAACAAAATTAAATAAATCAGTCAAGCATAATCAACAGTTGAGCCATCTGTAGTGTAAGAATCATTTTGAGTCCATTGAATGTTGAACTCATCAGATCTCGGTCCACCACCAGTTAATGATGAAACAGCCCGATTAATGAATTCCAAATACGGAAGAACATTAACATAACTAGAAACGCGGTTCGAGCCACAGGGTGGAAAATAGGTAGATGATATACCCTGCAGATAACTGATACCATTTACTTCCCGAATCAAAGGTCCACCCGAGTCACCAGTACATATACCTGATTTAATGGCATTACCAGCACAAATGGTACCTCTAATGTACAATGCAGGGTCGATGTAATAACGGCAAATTTGATCAGCAAGTTTGTATACAACCGCTGATAGCAATTCATTTGGAACAATTTCGTTTTCAATTTTACCAAAGCCTATTATTGTAAGTGGTGCTTGAAGAGGCACGTCAGCGATGGGTAGTCTAATAGTTGCCCCATTCCGAGCATCAGGTTGGTCCAATAGTAAAACAGCGATGTCATGTTGAAAGATTCTGCGATCGAAACCTGGATATATTACATAGCGTGCAATTTTGAAGGTCCGATCGCTTGGACCAATGTACGGTGTATTTCGATAGTTTGGTAAAATGCGAAATCCAGGAATCTGTTGAAGACTAAAGGGATACATTAAGATAGGATATTTTAAGATGCATTTTGGTAATCATTTGAAACTTACTTAAAAAGGCAATGAGCTGCTGTTATCACGATTTGCCTTGTTATTAATGATCCACCACAAAAGTGACGGTATCCACCTGGGTTAGTGCGATCTGGGTATTGAAGAGAAACAAAATAAGGATATTTGAATCGGTCGAACACCGGAAGGCCATGAGAAATTTTTTCGATTTGTTCTGTTGAATCCTCGACGTCTGTTGTATCATCGATATCTGTTGATACAAGATTTGCACTTAAAATCATCACTAAAACTGTACAGAAAATCATCATGATTTTGTTAAAGTAAAAAACATTCGACTCTTAAGATTGAAATACTTTCAAAAGCCAAAAATACAAGCTGTAAATGATCTGAGTCTTAATCGAAGTTAAAACTAAAATTAAACCAACATAAAACTCAGGAAAACAGATTGGTTCATTAATGTTGAAAAGTTGACTTAAAAGTCTCATTATATTATTTCCAAGATGTTGCATAGTTTCATCAAGAAAATTTATTCACCTTGTAAAATCCAATTTACTGTTAGCGGTTGGTTTCATGTTTCATCAATTTAATAGTAAAAAAGTTTGTGACTAAAAATCAATCTGTCCACCTATATGGACTAATTGCACTTCTTATCCATTGCCTTAACCACTCGACCAGCACTTGTTTATCAAAAGTCAGTCAACTTGACGTTGTAGCGTTATAAACTGTTTCTGGACATATTCAACAATGGCTTCAGACTTTTCAACGAAATTCACGTTACAAGGAAAAATTGTAATCTGATTATTATTGCCAATAAATTGTATCAATAGTAAAGACGAGAAAATGAATGGGAAAAGGCGCAATCGAAATAAATTTCGAGTTTAATTAGAAGATTGACCGAACATTGGCTTTGCTATTGTTAATTTATCGCTTTGATTCTGGTTAACCATTAAACTAACTGTCAAACAGTCAAGATTGACCATTTTTTAACCTTACATTAATCATAATAATTATTGGGTTAAACGGTAAAGTAATTGTTTAATGATCAATTGAAGAAACTGGTTAGAAATGTTTCCCCATTACTTTAAGTTTTCACGTTCAACAGTCTCTCAAATGATCATTACCATGATTGAACTGAGTTTATCAGGAAAAAAATACATTAATTATGGGAGTGAAGAAGAAGAAAAAATGTACAAAAGTCTTTTAAAAACACAACTCACATAAAAAATGATGACCAGTGAATCTAATGGTCTTGTTTACTCAAGCTGATGGACCTGAAAAATGGCTGATCAGCAATCATCAACTGTGAAAGATAACAGTTTCCAGCAATGAACCAGAAATTTTGATTCTCATCTTTTCTCATTTCCTTTGAAGGGACAGTTTATTGCCATTTCAATTGGCTTGTTATTGAAAATAATTGTAAAGCAGTTAATCAACTGCATTTAATTGTAATTTCATTTGAGAAAGATTCCATTAAGAAACTGGTCAAATGTCAAAGTTAAGGTAATGGCTAAAAAAAGTATCTTTATGTTTAATGGAATCAACTGTTATTGAGTTTCTGGGAGTGAGTTTAATTGATTCAACTTGGTTGAATATCTTGTCAACATGAGAATGCGAATTCGAAATTTTCCTTTTTTTTCGAAAACTTGGAGTTTCGAAACCAGTCGAGTGAAGTAGGTTCAACAGATTGAAAGTTGAAAGAAAAGGTTGAATGGTTGCAATTGAACATTTCATGGTAAATAGATAGGATAATCTTGTAAGGCTTGGCTGATTCTCAAGTTGACCAATGCTGGGAGTGATTCCACTGGGAGTCATTTCTCCTTGGAGTGATTCTATTTCCAATCATATTCTTATGGCGATTCCAGTCAAGTTGCAAGTTATTTGTTACAAGTGCTTTGGTTTGTTGGTAGAACTTTTTTGCTCAATTGGATAACTTGCAGGGTCAAGTTAATCATTCAAGAGGTTGACCAATTCTTATTAACATTAATTATATCAATATTTCACAATCATTTATATTCAAGGCAATCTTGACATTGACCTGATAACTCATCAGAATATTTATAAAATTGAAAGTGACTGAAAAGATTCTTGGAAGACTTCAACTTTTCCTTTTCATGTTAACATTTAGTTTGAAAAATGATACATTCAGGTTCGCTGTCAATTGCAAAGGTTTCATTGGTTGAGCAATTTCACTCTTATCTGACCAGATTATCTTTGATAATTCAATATTTCAACAAAAGAATTTTATTTTTTAGATAAATTGTTATTCCAAATGTTACAAAGTTAATCGAGTCAACTCTTCATTTCAAAACTCCCAATTCTTCACCTACTCAGAGTAAACTTTTTGTTTCATTTTTTCATCTTCAATCTAATCAAGTTTAACAGATAGCATTTCATGATCAACTATTGAACATCAGAAACAGAAATTCAATTGATGGAAACTGGGAGTGAAAAGGTTCCAAATGGCAAGTCCAAAGAAGTGAAATATTGTGATCAGTTTGAAGCTTGAAGACGAAATTCGTTGATCATGATTGGTATGAATGGAACAGGAATTTGACTAGAATAATATAATTTCGAGAAAATTGAGTGAACCTGGAAAATGAATGAGTTTTTGGTTCAATTGATCGTCTCAAGTAAACCAATTTTGATCATGTTCATCATGGTGATCATCATCATAATCGTATAGAACAGTTCAACTGATATTCTGTGAATAAATGAGTTTCCAAGTTTACCTTTTTTCTCTCTTCACTATTCATACATTCATGGTATAAATACAGTGAGGATATAAGGATAACATGGTGATACACAAAATGGTCATTTAGCTTATTCCAATGAAGATTATGATAAAATCTTTTGCCGTTTTTTTTCACTTCACTTTGATCCTTCTTTTATCCTTGTTTTGCTTTTTTTTGTTTCCAGGTTAAGAATAATTGAAATTCAATATTTGTATCATGATTAGCCTTTGGAAATGGGAATAATAATTGTCAATCTGTTCATCCAAAGGAAAACAAAGATTAGCTTCTAATATTTTCATAAGGAAACCCAATGTGAAAATGCATTTAATGATCGCTCTCTTTTCACCTTTCATTACCAAACATATTTGTTACATTATTATCCTGATTGGATGCCATAAATGAACAAATCAAATGTCACAGGATTTCCATGTAATCCATTAATGCAAAGATTCACCAAGAAGCACAGCTAATGATCAATTCATCTTTAAACCCAAACCCAAATTTTTCTGGTTAAAAATAGAAACATTTAAATCTATTGTAATATTTCATAACTTCATATGAATTATTAAACTGTTTTCTTGATAAACTTGATAAATCAACTTTGGATATTGATTTAATATTAGCAATTATTTGGGTTCAGTTTCAGGTTTAAAACATTTACTAATTTTGTTTTATGTATTTGGATTTTTGTATCAATAAATGATATTAAATAGGAACCCAAACCAGGAAAACCATTGAATATCAATTAAGAGCAAGATGCTTCTTATGAGTTAAGTGTTTCTTGAAAGTTCCTTGAAAATTTCAATCAGAATTTATATCAATATTAGATGAATGGTGCTTATTAAATGTAAGTTGATGTGATTTAAGATGTTTCTTTGAAGAAATGGTTAAATTGTGCAAATACGAGTCTCAATTAGTAAATTATGCAGTTGATCGTTTAATGGAAACACTTAAAGTCAACAAAATTTGTCAAAATAACAAGTGAAATGAAATGAAAGGTTGAAATGAAACACTCTTCAATCAACGCAATTAGGTTTAATCACCATTAAGATTCTGGTTCATCAAGGTTAACCTTTAATTAGAAACTGTTAGAGAATCGATAAATGGTTAAATTTTAATATTAAACTAACGTTTCTGCAAGTTTAATTTCTTGTTGCCATTTGAAACAATTCATTGAACAAGATTTAAATAGCAATGGATATTAAAAATTCATAAAACACTTGCAATTTGAATATAATTTATAAATGTTTATATTCAAAATGGTAAAAACATTTACTTAGAAAAGGCAAGAAAAGTGTTTCTATGAATAATATATAATTTAAATCGGTTTAATGACTTGAATCACTTGAGAAGATCGGAAAAGCTGTTTGTCCAGATCAATATCGATGAAAGGTACAAAATGATCAACATTTACAAACAATCAAAACATTTCATTGAAAAGGTTCGGGACAAATGTCAACATTTCTCATTGTAATTCTGAGTGAATGAGAAAATTGAAAACATTTTCAGATGAAAATATCATTTCAATGTAATGATGGTTTAAAATGGAAATGTGAAGTTGAAATAATTTGATCCATTGTCAACTCATTTTAATTGTATTGCATTCATAACCTATTATTAATTTGGGTAAAGAAGAGGAAAAACATTTTAGTCCATTTTAATACATTGAACCATATTTTGCCTCCAAAAACATCATTACTGTATTCATTTTACACCAAAAAACATTGTACAATGAATAAGTGAACAATATTATTGTTCAAACCTTTCCAAGTGAATATTGTTGTATTGCATTTCCAGTTGTTACCTTTTTGTTATTGACTAGCTAACCTTACTCACAATTAGACTAAATTGTGCTTTTAAATCTGTGAAGTTTCAACACTAAATTGTAACAAGTAATTTGAGACAAATAATGTAATTCCGTCACAATCGTCTTATAATGAATTTTGTAACCTTTTCAATTTTATTCATCTTTAGGTTTCTTCAGTTGTTCAGAGTTGAAGTAAATGTTCAATATTTAGACGAAAAAGCGTAATTGAAAAATGATTAAAAGCGATTTGAATCAGCATCAAGTTTCAATTTATGGCATTTTTGCACGTTTAAGATGCTATCAAGTGCTTAAATAATGCAAGTTTTCAACGTAAAAATGCTTTCATTTTGTTAATCAAATTCTAGATTGGAGAGAAGTGTGTAAATTAAGCGAATAGAATGCGATTTTGAACAAACAATTTGTAAAAGATGTTAGCTTTTAGAGCTGTTCATTTCAATAAATGATGAATAAAATGGTTGAAAATGTAACGAAATGTTTGAAGCAATGTTCATGTTGGACTACATGTACGTCTTAAGTAGGAAAGGCTATAAATGTTGGAAGGTAGAGAAAGAAGAAAGTCGAAAATGATTTTTCATGCTGAACACATTTTCTGCTCTTGAATATGAAACTTGCTGGAAACATGATTTTTAGTCTCAAGTTCTTAGCTTTCATTTGATACTTTTGTTGACCTTTAATTTTACTCTATTTGATTTAAACTTGAACTTTTATCCAAGATTTATGAGCATCAATAGGTTCTGTCATTTTTTATTTGGTTTTAAAGCCATTCGATTCAACTAAGCCTGTCTGAAGGAACAATAGTCTGAGTTTTGAGCATTTCTCAGTGAAAGTGAAGTTAAAATCAATTGGTTAATCAATATTTAGAAGTTTAATAAACATTGAAGAAGTGAACAATAAATCTCGAAACTGTTGAACGAAACATTGAAACAACGAAGATGATCAAAGAATCATTTGTGATTCCATTGTCATCTTAAATAACAATAACGTTATTAATAACTTAAACCAGCAGTTGTTTCTAGACACTCGAGAGTTGATTAGAATTGAGTAAACATAATCATTTAATAATTTACCTGACAATACAATGTAATCAAGTTAGTCAATGAAAGATGAACATGTAAAGTGGATGTCGCTATTTGTTCAATGTTCATCACAAATATCGAGCATCTGAAAATAAGCAAATTTCGCCTTCAAGTGAAGTACATTTAATGAAATTATAATTATGACTCTATTCGCATTAAATCAAGATACTCAAATTAACTAAATAAGAACGAAACTGTTTCTTTATTCATTTAATTTGCTCAAATAACTGAACTGGAGTTAACTTAATAAACCAATATTACACTCAGAAAGTGTATAATAATATCAACCAGAAATACATATTGCTATTTCAATATCCAATATTCACTAATTATTCGTGGATGCAAATGATTATTTAAATCATTTCTAGCAATAAATTTGTTGGCCAAATATTGCAACAGTTGATCAACAATCATACCAATTACAGAATCAAATGGATAGACTTAAAAGCTTATAAAACATTCAAATGCTAATTCACTTTGTGAACAATAAAAGCAAATAACTGAGCGATTATTTACAGAATTGAGCGAATAAGCTTGTTATTCAATTCTGGTGAAACAATTTCTATGGAAATCTATTTTCTCAGCTTTTAAACAATTCATTGTCTAATGGACATCAAATGTGTCAAATTAGATGAATAGTTGAATTAAAAGCTGAAACCAAATTAACTCTTAAATCAAAACCAAATGATATTCAACTTCCAATGCAAAACTGTCATCGAATGCATTCAATAAGAATTTTCTGTTCAATCAAATCAACCTCAAACTTTGCTTCTATTCGCCCTTTCCTCATGATCAGATTCAGGTCAACAGGATATGCTAATCAAGACTATTAAACGAATTTTCTGATAGAATGCAAATAAACAGATTGACCGAAATCGAAAGTTGATCATTTTTTCATTGCAAACATTGAACTTCAGGAAATGAAATAACTTCACAGTAAACAATACTGATCACATTAACTCCCACTGAATCAACTGAAAACAGCTCAAGTTTCAAATTGAAAGTAAATGCTGAGCAAAACAAGTAATCAAACAATATTGAAACCTTCAGAGTATCTCTTAGCACTCATAATCTCTGGATGTTTCAGAATTTTTTCATTTTCTTTTCTTCAACGTTTCAGTCTCAATTAATTTATCACTATTATTATGCAATGTTTACCCTGAATTTTTTTCTGTTTCATTCATCATTTTCATTATTGCCAACATTAAGTCTTGAATTGATGAGTTGTTAATGTAAAGAATTTTCATCAACTTTTTAACCCTTTTTTTAGCACATCTTTTTTTCCTTTCCTTCCCTGAAAACATTAGTTCACATCATTTATCAAAATACACTTTTGTTTGTTTTCACTTGTTCCAGTTTAATATCAATGATTAATTAATTTCAAATGACAGTCATTAATTGTTTATCCTGATAACTGGGAGGTTAACATGAAATGTTTTCTGTTGCCTTTTGTTAATCGTTTTTATTGTAAATTAAATTATTTCAGTGAACAAAAGTTGCACAAATGCCAATGAAAATGTCAATTGGTTTGCGTAATTGTCAACGATTTCAACTCAATTTAGAGGCTAAATTAAATTAAATTTGAATGCGAGAAAAGGTTAATTTCATTTCTTTTGTTTGTCATTCCAGTTAAACCTTGGTATTGTTTCTAATTTTGTAATTTAATTGCTTTCAATGTTAACCATGTTTTTCATGCTCTTTTACAGATACATTGCCATTGTCAGGCCATTAAGCTCTCGAATGTCTCGTCGGACAACTTTAATTACACTCAATTTAATCTGGATTATTGGAGCAATCATTTCACTTCCCAATTTGCTCTTCTCAATGACAGTAACCTACATCTATCCAGATGGATCTTTAAGGACGGTTTGCTTGTTGAAATGGCCTGATGGCTTTGCTGGTTACTCTTCGTTTGATTACATGTAAGTTCATCTTTTCATAATTGGTAAAGTCGTCCAGCAATGAAAGAGAAAACTGAAACAAACAAAAACGAAAATCGCATTTCAATCTTCTTGAGGTTGACTTTTCCGCACAAAAGTTTGGTTCCTTCATCGGATTCAATTTACTTTAACCTTACTCCAAACTTACGTCAAAACTGTCCCTACACTCAGGTCTGCCAAAGTACTGTAGTGAATGAAAGCGCTGTTAAAGTCTTACGATTGTAAATATTTTCAGCTTTCAATATTGCACGAAAAGAAGGCAAATGTTTGACTTTTTGCTTCATTAGAAAATGAAATGAATAAATCTTCAAATGCTTCAACCTTTTGAATTGAAATTTTCAAGACTTTATTAATTTCGGTTGAAAAACTCTTGGATTTTCATCCGCCACCGTTAATATTGCGAGACTTAACTAATGTCTTTAATTTTGTACTTCGCCTTACAGTTATAATATACTTTTCCTGGTCATCACTTATTTTGTGCCTGTGATTACAATGGCAGCAACATATCCACAGATGATTTCGGTACTTTGGGGAAGTCAAAACATTGGTGAAATAACTGAGCGTCTTAAGAGTGCCATAAAAGCCAAGCGAAAGGTAATCTTTTCATCTCTTAACCAACAGTTTCCAAGTTGAATCTCATTTAGTAATTTACTCATTTTATACTTCATGATGGATCAGCATCATTACGAGCTAATGATTTTCAAAACATCAATTTCGTTGACAACAGAACTCTTTTTTTCTTTATTCATATCAAAATTTGACTTTTTATTAGCTCATCAAATATCATTTAACAATGTAATATTTGAATATTGGCATGAGATTGAAGCACGAAAATTACTATCAGACAGCTGATAATAGTTCCAGGCAATCATTCATCGAATGTCTCATCAAGATTAGTCAAGACAAGGTCGAAACATTAAGCAAATTGTTATAATAACTCTGAGTTAACTTGACTATCAACTAATCATTAAATATAACAATGTTTAAATATTTCTCTCTCAATTATTTCTTTACAGATCGTCCGAATGCTGATTTCCGTTGTGTTTATATTTGTCATCTGTTGGCTACCTTACCATATATATTTTTTGATTGTGTTTCATTTTCCCAAAATATCTCATTATAAAAACATTCAAAATATATATTTAGCTATTTACTGGTTGGCAATGTCCAATTCAATTTACAATCCTGTGATATATTACAAAATGAATGGAAGGTTAGTAATTAAATTTACTCTTTTTCACCCCAATTTCATCAACATTATTTACTTTGACAATAAAATGACATCTAAATTGAAACGATGACAATGGTTTCGATACTAGACAAGGTTGATTTGCTCCTAATAAACATTTGACAAACAAGGTCGTTTCAAGTATTATTCAGACTCTAGTCTACCTCAAAGAGCCATTTTCAGGATCTTCTGAAAATATTAAAAAATTAGATGAAAATGCATCACAAAATTGATCAACTTCAAAAGTTTTCTACAAAATCTGCTTTTATTTTGTTTTCAAAGTTAATTATTAAAAGAAAGATTTCGTTAGTGCTGCTCAATTTGGATTGTTATAAAGAAACAATTAAAACAATCGTCACATTCATGCACATATTGATATAAATAACATTATAAAACTGAATACCGAATAAAATTCATTCAATAATGAAGATCTTTCTACTGCATAAGACTTGTGTTTAGCTTTATAAAATCAAGTCTCAAACTTGAAAACCTAAGTAATACATTGCTATAACTTTTTTTCGTAGAATCTTGAATGATTTCATATTTCGAGATATCATAATCCATGATGGAATCTAATGTTTTCTCAAGAACGGGGATTGTAGGTGAGACCGTTCCCGAAATATTTAGGCTCAAGGTTTTTAGGTTTTTAGGCCAAAATTAAGAGAAATTTTGCTGAATTGAAAAAAGTGTTCGGTCATTGATGTCTAGCAACAATTTTTATCGAGACATAATAGGTTTAAGCTCTCTAACTCATACGGCCAAAGAATGAGGTCGGTTTAACCGAAAATTGTATTTGATCTGTTTTACAGAAACAGAAAATGTTATTTCTCTAAATAAGACCGTTTTATGGTTGGTCATTCAAAGATACATCAGAGAAATAAGTTTTGTGAAAAAATCTTCTTCCATAGCTGCAGAAAAGACAATCTAAGTTTCAACTTTGACCTCAATTTTCCAGAGAACTGTTCATCACATGAATTATTGAATGGTATCAATAGACTCAGTTTTTATGTTCCTACAAATCCACCAATTCTCAACTCTTAACTCGATTTTTCGCGTCTTTGACAGTACTTTTTGCATTTTATTGGCAAGTTAAACCAGAAAATTGGTTTATTTACCAAGATATGTGTTGATATGAGTTTACTTTGCTAAATAAGTTGTTTCTCGATCATTTACAACTCGAAATTCATAACCCAAATGAGCTAATGGAAAGTAATTGAATTGCATTGAATTATTAGTTAGTAAAGAGCTAAATTAGTGAAAGAATCGTGATTGTAGGTGATGCCATTCTCGAAATATTTAGGTTCGAAGTTTTCTAGTCAATGGCCAAAATCAAGAGAACTACTTATGAATCGATAAAATTGTTTGATCCATGTTGTGAGCCAACAATTTCTATGAACAAATAATAAGTTTCAACTCGCTAACTCTTACGGTAACAGAAAGCGATCTGTTTGACTGAAAATCGAACTAATCTGTTTTACAGAAGACGGAAAATTTTATTCCTGAAAATAAGTGCATTTTCTGATTAGCCATTGTAATACACATCAGGAGAATGCATTTGATGAAAAAGTTTGCTTCCATAAATGAACAAAAGGCGATCGAAGTTACAACTTTGAACTGGATTTTCTTGAAAACTGTGGCTCAGAGAGACTTTTTAATCGCACAAATGGACTTAGTTTTTATGTCCCTACAAACTAACAGAGTTTAAATTTGAAAGAAATTGATCTTTACTCTTATTCACCCATTTGTGTCAATTTGTGAATAAATGTGACAATTGTGTCTTTTTAATAACAAACTTCAATTTATTTTACTTAAACAAATCAAGCATTTTATTGCTAAAAATACAAAAATTGTAGCATTTAGTCTAGTAAAGCTGAATAGCATCAAATTTGGAAAATTTTATGAGAGAGAATTGTATATGTCGCTAATTTAAATCCTTTGGAGGTTTCCCTTTTAGTGTAAATGATCGAAGATTTTGCCTAAAGATTCAACTCATTTCATCTTTTTGCTTTATTTTATGTTTTATGTACAGATTCAGACGTTACTTTCAAAGTATCCTTTGCTTTTGCCGTTCAACCCAAAAGGATCCAGGCGATTCCAAATGGAATAACCTGTCAATGCATCGAAGAGTTGCCGGTAAACGCTTTTATCCCAACAATATGAACAATACAGGTGCAAATGTCAACCATTCAACTCGATCAACTCGGTCCAACACTTGTAGATCGCTAACCAATGGGTCCGTTGATGTGGCTCGAATGACGGAAATCAATTCAAACTGTAATCCATGAAGATACAAGTTTGCTCCAAATGAACAACTCAATGTTTGTATTGAAATACAAATTGTACAATTATTATTATTAATATTTAATATGTTATTGAAACAAATTGTTTTTATTTTCACTACGTAATTGTAAATCAAGTTAATGCCTGATATAAACAAATGTGTATACATCATGACAAGTAAAGTATTAAAAAGATGCGAAAATATGGAAAAAAATGTTCTTCATTTTATTGAAACCAGAAAATTGAACCAAAAAGCGATGTTCTGTTGATATGAGTTTAGGTTCAATATTAATCAATATTTGCTCTACTTTGGTTGATCAAAGTAAATATTGTTTAAAAAAGTACAGATTAAATGTTATCATGTAAACGTAATTATTTTTACTCCTTTTCATTGTTTCCTCATTGATTCGTGAAATGAAGTACGAAAAGCAATGCTCTAGTATTTACTCAGCTATCATATTTACCCATTTATTGGTTGATAAATTTGATTTAATGGTCAACTTCAATCATACAGCATTTACTATTCACTTTTAAGGCAACAATTTTTTTTCTTGTCCAAAAATAACAGTCTCATTGGCAAAAGTGAAATGCTTCCCTGATATCATTTTAATGTGTTTGTACTCAACAATCAATTTGAACATTCAGAATCATGGATACACAATCAGTAAATCACACATAATCGCTTTGTAACCACAATAAGTAAATATATCGACTAAAACTCGTGTAAATATGCTTAAAAGTGGTAAGAATTAAATTAAACCTTTTCTTCGATGAAAGAAAAAATGACTCAATGTATGTTCCTTGATGTCAGTGAGTGGTTCAGACTTTTTGGGTTTGTAAGGCCTTTGAAACTGAGTCCACTAATGGCATCAAAAAATTTTATTTTCATTAGTTTAAGATAAAATTGACTTCAAATCTGAAACTCCCAAAGCTTTTTGTACAGTTTTGGAACCAGATTTTTTCATCATACTCATGGTTTTCGTGATTTTGATGAATGATCATGAAGCTTTGTGGCCTAATATTTGGAGAATGGTAACACTTACAATCACCATTCTTTCAACAATTATATTTTACTATTCCCTAGAATATGACATAGCTGGATGGCAAAGAGATATCAAACTGAATCAACAGTTATCTTTTTATGGATCATAAGAATGATGAAAATGAATAACCATTTAGTCTATTGATACATGTATTAATGGATAAAAGATGTTACTAGAAATGAAAGTAAATGTTAAGTGTCGATAACTTTACCTCCAAGTATTACAATTTTAAAATTACATTTTTACCAATCCATATTTTGTCTTTCATTTTTTGGGTTATTCAATTTTTTTAGCAAAGCCTTTTCCAAAATATCTTTCATTATGTTAATTTAATCGGTTTAAATATCATGGGATATGAAAAATGGATGGGAATCGCACAATGATGGTGAAAAGTGGAGCGTTTCCTGGTTTGAGAAACAATGCTTCATCTGAAGCTGGGAATTCTCAAAATTTTAATATTTCTGTTTAAACGCCATTACCGTTTCATGCTAATTGCTATGTTGATTCTGTGAGGCATTTAACGTTGAAAAATTTCCATTTTCTGGTTTTTCTTTTGGGTTTGTTTTGATTTCTCAGCTTTTTTGCTTTCATTCAATTTATTGGAAAAAAATCTCAAATTGTTTACAGGTTCCTATTGCTTTTAAAAATGATTTGTTTTGTGGTTTAAAATTCTGTGGAAACATGTTTTTATAAAAGTCCATTCTTGATCATATTTACCGATGAATTTTTGTAACTCGAGGGATTGAGGCTTTTTATGGTCCTTAATGTTGCCATTGACTATTTAGCCAACTTGAGAAATTTTTACGGACAGTTAGTATGGAAAGGTCAGTTATGTGGTTATCTAATACACTAATATAAACGAAAACGGTAATCGTTTCTCCTTTTTTCTGGTTCATCTTTTTTTGGTAAATGTATTCTCGTTTCCTTCTCATTGTTATTACTTGCATCATGCAGGGATAAATTGAGTTTACCAGGAATACTCAGCATGAAATGTGGATCAGGTGAAATAGCTTAACTTTAAGATGTGATTTTCATTTATAATAATGTTTTCTTTTGCTTGTTCAACTCAAAATTACTTTGCCACTGTTTTTACCTTTTTTCAGCCACTTTCAGGTTGAAATAAAATGATTGAATCAAGTTTTACAATCTCATGTTAAATTGAATTTTGTAAGGCTAATTGACAATCTAGACTTAACTGTTTCTCATTAAAAATTGAATGCGATACTTTTAGTTAAAGTCATTATTTGTCAACAAATAAATGGATCAGTTTGTGATCTCATCGATTTTAAAAGTCAACTCTTCATTGAATCAATTTAAACATTTCATCGGATCATTAAGACAACCATTAACCTTTTCAATATACAATGTTTATTTGGACAGAAATTGATCTTTTAATAAAAGACTTTTATTGGTTGACCTTTTCTAGGTTTTAAAAATAGGATTTGGATCGGTAAAGTTAATCATGCAAAAATTGCTCAGTAATTTTATTTTTTTAATCTTCTTTTTTATTGCAATCAGGAAAAAGAGGATCCATTCGTTGATTAAATCACGATTTTTGTTTCATTTTCAATTAAGAATTTGTGAGCTTCTTGATTTTTTATGTTTCATTTTCATTTTTAATGTGAAGAGATGGACTTATTTGTTGATAGCTGATTGATTGTTTACAAAATAGTTTCTGATGCAGCGAGTTGTGTCTCTTGGATTGATGAGTTTACAGATGAAATTTACAGAGAGTAAAGAGAAGAGAGGAAGAAAATGGAAGTGAGGTAGAAAAGCAAAAGGGAAGAAAAGGAGATGATAGAGAAGAGCGGGAAGTAAGAATACAATTTTCAAAGGTACAAAGAACAAGGGATTTAATGATGACAGAAAAAATTTAGTTGAGGTAACCGCGACACTGAGGTGCTCCACATAAGCAAGCAATCTTCTCATCTTCGATTGGAAATTTGTAATCGTACGTGATTTCTTCATCAATATCTATCGGTTGTTTAGAATATATCACAATTTTTTTCTGCCCTTCAACAGTGATAACTTTAGCATAACAATTTGGCTATGGAAAAAAGAGAAAGAAAATTGTTAGCGGAAAATTGATCATTTTAGAGAGCACAATAAATGGATGAGTGAATTTATAATAAGTGAATTAGGAAAATAAGATCAGAGTTATCAACTTACATTACAACTATGATTAATGAAACGAGCCAAATTACCACATTTGGTTGCATCAATAATAGTCTCAAAATCAACCCTAAAAAGATATGAGCTTCCAATGCCCATTTCATTATATTTCTTTTCCCTTAAGTCAGCCACGACGGGTCTAATCATCTGACCAACATATTCAATAACCATTTCATCAGCCGCAATTGGCTCCAAGGCAAAAAGTCCCCAATCGTGGATTCTACTTCTTGCAAATTTAAGTTGCTTTTTACGGAACTGAAATAAAAAATTAAATAAAAGCGTTATTAACTTGTAATTTTTAGACAAAACCCTGGAAGAGGTAAGAATCAAATTTCAAAAGTACCTGAAGTTGGTTAAATTTAACGAGATCTGACCAAGCAGCATCTACACTAGCTAAAAGTCGTCTTTGATTAGAGCGGGCTTCTCGGGTTGACTGTTGAGTTGTGGGAATTCGCGCTCTCAAGTCTTTAGAAGCATCTTCCCCATGAGAAGAGGTTGATGTGAGATACGAATATTTCATTTTTTCACTGGTAGTCATTTTATAATAACCTTCAGCACGGGCACAACCTGATAGATGAACTCTAGGATGATTATCATCATTTGTTTTACGTTTCTTTTTAGGCACAGTGTAACAAATTGTGGGAGGATGGTCAGACCAATGAGTATCATTCAAACAAAGCATTTGTGTTTCTGCTTGCAGCATAGCCTCATAACTTCGCTTCATATAATTAATATCCTCTGCATCAATACCATTAGTTAAAAAGTCGTACAGAATGTTCATTTCTTCTATATTACTTCTAGGCTTGAAAACAGATTTAACTTGTTCCATAAAATCATCAGCAACAATTTCATAGTCCAAAATTTCACTTGCATTTCGCTTAGCTTTTCTCCATTCGGAAGCCACACGAGGAAAACTAGGGAAATCAGAAATGACTGGTAATGTTCCTGTCGACTTCTTCTTACTTAAACGTTTTCCAGGTTTTTCATCCATATGCGTTCTACTATAACCATGATCATGATCATTATCGTTAGTTGTTTTAAATTCATTGATCATTTCAACATCAACAGAGCCTCTTGCGACGGAATCGATGACAGAGTCAATGCTGGGTTTAACTTCATTGGTGTCTTTACGAATACAATATGAATGGTCAAAGGCAACTGATTCAGCAGGCATATCATTATCAAATTTATCAGATTCAGGTGCTGAATCAGTTTCACTTTTTACCCTTTCTAATTCACTTGATTTTACATCTGAATGAGGTAGAACTTTATCTCCGGCTGGCGTGAAAGATGTAGCAAGTGCAACCAAAGCTTCAGATGCTTCAAGCCTTGCTAAGCCATCATCATTGATTTCCTGTTTTACTTCGGCGATTGACTTTAATTTGTTTGTTGATTTGGCAGTTTCTTTAGATTCTTTAGATGATAGACGATCCTTAAGAGATGTTTCATCGTCATCTGAACTAATGAGTTTACGATTATTAGATTTTGATTTAAGCTTGACCAATCTTTCATCATCTGAAATTTCAGATTCTTCATCACTGCCAGCTTCAGATCCACTCGAGTCAGATAAAGACTGATACTCTTCATCACTTGAACTCGAACTACTACTAGCAATACCAGAAGTCATACTTGAGCTACTGATACTGGATAAACTTTGACCACGATGCCGTCTTGCTTTTGTTTGACTAGATTCTGATTCATCTGACGAAGAATCATGCCTTTCATCTTCTATCACCGCCGCAGAGCGATTCCTTCTCTTCCAACTACTACTGACAGTAGCTCCATTTTTGTACATTTCCTCATCAACAGATGATTTTTTACTATCACCATCATCACGAGATTCTTCATCTTCAATTGGTGGTGTTGTTGGTTTTCTTATTTTACGCCGGAAAGAAGGCATTTTGGGTATCACTGAGCGAAGACCAAGGCCAAGACCAAAGCCCGTATTATTTATTTTAAAAGTATTAATTTCTTTACTATTATCATAAAAAGTTGAAATTGCAGCCCAAGAAGAGTTAATAGCACTAGCTTCTTCTTTTTTAACTTCTGGTTGTTGAGGTTGAGGGACTGAAGAGGCATCTTTGAGACGACTTTTTTGTTTTCTTTTATTCTCTTGTTCATCCCACCATTTGTCAAACATCCTGAAAGCTGCATTTTCTATCATTTTTTTACTAATATCTCGTTTGATAATCTCCTTAAGCTCGTTAACAATCTTTTCAAGAATGCCCTGTGTTAAAGGTCCTCTTTTGGATTCCAAACGTCGCTGTTTCCAACTTCCATCATCTTTATTATTCCTTTGTTGATTATGATGATGGTCATGATTGTTGTTTGAACTTCGCACCTTGTGGTTAACCATGTTATTTGTATTTGTCATTGCTAAAAAACCGGAGATCGGATAACTGGTAAAAAGTCCTGATGATGTGAATGGAAAATGGGAAAATGGAGGTCTAGAAGGTGTTAGTGCTAAATTTGTTAGTGGATATGAAAGAGGTTGAAATGTTTGATGAAATGAGCCAACGGAAGTAAGAAAACTTTGCTGACCCCCTGTGGGTGGCATTCCGAGCACTCCGGAACCCATTCCTGGTTTCCAAATGCCCATTCGGGCCATCATTTGAACTTGTTCACTTGGGAACATTGGATGGTGGACAATACCTGAAGTCATGGAGGGTTCATTAGCTGTGACATGAAGTTTTTCACCGCTGCTTAAAGATGATAATGACATTCTATCATCTGCGTCATCTCCGCCGCCGTTATTTTTCACATCTAAGGGCTTCTTATTTTTTAATCGCTTTTTACGAACATTCGTTGTTTCATCTTTTAATGGAGTTGCATCACCATCTTGGCCATTAAACGATGTATCTTTGCCATCCATATCAACATCGTCCTCTCCATCATCACTATCTAAACAGGGTTCCTTTCCAGAGTCAATTGCTTGAGTAAATTTTGACCATCTAATGTAAGATGCTCCATTTAAAAAAGGTGATGGTGGAGTACCAAGGATTGCATCACTTCCATCCTGCCTGAGCTCTAGCTCAGATTTACTATCATTCGAGTCCTCCTGGTTCAATGTCAGTTTGTTACCGAATGATTGTGTAAAATCTTGCGGAGTAGAAAATCCTTTTGTGTCAAAAGTTGGACTACCTAAGCCAGACATACCACCACCAATCTCACCAAGAAAACCTGGCGCTAAACCAATGTGTTGACTTTTGAGGAGAAGCTCAATTCTGGAATCAAGACTTTCTCTCATAGAATTTTGTGCTTTGTTCAATTCAGCTTGATTGGTGAAAGTTTGAGTAGATGGATCCCACACACCAGGTTGGTTAGCACCATGAGGCCAGCCAGGTATGTTTGATGAATTATTTAAATAAGACATAGTGCCTGGACCGTAAACATAGTTGCCATCCAGACCCATAGGTGTTGCTTGATTAGAATGGAAGTTTGTAGGACCGCTATTTTTACACGAATTATAAGTATGAGATGATTGGATACTAGGATGAGATGAATGTGGTATTTTATCAGATGGAATGGAGGCATGAGGGCTAGCTTCAGAATCGGGCACATCAGATTTACCAGTTTGATCACTTAATGTTTTGGGAGGTTTAGGTGGTGGATTGATGGCCATTTCCTTTTGACTATCAATAATTTTGCCTGAAAAATGGAAAGAAAAAAGAGATAACAATTTGTACAATCAAATAAAGATAAAAATAAAAGCATCTTACCAAGTGGATCGAAAAATACTGACAGAACGTTACCCATAACTGAAGTGTTATTCATCTTTTCAACACAAGCTTTGGCTGCACTTGTGCTGGCAAACGTAATTCTCGCCAAACCCAAGTGACGTTTAGTCTTAGGATGGTAAAAAATTTGCAGTTCTTCCACCGCTCCATATTGCTTAACTAAATCTTGTAAAAAATTTTCTTTAATATTATCATTTAAATTGGAAATTGAGACTTCTACTGGAGGAGGTGGTCCAATATAATTACTATCAATCTGTGAGAAAAGAGACAAAGAATAAAAAGATTAGTCAGAAGGTAAATTCGAAGGAAATAAAAGTGAAACCTACTTTGAACTTTGTTGGTTTAAATTCAAACTGTTCGGTGCTTTTCAATCGAATAGTTATAGGATTTCTAGGATCTCTAACTTGGACTGGAGGATATATACATTCCTTCTGTAAAAAGAAAAGAAAAAATATTAGATTCACAGTTAATACTTACATTGATTGAGTTGATCACTATTCGTGAATGCAAAAAGTGATCAATAAACAATCAAATGACCAAAACTTACCCCTGCCACAACACCTTCATAGCGGTAAACTTTGTTAGATCCTTTCTTAATAACCGGATCAACAATGAGTTTCCAATTATTATTAGACATTTGTTCAGGCTTCTTACCATGAGCAACATCAAAATTGGTTTACTGAGCTAATTTGGATAACAACATAATTAATATACATTACTTTATCAGTTTGAAGGGTCAATTTTAGACTTTTGTAACATAAATACAAACTATAAATCAATTAAATTTGTTAATTTCAACACGGAAAAAAACCACACCTGGAGCATCAAAGAAAAAACACTGGAATAAAATTATCTGTAATCAAAATATCGACTCCAAGATCTATCTGTTTGGTATCAACCATTTGTACAAAGAGCGCTTTTTTCAAAACAACATGTGTTTATATTTTTACATTTAATCTCAACTTTCTCGTTCAATCTACTAATTACCACAAATTGTTAATCTAATCCAAATTTGTTCAGGCTTTGATTGAGCATTTTGTATGCAAAAAAACATTCATGTGTTCAAAATTTCTCACTAATCTTTAAAAAAAAGTCAACTTGTCTCCAAGAGGTAAGCTCTTACAATCTTGTTAATCCAAACCAACCGTTTAAAAGCTATCGGTCATTTTTGGCCTTTTGTAGCGCATTTGTCCAAATGGTAATCCAAAAACTGAATAATGAGTTCGTATGAAAATCTTGAAGTCAACACTGCCAGATGTTATCAGAAATGTAAACGAGTAAAGAAATAAAAACATATTCTCTAAATGATTGTTTTTGTTTTTACAGATTACCTTTATCCAGAAAGTAATTGTATCAAGATAAAATTGTTATCAAATTTGTGTTTCCAATGTTCACAGAATCTGGTTGTAAGGTTAAAGATCTCCATCTTTAAAACGAATAGGTGATGGAAAATTGAGCTCATCGTTGAGTATATTTTCAAAAGGCTTATAAATGTAATATGGCAAAAATTGAAATCCTGCGAAAAACAAAGTCAGGTGTAAATCGTTAATTGTCTAGGTTAACTATTTATCTTAGCTAATCGACATCTGAATCAATCAAAAAGCTAACCAATTGAGCAGAAGCAATAAAATTGATCATAAAATTACTATCACCTTAATAAAAAAAACAACTTTTATAGATATAAAGATACTTGTGTCTCCACCATTGCTTGAAGCTTCCTTTTCCTTTATATTAACAGAGACAGACAGTGTTTATTATTACTAAAAAACCACACGTTAACTTTTGCTTACCATTCTTACATTACAATCACCAAATTAATTAAATTTAACTCTTCGATTATTGTCATTAATTAATAATGTCTTCACCCGAGGAAACAACAAACCTTAAAGCTGGTCATCCTCCTGCAGGTAAACGTTAATTTAATTTATCCATTATATAATAACCATTTAAATATTGTTGCTTTGTTTTTATCCCCTTTCTTCTGGTAACTTCACTATGCGCCTTATACGTTAACCTTTTTATTAGCTTTTTTTGCCATTTTTCTTGGTTAAATCGTCTGATTTTTTTGATTTTAGCTATTTTTTTCATATTAGTTAAAGGTTGACACTTTGTTTCCTTAATTTTGTTGAGTTTTATTGTAATTTGTCTTCTTTTTGAACCCAAAAAAAAAGAGGAAACAAAGCTTGAGATTTTTCTCATCTCTTTGCCTGGGCTTAATGCATCGTCATACTCAGAACGTCAGGTGTTTCTATCGTTTCTTTACCTTCATCATCGACTTGTTAAAAACTGAATGACGTTCACTGGGAACAAAGAGATAGTAATAAAGATGTTGATGGTGATGAAGTTTAAAGATAATTATCTGATAAACAGTCATGTAATATGATGTTACACATTTTGCTATTGGTTTGGTAACACACATTTTAATGTATATAAATATATCTTATTTATATTATATACTTAATATTTTCGGTCTAATGGTGCGGACAAAAAAATGATTCCCCTTGAAATTAACAGTTCATAGCCCATCCTTTCAATTAATCACTTAACCATGAAACTGATTCCAATAATCTTAAGCCTTCTCAATCTTAAACCGTTTTCAGTCCTAATTTTATTTAATGTATTTCTTCGCGAAAGAAATAATCAAGTAACATCAGGTTGGTTGATTGGCCCTGATTATCATTAACGTCTTTTTCACCCAATAACAATCATCATCATTGAGTTAGTTGATTATTTCGATCCTTCATTACCTTAATCACATTCATCTTCACCCTATTCTTGATGTCACATCTTGTTGCTGATCTGGTAACATTAATGCAAACAAACAATTTAGTCAATGTTGCTATTTTTCCATCGATTAGTCTTGATTATGATTAGTTTTTAAATTGATTCTTGTTTCTCTAAATGTTACAAGATGGTTGTTAATTGCTGAAACAATCACAGGTTATTAGAGTTGCTATCTGAATAATCAACAAAATCATCATATTGTACTAAATGTGATTACAATTTGATGATGTTAGGAAACCCTTAGTTATATGTTTTCACAGTCCCAATATGATAAACATTTGTTAATAACGAAAACAATTGAAGTTAAAATTTGTTATCAATTTTATTTACAATTAACTGTAAATACCAAACCAGTTAGAAACATAAAACTCTAGAAAAATGAGAGTCTTTTCCCCGTTTTCATTGTGGTGACAAAAAAACAATTAGTTAATATATTTAATCAAAAAAATTTGCTTATCAAGATATCAAATCTTGTTGGCCAATGATCTATAAGTCGGTGGCCATTTTAATTTCGGAGGCTGATCGCTTGTATAAAAAAAAGATTCAATTTGATCAAATGATGTCTATGATGGTGCGAAAAAAGTAGTTGAATTTGATGCACAAGGGTCTACCTTGTAGGGATCAAATTAGATGATGATGTTGGCTATTTGGACGATTATAATTAAGTTTGTGTGGAAATTATAAAATACAACAAAATATACGAGTTTTACATGTATTGATGTTGCATTGGTCCATAACCCTGATGATGATGGTGAGGACCGTGTCCATGGTGGGCTTGTTGTTGAGCATATGGATGTGGTACATAAGCAACAGCAGGATTGGCACCAGACATTTCCATGTGATGTGGTGGATAAGGCATGTCCATTCGTTGGGCATCAAATGGGAAAGGCATCATCATTCCTCTGTCACCCTTGTCTGATGATGGAACTGGTGAACTACCGGAAGTCATACTGCCCACTGGCATGGATCCAGCAGCCATTTGACCTTCTCTTCGTTCAGATCCATGGCCCCAGCCAGAGTGATGGTGTACATGCTCATAATGAGGAACAGGCATTGGGAAAGGAATGTGAGTAACCTTTGATTCTCCTGGACATTTGCCTCCGCCAGAAGATAAAATGATCTTGTGACCTTTACCTGTTCACATTTTATACAATGTCCAAAAATTCGAGTCATAAACAGGTTAATAGAGACAAAAAGAGAAAAATAATAAAGTAAATAGATTGTTTCAACTTGATAGAAATATTCAAATCACTCAAATTCTGATGTAAATTAGTGAACCTAAAATTTGAATTTGCTTAACAACTACCGACTAAATTTAAATAACAATTGACTTGAGGTTTCAACTTTCACTAATTTGAAAACTTGATCATTTTACCGCTCAACACTTGAACGTATTAATTGTTTTGATTATTATTCTAATTGATTTTGTTTTTCTTTTTTCTTCTCTAGTCAATTCTGGAATTAATGGAATACTCACCCTTCTTTCCTTTGCCTTTCTTGCCTTGACCAGCAGTTTTGACAATTGTCCTTGTATGTCCACCGCACTTACCACCGCCATTATTGTTGATTACAATAACTTCATCTTGGTTCATCTTTTTACCTGCCTCGACAAGGCTAAGGTTAACATAGAGAAGGGCAATAAGAAGTATACTCCAAATGGGACTCATTTTGATTGTTGATTTGAAAAAAAAGAAGACAAAAAAGTGGATAAAGCTAAATGGATTGACACAGCTAGGAAACTGAATAATATCACAAACAAAAAGCACAACTGTTTGGTGTTTTACTATCCAAGAGACACTTTACTCGACACTACCAAGTTGGATTCCAATACTATTTTTATATGATGTTCACTTGTTGACTGTTATCCATGAAACTGAATCAAATTTAGTGAACGCACTTGTGTTTTAAAGTAAAACCTATTCGCTTGGACGATTTTTGTCATCGCTCGCAAATCCCTCCTTCGATTACTCTCATATACACTTCTACCCGTTGGTGCATCTTTTCGCCCCCTTAGTCTTCATCACCACTGCCACCACCATCATGATCTTATCAGATTTGTCGATATTGAATATCTACATGAAGCCGATAGTTTTACCTCCATTTTGTCAACTCGCAATCATAACATCTTGTTTACAGAACCTCCTTCAGCCCTTCAATGTTGTAAGGTTAAGGCTCACCTAAAAACGTATTGAACGATGAAATTTCTTCCTCTCTTTTCACCATCTTTCATTCTCTGTCTAAATGTTCCTGTCGACACTGATACATGACAATCGTTGAATCAACATTGAATCAATACGATGACAGAATTGAGAAAAAGAAAGACACAAATTATTAATTTTTGCGAAAGGTGACTTACCCTTTGACTGAGCGTTACTTTTTTTCAAGGTTTAAAGATTTATTTGATTGCTTTTGAATAATTTTATCCGTATATATTATACAGCATTTATCATATCTTTTATCCGATTCAATCTGAAATCTTGCAGGATGATCTTCTTGAAAGAATAAGGTAAAACCGTTTCTCTCTTTTTCTCTTAATCTTGCTCGTTAAACTGCCGTTAAACACGTACTAACAAACTAACGTACATTGTCCCAATTATTTGCTTATGTTGATGGTTATTGTGATTAAGCTAAACCCATAACACGTATAATCTCATCCATTGAGCATAATGTTGAAAAAGACCATCAGATGAAAGTGACACTTTCCCTTCAGCTAACAGACCGTTTCATCGGCGAATAACCTTTACTTTGATTTTTACACTAAAAATCAAATTAAATAATCAAACAATCATTCTCATTAATAAAACTAATCATGGCCCATTCATTAAGCCAAAAAATAGCTCATCAACAATTTACATCAAACTGATTTTTCCATGGATCATCGACTCAAGCTTTTAAGACACTTCAATCCCAATCATTGACCAATTTGATTATCAAATGATTGTAAATCTAAAGTCTAGGTTAATCCAACATTTTATTAATTATCCAATTCTCAATCAATATTTCAAGTTAACTCTAATTGTTATCCATTTAGCATTTGAAATTTTGCTCATTTCATTTCTGATTGCATCTTTGATTATCAATTTATTTCAATTATCATCTTTACCAGTTGATTTATTTTGGTTTTTTTTGTTTTTTCTTGTTCTTATTTTCATTTTTGATTATTGATATTTCATGTTCGTTTCAGTTGATTTAACAGAGTTTCTGAATTAATTGATAACAACAGTAAACAGCAAACTGTGCGGACATGATTTTTCAATCAATTGATCACAGTTTCTTGCTCAATTGATATTTATTGCACACTTATTCAGTATCTTTTTCATGTATATTTGTATATTTGTACTGAAGAGTGAAAAAAAAGGTGAAACAAGATATTGTTGATTAACTATTGGTTTAATTACCAACAAACCCATTAATTAGTTGAATGTGTTCTCAATTAGACTGATGTGATGTTCAACTATTGATCATCATTCAGTCCTGTGAACAAGTTAATCACTTGCCTCTTAAATGGTCCCGATTTGTATTAACTGTTAATCAGTATTGACTGTGACTCGAGATGTTTTGTTTTAAGCCTTTCTAAACTGTTAATCATCTTGATCATGATAATTTAAAAATATATTTATAATATTGTTAATCAGTGAAACAATAATTTCAACTCGACTGATAACTGTTATTATTTAAACTACTTTAGCCGACATTGATAGAGAAAGTTAATTTATATTTATATTCATTGAAATGATTACCATTCTGTTCATTTAACTCATGATCAGGCTCTTATGTTGATTGAATAGTTAATAGTTGTTGATTGGACAGTAATAATTATATCAATCGATCATCTGACTAATTGTCTTGAATCACAATTGTTTTCATGATATTGTTCAACTCTTACTCACTGTCACTATTAACATTTAAATTATGCTCTCATGATTGTCCCATTTAGATTTATTTATAAATTTATAAATTGTTTCAAATGTTGCTAAAATCCTGATAAATTAAAGGACAGCTTTGATTTGGAGATCAATTTGAATTTGTTTAAATTGTACTTCATAGTCAATTAGCTTTTGATTCAACATTCATGATCATTTAAGGTTATTAACCCTTGATTATTGTTTTGATCAACCAAATGATCATTGTTACATCATTTTACCTTATAATCAAACAGCAACATCTGTAATCATGTAATCTGTCTATTTTCATGGGTTATCTTATGCTCTGTTTGACATCTGATAACCAATGATAATGGTTAAGTTTCATTCATCCTTTGCTAGTTTATGGTTAAGAATATTTGAAAATCTAGTTTGAATGATTAACATTGAATTTGAGTTTTAATTGTCTTTATTTTTAATCATTCATTTTGTCACTCATAATTGCTTTCAATTTTAAAGGTCGAACTGAAATATTTAAATATAAAAACCCAATTCTTATGCGTTATTTGCTACTCAAATTACGCTCTTATTTGGATATTTGTTCATTACTTTTGATGTTTAAAAGAAACGCACGAGTTATCTTTGATTTGTACATCTAATTGTTGTCAAAGATAACTTATCTTACTATCACATTTTAATTTGAATCATTTCAGCTAGCACTGAACAAAATGTAGGTGAATGTTACCATGATTTACAGTATGTCAAGGTATAAATTGAAGGTAGGTTAAGATATTTAAACGCTTTCGGTGTAACATTAAGTTTATTTGGTTTACATTGAAAATGAACAAAGATTATTGAACATTGAATGTTACTTATAAATTGACAAGAAAAGTAATAATTATATCATACATAAACATGATGAATTCATGTATTATTCAAGTCTAATGCGTGTTGGAAAAGGTTAATGTTAGGTATTTTAAGATATTGGGAGGAAGGAAGAAGAGAAAGATGAAGATTATCTTAATAGTGATGATGATAATGATGATTATTGTGATAAGGCAGCTTAGAGAGTCGGAGATGGACAGATACTAGACTCTTTAGGTCACATGAAAAGCTAATTAGAGTTGCCGACGTTAGACTTGCAAACTATTTGACTATTAAGATCATTGATAAATGTTTTACTTGTTCAATGAAGAAACATGAAACATGAATGTGTCTCTCTGTGTTTCACTGGACATTTATACTGTCAAGGTGAGTTGTTGTTGAACTATGTTGGTCAGTGTCGGTCCCCATAACAATTTTAAAATGACTGTAAAGGAGGAGAAGAAGAAGAAAGACTGAAGACGAAAAAGAAAAAGAAAAAAGAAAAAGGAAAAGATCAGATAAAAAAGATGAAGTAAAATGATAACAGGTAAACCAGATAATAGTTTGACTCTTATATTGATACACTGCTTTTCAACGAGATTATTGATGACCACTTTTTTCCAACTTTAATACAAATTGACCATTGTGACCAATTCAAGCAACACTTTAACTCCATTCCACTCAAAACTTGCCAGTTTCATTATTTTTAGTATCTATTGCCGTCAAAAATATATTGCTTCTAATTCATCAGAGATTTATAAGTCTTAAACTGTGATTTACAATTCCAGTATTTCAAGCAATTAATGCATGTCAATTTAAATCGGAATGTGTTTATTTTCAGGCTCAATCAGTTCAATCCAAAACCTAATGTTCGATGTCAGAGAATCAATTTCAATCAATTTCATTCTTTTACCTAATGCTAACTTGAATTGATTTGAGTAAAAGTTAAATAAAGCAACAAAATTTTAATTTTAGTCTTCTGTTGAAATCAAAAATTGATTAATCCTTTAATTTAAATCTCTTTAGTCAAAGTCGGTGGTATGCGAATAACACAACACAAGACTGAGAAACCAAAAGAGGAAAAGGAAACTCGACCAGTTGAAGAGGATGAAGAGCAAGAAGCTGGAATAGTTGTTCCCGAAGTTGCCCAAAAAAATCAAAATATTGTAATCTCTGGTGCAGTTACTCGAGTATGTTGATTGTCTTTAACTTATTGGAAAATCATTGATTAAAATTACAATTGTAATTGTAGTTTAAAACATGTCTTGAAATCCAGTTTTGCTAGTAACCTAAGAGTTACTTTTCTGTCCCTCCTTGCCAAATGCCAATCAATGGATAATTGTTATTCTTGTTAATGGTTTTCCAATATCTTTGATGATATGCTTTTTCCAGCTTTCCTATAACATTAATTTGTTTAATTTCTCAATTCTCTTAGGGTGATGCTGACTTTCCTCCTGAAGCAATCAAAGCATTCCATGAAAAACCTGTTCCATCCCATGATTATCGGGCAGCTCCACCAAAGAACCATACAATTCAACAACCAAGGAAATGAATCTGTTATCCGTCTTTGTAAAAATTGAAGGAAACAAGAAATGAAACCCATTCCCTTCAGATAATTTTTTCAAAAATTTCAGTCTAACCAGAAAAGAAGCTTTGATATTTTGAAAATCTGATAATCCTAAAATTGAAAACTTAACTAACAAAATTAATATCAAGTTGAAAATAAAAATTTAACAATAAATCTAATTGTGTTTCAAATGATTATCAAATAATTCTAAAACATTTACTTCAAATATTGAAATAAATTGCTCAGAATTATCAAAAATCGTTTTTTAAATCACAGATCTTCATCTTCATTGATGACTTCGGCAACAGCTGATGTTATTAACGATGAAGAATTGGAAATGTCTCGAGTTTTGGTTTCAAGATTTGGATTTGTAATGGCTGTTGATCCACATGAAAGTATCTTATCAATATAAGCGGTTAACAAGCTCTTCAAATTTTCGCAGTCATCTTTCATTTCAAAGTTTCCATTGGTGAATCGAGCATCAGTTGTATCTTTATCCCGATTGGATTCATTGAGAAGCGAATTCAACGCAAGTTCGGTTCTTTCCTCCCAACCCTGCAAAAAACAAAGGAAAATGAATTAACCAATTGAACCAGATATAAAGAAGGATAAACAGATAAATCAAAAGGCAGATTCTGACCAATCATATCAAAAAGTGTCAATCAACAAGCAAAAATAGGAGTCACCAGACATAACCAAATTTGAATCAACCTTAATTTACTTATCATTGGATACTGATGACAACAATTCAAATATGGAAGTCAATAGATAAACAATTTGAGTCTTCATGGAAAGCTTTTACGAAATTGTAAACATTTACATCAAAAGTACCTCGAGATGCTCAATTTTGAAACCGTTAATCAAACTAATCAGATGATGATAACAATCCAACAATTTTCAAAATTGTGATGTTCATCTGATTAGTTTGATTAACGGTTTCAAATACCTGTGTCAGTAGATTTTTCTCTTTCCTTTTGATCAACTTTGTTGAAATGTAATTTATTATATAGATATAAATATATTGAGGAAAGGTATAATTAATTGGAATCAAATTGTTTAATCCTGGAAAAATATTTTATCAAATTACCTGATCTTAAATAATACTGAATTGAAGGGAAAACATTACATTTTTTAAAGCTTAAACAAAAATCTATTTTTTTCTCTTCTTTATCAATATATTTTGCAGAATGAAAAAACACCAAATTGTGCAATAAATGTTAAATAGTTAACTAAATTGCTGTATCCTAACCTTTAATAATGTTGATGTAAAAAATGTAATTCAATTAATCAACAATATTGTTGCTGACACTTGATCAAAATTGGATAAGATAAAGTGTACTAATTGAAAATACACTTTATGATAGTGTATACATTGAAAGTTTATCCCTGCAGAGTTACTCTGAATTGCTCAGTCTTTTCATTTAGCTGCATGAAGAGTGATAATGAAGATAAAAAATGTTACACTCTTAGTACCAATAATAACCTTCAACATCATCACCATTGATATCAATTAACTTACCACCTTAATTGAGGTTCAACTTCTCCTCAGTTTTCATTCCCAATCAACAAATCACACACATACACATACAAAACATAGACAGGTTGATCATTTTCAAGTTAATCTTTCTTGTTCCTATTAAACTTGATCGTCAACAGACAAACTTGTTGGCATTGAATCGTGATTCTGGATGAAACTGATTATAAACTGATAATATTATAATAACTAACAATGTTTACAATATTGATATCATTGAAAATCAACAACATTGAATATGGAGATGAACCAGCCAAAATGCAATTGAACACTTTTTGAAATTCAAACCAATCAGCTAATTGTATTCATTTATTACCTCATCAATATCAGATCCAATTGATGAGCTCCAAACATTTTTCATAATCATTGTCTCTTCAGGCTTCATTTTACCAATAATTTCAAGTAAATTGTGAAAAAGTTCCGTTGATGCAGCCAAATGATTAGTTGATCGTTCAAATTCACCTTGAGTTGTGACAAGCTGATTGGTGAGATAAAGTATCTGAAATCAGAGAAAAGAAAAAATTATTAGAGATTTCAAAACAATCAAATTTACATAATGTTTACAAATCAAAGCAACACTCAACTACATCATCTAATTGATTTATTTGTTAAAAATTCATCAAACTAAATGTTGATCATTACATAAACTATAAAGATTGCTCGTTAAAAATTATCAAGATGATGATACATAAACATGATGAATTCATGTATTATTCAAGTCTAATGCGTGTTGTAAAGGTTAATGTTAGGTATTTTGAGATATTGGAAGGAAGGAAGAAAAGAAAGAAGAGAAAGATGAAGATTATCTTAATAGTGATGATGATAATGATGATTATTGTGATAAGGCAGCTTAGAGAGTCGGAGATGGACAGATACTAGACTCTTTAGGTCACATGAAAAGCTAATTAGAGTTGCCGACGTTAGACTTGCAAACTATTTGACTATTAAGATCATTGATAAATGTTTTACTTGTTCAATGAAGAAACATGAAACATGAATGTGTCTCTCTGTTTTCACTGGACATTTATACTGTCAAGGTGAGTTGTTGTTGAACTATGTTGGTCAGTGTCGGTCTCCATAACAATTTTAAAATGACTGTAAAGGAGAAGAAAGAAGAAGAAAGACTGAAGACGAAAAAGAAAAAAGAAAAAAGGAAAAGATCAGATAAAAAAGATGAAGTAAAATGATAACAGGTAAACCAGATAATAGTTTGACTCTTATATTGATACACTGCTTTTCAACGAGATTATTGATGACCACTTGCAACTCATATTTAAACGAATCTGACTGATCATTGTTACCCATTCAAGCAAAAATTCAATTTCACTTTCAACTTAAATCCTTTTACTGTCTGAATCTTTTGCTGGTCAATTTTGTCCAATCTTTCAAAATTTTGTTTCTCCTCAAACGAACCAAGAAACTGAAACATTTCAGATTTATCTTCTTCTCGTCCGGCCACCTTCAATTAAAGTCGTTTTCTTAGTTTAATTAATCATTAATCAAGTTTTCTGTTCACAGTTAATTTATTGCTATAGCTAATTTATTTAAGCTGTAAGATGACGATTGAATCATCCATTAAGTCGCTCATAAATTTATAATGGGCTTAAGATGTTGAAATAAAGCAACTAATCTTTACTTTGCAGTTTAATATTTGAAATGAAAACAAAACATGATTCAGGTAGTTTGATATTATAAATTGATTAGGATTAAAGTCTGTCCCATTAATCAATTAGAATTGTGAAGCAGTTGAAAGCAATTGAAACACACAACTAAACACACATAGGAGTCGTGAAGAGGCCAATGAAGATGAATTTACAATGTATTTACAAGCTCAAGGGTAACAAAATGTTTAAGGCAGTCCATCAATAACGTCTGTAAATTATTAATAATAATGAGTAAAATGATTAAATTAGGAGCGCCTATCAATCATTGGGAAACAAAAAAAATGATCATTATGATTACACTCCCATTGATTAGCATTGAGTTCTTAATCAATTATACAAACTTGTTGAGCATGAAATGTAAAAGAAACAAAAAACATCTAAAAAACAAAGTAAAATGCGTAATCAATCTTATTTCAATTGTAAAGTAAATTGGATATGCATTAATTAAATAGAACAGATTCATGTGATGAGTGATTGCGAATTTTACATAATTTCAATGTAAATCTTCTGAGGTTTTCATGTTGACTCCTGGACCTAATTGATTGTAAACAGCAATGTTAATGTTTTGAATCCTTTTTCAACTAAAAGTCAAGATTTCATGTTTGCATGAAGAAATGCTTTTAACTCTTTGATACATTGAATACAAATTCAACAGTGAATATGATCATGGTCTTATCGGCTGGAGCTTTGAGAAAACTTGAAATAGAAACTGATAAATCAAGACTTGAACTAGATTACTGTCTGAATTAGCAATTAATTTGTACTCACCTTTGAATAGATTTCATCGAGTAAAATATCAAGATTAGATAGTGGAGTTGGATTTCGATCTTTAAATTTAATCAACAACCTTTTCTGAACTGCTCGAAAGTAACTTGTTTGAGTGGCCAGATTTTTGGAAAGATTGATTATCTTGATTCGCAGGTTGAATCGTTTATCCAAACAATTTAAATACAAATCAAATGGCAATGATGATCTGTCATAGGAGATTGCTTCAAGGTTGATGCGAGATGATTTACATCGGCTGATAAATTCATTGATAACTATTGAAATACCATGTAAATTGTTGGAACGAAATTTGATTTTGTTTAAAGAACCTTTCATTTTTATTCCACCTGAAATAGTTACATGAGAAGCTGGTTCGGTGTAAAAGCTAATTGACATATTATTAGAGTCAATATTAGATTCATTTGTAGGAATTGAAAGTGAGGTTGGTATAGGTGAAGCTGGAGATGCTTGGCGTGGATTTGATGACACAGAAACAAGATCATTGAACATTATCCTTAAATCAACTGGCATTTGAACAGCAAACGCTATATCAACATTGTGAGACATTGAATCACGATAAGATGATGGAGATGAAGAGGTTGGTGATAATGGTAAGGCAGATGAAGGCGAAGATAATGTTGACTGAAGTCGACAAATCAAGGATAAAGGTAAGTAAAATGGTTTACGATAAACTCGAGGACTTCCTGAGGCATTGGTGTAAGTAATGAGTATCGATGCAGATAAATTAATCGGTAAAATAAGGTTCGATAAAGTGGCCGTCAGAGTTGTTACTTGAGTTTCATTTCCAGCTAATATAGAAGGATAATTTAATAAGGATGGTTCGAAAGCAATTGGTAATCCAGCTTCAATTGAAACTCTTACATTTGATACAGCATTTATGCAGGTTAGTGAAATTGTTAGAGCAACCATTGGAAGTAGATCATCAATGGCCGGTCCTGTCGATGATCGAACTAACGATGTTACCAGATTACCGAGGGTCACTTTGATATCACAGTTGTCATCGTTTGTTGATCCTTTCACTGATAAAGATCCTATAGCGCCAAAATTACCTCCCATTGATCCACTTGCAGGGTTTGAATTAAACGAAGCTATGACTTTTCTTAATTCTGTCAATTCAGCTTCAGTCTCGGCGTAAGTTAGATGAGAAGAAGTTCCTTGTTCATCTTGACGAGGTGTTGAGAGTGTAACTGATGGACTAGTTCCAAGATATGAAGCAGCTAATTCCCCTGAGGCAGAAAGAGTCACAAGAGAACCGTGAATGTTAGGAAACGAAGCACGAGCCAAAGCAATAGGAGCAAATGGAAGTTGACAAGACCATTGTAACTTATTACCAGAATAAATCAGTAAATTGCCATTTTCGCTTGAAATCAGAATAATAATATTGTCAGATGCTTGATTGAGATAAGATGTTAGGGAATATGGAGTGAAATTTAGTTTCTTCATCCAGCTGACTATACCAGAATCACGAATAATGTACAAGTTACGTTCACCTAAGGCCACGATGAGGCTAAATTTTTTACTCAGAGTATGAGCTTGCAGATCAATCAAAGGTTCACCAATTTGTAAAGACCAATCGGGTGTTACACGACGACCAGATGAAGAGACGACTCTTTGATTAGAATCGGGATCTGGCAACTTAATATCATTTGCCTTTGAAATAGCCAACACTTGATAGCGAAACGATTCAATAAACCAGGCTCCATTGGCAACAACAAAAGAATCGGTTGTGGGTAAATAAACAATAGGACCAGGTAGCATAAAATTAGTTAAATGACGGCTAAACGCAAAACTTTCTTGTTCATAAAACGATAAGGTTCCATCAATAGACTGTACACACAGAAAATCTCGACCTGCAAGACAATAAAAATTAAATGTTTCATATTCCGCAGTTGTAAACACACAATTATTCAACTGTTATAAATCAATTACAAATGACTCGAATAAAAATAAGCGCGTAAATTAAGGGACTGATTACTAATTACGGCTTACAGATTTCGGCTTACGGTTTCTTTACCTGCAATCAATTTAATTCAAAATCAGGAATTCTAATCATATTGGTATAAGAAGTCTATTAATTGATTGGAAAGATTGATTAATTAATACATGGCCTCAATCTATAATTTATCATTTTTAGCTCTGCTTTGTATAACAAATACCTTGGATTAGTTTCACAATTTAATTAATCATTCTGACCATTTCTTATTTAAATATTAATTCTATTGGTGATCAACATTTTCCATTTTATCAACAGTGAATTTAATTAATACAAACCTTTAATTTGGCCAAAGGGTCCAATAGTAAAGTTATAAGCACTTTGTGGTAAATTGTGTTCGTAAATAAGCAAAACATTATAAGAGGATCCATATTCAGTGACACCAATTGTCGCTAAAGGAAAGTAAAAGAGTGAGAGCGAAAAACAAAAAATAAATCAATCAGCTAATTAATAAATCAATTAGTTAGCAATTTGTTATTCAACTGTGATTCTGATTAATGTCAGGATGTAATAATGATTGATACTTGTTTTTACCCTGAGCAAATACCCAATGAGAAAACCTGATTTCAACGAGTCACAGTAAAAAGACTTGTCTTTAACCCATTCCAGACATTCTTAATCATTACTGGATCAATGAATGAAGACTTTTCAAATTGATTGTTTTACAATGCTCAATGAGTGTTTGTTAATCAAATTGTAAAAGCAAAATTTAATTCTTTCTAATCCAATTTACAGATTAACTAAACTATGGCGGTTCCCCAAAGGCAAGACAATCCGGATTATCAGTTTTGCGCCAACAGATTAGCTGCTTAAACCCAAGACCTGGGAACCAAAAGGAAACCAATTTTTTCAAATCTTCAACATTCAACTCTTGAAACCATAAATCTGTGAATTAGCTGATTCAGATGTCCAGAATAATTTGAGAACCGATTTCAAGCGGAAAACACAAAAATTGCAAAACCTTATCATTGTAAGTTGATTGAATAACATTTATTCTAGATTCTGATCAAATTATGTTTATTATCAACATTTAATGATCATCTTCAGAAGCAGTTGAAGCTTTTAATTGTTTTGTAAGCGTGTTCACAATTTAATTTAAACATAAACAACTTATCAAATTACTGGTTAATGTTTTCATTTGTCGGATCTACTAGGCCTAACAACAGGCAATGAAGCCACCAATGCCACCAATACAGTTTCAAATGTTTACAGTTGTTTACGATTGATTAATGATTGTATTTAATGGTTAGTCGTTAATTAATTTTCTTGTTACTTAGTAAAATGAGGTTTAAGTTGAACTTAGCAACTAATGATAGGCAGAAGACTTCAAGCAAACCTAGGTAAGTACTAGAAGCTATAACCTGAAAAAGGTAACATTGGAAGATGTATTTTGTTTTAACATTTCAACTAACTTGGACAACAATTTACCTTTTTTTTACCTTAACAATACATTTACAATCGAAAGGTAAAGATTCTAAAAAGCGTCTAATGACCTGCTAAATGAGCTTCAACTCAACCTTTTTTGTAGTTGTTTATTAACCTTAACAATTCAATAATTGTATAGTGCTTTTATTGTCATTAACTGTGTACATATTTTAGACTCTGGTAAACCTCAATATTCATCTGACAATTAAATTACTGCAATAATTTAAATTGAGACAATGTTTGTTTGTGTCGTATTGAGCTTTTAAGATTTATATCTTTCCCTGAACATCAAGTATAAATTGTCACTAAATCAATATTAATTTATAAACACACATTTAATCAAAATCTTGTGGCCATTTGAAACAACAGGTAAACCCAAAAAATGGTTAAACACGTTGGCTTTCAGCTTGTTGACACAGTGTATTTATATAGATGAAAAGAGGCATTCACTTTGCATATTTGCAATCCTTTTTTTTGGTTTGTTGTTACAGGTTGCTATTATTACAGTTGTTCACACACAAAAAGGCATCAAATGTAAAACAAATTGTGGTCAACATGATTACCCATTTCCAATATTAACAACATCAAACGCATAGTTTGTCTAGAATGTAAAATGTAGAAAAGCTTTGGTAACTGTAAATTGATAGCAAAATGGCCTCATCTGCATTTACCTGTGTTGACAGAAAGGGTAAACATGACCACATGTTTAATGTGAAAATTTTGATATTTTCTGTGTGTAAGTATCAACAGTTTGTGGTAAAAAGAGGGTTAACTTGGGTAAGGAAAGTCTGAATAATGATTTAAGGAAAATTATTTCGTTTTTTTTTACTATAAATTTGTTTGTAGGAGGGACAATTGATGGATTTTGTTGAAAAGGTAAAAAATGATTGTAATGATTACCTGCTGCTGAGTAGATTGATATTTTTCTTGGATGTAAAACAGCCAAATGAAGTGATTTACTGGCAGAAAGAAGAAGGCCTGAAGCAAGTTGAAGTATTGGCTGTCTCAAGTCAACTTCAAGAAGAAGATCATTTGCTTGGAATGGCTTTAATCGTTTATCATCAAGGGTATTTGCTGTTGAATAAATCCTTAAGATTCCTTCATGGCTTCCGGTTATTATTTTATCTATTATGCAAGAGAATATGAAAAAAGTTGAAATTAATTTAACAAAAATAATAAATTCAAAAAAAGAGCGTCAAGACAAATGACCGGGAAAATGGGTTGACATCATATGGAGATCATGTGGCAAAGCTGAAAAGGCTTAGCTTTAGCTTTTTTTGTTTTAATTTTTTCCCTTCTATTTAATCTAATTAAATAAAGTTTAAACACAAATTTACGCTGGTTTGGATTACAATTTATATTGTAGCTATTTGTGTTTGCTGTTTAAAATTGTCGCCAATCAATGAAATCCATTAAAGAAGGACTTCAACGGTTGTTTGTGATTTTCTAATTTTTTCATGTGTGTTAAATCGAGTGACGCCAACTCTTGGACTCAACTCTAATCCGGACTGTCAGAAATTTGTGATCAACTTTTTAGTGTCCAACATGATGAAAATTAGTTTGTTTTCTTTACAACGTTAATCCTCAATAAACTTAAGCCGGATTGTCAAATTTGAAATGGTACCTTATGCTTTTATTGCTGCTGTTAATCATCCTTATCATTCATCACTTGTTATTATTTCTGGTGTAACCATGTTCAACCAGAAAGAGGTAAAAGGAGAGAGTGACCATTAAAATCATCATATTTATATCATTAGTAAAATATGAATTATCATTGGGTCAATTGGAAGGAAAAGGGAAAGTGAAAAGGAAAAGTTAACAAAATGGTGTAAAAGTTGTAAAACTTACCTGAATTATCTCTGCTATTGTCAATATTGGAAATGCATAAACATGTTGGACCGAAGTTTTCATCACTTCCAGCATTTGTTGTCCACCAATCACGAGCACGAAATAGAGACATTGAAAACTGGTTGAAGGTGTTAACAGGCTAATCAAATGACCCTAACTCCACCTCTCCTGTCTTTACTGGTTTTGATTGATTTAATCAATCAATTACAGGTTTTTCAAACTAATTTATGACTGACTCTCGGCTAATCAGATACAATTTGGCGAATTTGGACGGTAAAGTAAAACTATATAACTATCCAGGTTGCAGATAATTTCATTTCAATTCATAGACGTTTACTTTAAAGCTGAGATGACAAAAAAAATGATGAGTTGTCCGATGAAAAGATTGATTAGATTAATTGTTTAAAAGTTAATTTCCCTGTAATCATCAAAGTTGAATAATGATCCGTTCTTCAATTTAAAAAAAATAAATAAATAAGATTCACCAATTAAGCTGGAAAAAGAAGCAAGAAAAATGGAAAAATGGAAAAGAAGACGTTTTTAAGGTTAGACCGTTAACCGACGCTGTTTGTCCAATGATCAACAAATAAATGACATTAAAGATAAGTTAACTGGAACAATTAGAAAGTTGTGATGATTAAACCGAATTAACTAATAATTTTAAATTCTCTTGACATCTGATAGCGAATTCAAAGGAAAAAAATGGACACACAGAGAGGATAAAATTCAAAACAATGGGTTGTCAAGGAGTTTGATGATGATATATGAAAATGAAAGCAAACCTGGATAACCAAAATAAAGCCAAGAAAGGAAGGAAAGCAAGTAAATAAGTGGGTGGAAAGGGAGTTTCAGGTGATGATAATCGAAGGAGGATAAAGGAAAAGCGACTGAAAAAATAGCAGTTCCCTAAGTTGCCATCTTTTACCCACAATGGTTATCATTATTTCAAATGACTATTATTATTGTTTGGAGAAAAAATTTGTGGAAAATGTGATGCTGATGCTAATGATAACAATACGAATTTAACTGCAAGGTTAGTCGTATTTGCCGTTTAATTGGATCGACAGTGGAAAGGTATGCAATTTGTATTATGATAATGTTGAGAACGAGAAGGAAATATCTTAAATGATGCTGTAAATTTGAAGGGAGACTTAACCACTTAGAATGATGTCACGAGCAATCCTAAGGAGTAAAAAACAAGATGATGATAGTTTTGTGAAGATTGAGAGAGAGAGAGAGAGCCTAAGGAATGAGAGACAGAAAAGTGAGCTAAAAGAGTGGGGTGGTGAAAGGCAAGGGAGATAGAGAGTAAGAGAGAAAGAGGAATGAAGATGATGAGGTCCAAAGTAGGAGCCACTGACAAGCTTTTAACTCTCATCTCGACCAGTTTGCAAATCGTTGAAACAAGAGAAAGTACAACTTTAGTTGGAATCAATATCAATATAACATCAAAAATAAATAAACACTAAACATCATCTTTACTCCTTAATCATCATCATCATTTCATCACATCCTCTCTCATCTTCATCATCGTCATCATCAATATCATCTTCATTGGACAGTAAAATTAAACATGATAACCATAATTAATGGTGAAAGAATTAGACAAACGTTGTTACCATCATCATCTTCATTTACTTTTGTTGTAAACTTTACTCTATCAAGTCTAATTTTCTTTATCATAATGAATAATCAAAAGATCATCTTGGTCTCATGTTTCAAAAATTTAAGTTTTATCCAAGGTAGGAATTGTGTAACAAAGTAATTTGATTCATTTGTTTCCTCGAATCAATGTGCCCAATGCACCAACTTGATTCACCATCAACATCATAATCGTCTTCGTTAACATAACATTACTTCTTTATCCTTCATGTTTGTTAAATCAATTAAGGATTCAAATTAACTAAAGTTTTCTTTTCTCATCTTCTCTTTGTGATTCAGGTTCACCGATAAAGTGTTCAAACGAAGGCCAAACAGTTAAAGTTCCGTTCTTATCCAAAGACCCTTGTATTACGTGTAAATGTACAAATGGTGAAATTGCTTGTCAACGCGATTCTTGTTTTGGCTTTAAAGGTGGAGGAATAGCAAGTCTCAGCGGTGGAAGTGGATGTGGAAGAGGCACAAGTTGCGGTTCCAATAGACGCTTAATTGGTAACAATTATGTTTCCAATAACGCCAATAACAATATTCTTAATGGAGTTGGTGTTTGTAAAATTGAAAATAGTCCATCTAAATTGTACACATTTGATGGACTTGCTTATAAATATATTGGCCAGTACAATTATGTGTTATCAAGAGATTGCTCAAAGAAAATATTCTCAATTCATTTGGTCAATACGGATCCAAATGGTGGTCAAGTTTCTCCATCTTTACCATCACCTGGAGCTTTATCTGCACCATCTTTACCATCTCCATCACCGTTATCATCAGCACCTTCATCTAGTTATTGGCCAGGAAACTCAATACGAGACATTCATCCATTGATGAATACCATTAACCATGATCAACTAAACTATTCATTAATAACAAACAATCTTCAAACTCATCATTCCTCTTCTCAATTACAACCTAACTTTAACACATTAGTTGTTAAAATTAAAGGAATTAAAGTGCGAATTAGTAAAACTGATGTTAAAATTGGACGCAAATTAGTTACCTTACCTTATATTAAACTTGGTGTTTTATCTGTGATACGTGATGGACGTAAAATAATAGTTCGTTCAAATATTGGTATGTAATTGATTCATTTGTTGAATGTTAATCAATAATATTAAATCATTTTCAATCTTCTTTCTCTTATTGAATAGGAATCCGTGTGATATGGGATAGACAAAACTCAACTCAAGTATTCATTCCTCGTAGTTTTAAGAACAAGGTTTGCGGACTTTGTGGTAATTTTAATGGCAGTCCAAAAGATGATTTTATGTCTAAACGTGGTTTAAAGGCCAGTGATTCTGTATCGTTTTTTAATTCATGGAAAGTAGGAGGACATCGAAGTTTAAAAGATGTAATTGTGCTCAAATTATATCAATACACAAAATTGAGAACCAAGAAAAAGAAAAGTTTAAACATATTTAGATCGTAAAAATCTGTAAACATTTAAGTTAGTCCAACTGTTAGCAATTTTATGTTCCAATTTTTCCTGTAATAAGTCTTTATAATTATAAAGACACACCCAATATTGTAAATTTTTATACATATGTGTACAATTATATTTTTGTTTATAAAAATTATTTATAAAAAATATAAAAATTATCTTTTAATTCGTTCATTTAATTGTTCAATTTCCTAAATAGATGGCGCTAATAGTTATTCTATTAAGTTTTATTATTGAATTGTTGAGTGGCGACATCTGTATTAGCTAAAAAGAGTAGTTATTGTCAACAGTTCATGTTAACAAATTGTTAATAACAATAACTTGGTAAAGTTGAGCTTATCGGTTCAACTCTAGTACCTGAAATTGATTTTTGCAATCAGTCGTGAATCTCCAAGTTTTGAGACTTTAAATTATCAGAGTAATGAACTGATTAGCGTTTTTTGGTTAGACTAATCACTATGGGATCAGCTAAATGCGACTCGAAATGTTATTCTGGAAATCTTTTCATTAAGTCTTTTCCCTGTTGTAAAGGGTGTAACGCGTAAAAAGTTTAAATTATCTAAGATTGATAAGAATGAAGATGAAGATGACAATGATAAGAATGTTGCCGGACAGAGAAATAGACACAAAATGGACATTCTTATCATTGTCCTCTTCGTCTTCATTCTTATCAATCTAAGATAATTTAAACTTTTTACGCGTTACACCCTTTAATATTTTAAGGTTTATTTTGTCGTATTTAAAATATAAAACAATTTACAGGTACAGAAACCTACACTTAAAGCCTTTTTTGTTTGTGGTTTGATTCACTGTTTTGGAGGCGCGACAGGTTTTTCAGCGCCCTTTACCTCATGCGACCCTGGTGTTTGGCCTGCTCTAGGTGCTGGGTTTGAACCATCCTAGGTAAAGATTCGGGGAAGGGTGGATTGTTCAGAGGGTTAAGCTATGAGCGAGAGTTAACTGCACTCACCCTCGTCTCAGGACTTGGCAAGATTCAAACGCTAACCCCAAGATGCAGATTACAATAAATGAAAGTGGGTAATCTTACCATTAGGCCCTTATGATTAGGCTAACAGTAAAACAACTCTTTTCTTAGTCGCCATCAATGGACAAGATTAAGTTGATTACAAGGTTAGTGTTAAAAATTAAGAATCGATAAATTGTGACTATGAAAATTTCTTTAGAAAGAGCCATTAAGGTTGCTTTGAGTTGAAGTTCATTTGTACTATTTGAAAATGAAGCTATTAAGGTGAAATTCTCATAATTAAATATTTGTGACTTCTGCCATCTAACAATAATATTTGTTAGATAGCAACAGTTAAAATTATTTAATTACGAGAGTTTCATCTGCAATCGTTTTAATTGTTATCAGAATGATTTTGTAAAACAAAAAAAAAATCTTGTGAAAAACATAATATTTATTTCCTTAATTTTTCCTTAAATATTACCTTTTAAGCTAATTTTAATGCTAAAATATAACTTCTCACAATTAGAAACAAAATTATTCCTATTGACGTTAAAAATATGAAATCTAAGTAAAATAATCGATTCAAAAAACATTTTTACCAATCAAGGTAAAATTATTAGCAGACTTTTCCCATCAATTATTATCATTTAATACATTTTAGATTTAATGGTTCTCATATTATAATATCTGGAATGATCAAGTCACTTGTAACTTTTTTTTGGTCAGTTTGGATTGTTTTGAAAAACAGTCAATTTTCAAGTTTACCATTGACCAGCCATGTTGGTAAAACCAAAGGACAGCCGGATTGATGAAGAATCATTACAAACGCTAACACTTTATCATTATTTTGCATTGCTAGCCAGCTTTGCGGTAGCAGTTATTAGTGCAAGTTTCATTATTGAATCATATTTAAGTTACCCAACAATAACGACGGTTAAAATCGAAAGGCCTCGTGACACCGAGTTACCTTCAATATCATTGTGTTTCTTTTATGAAATAGATCAACTTAAAAAGCCTTCTTACCGCAATGGACGTCAAATTTATCCCCTAAATTTGTCCCAAATCGATGAGAGGCTACCGAAACTGGACGAATGGATTAAAAGCTGTAAAGTTTTAAATGCGACAACTTACAGGATCCACCCTTGCCTACAATACTATAACCATACAGTTGAATATCTCAGTGTTCATGCAAAGTGTTACTCCTTCTTTGAGAGTTTACCAGAACAGATCTTTTTCAAAAGTGAAGCTGTTGTTGGTCGAGCGTTGCTTGATGTAACCTTTAACAATACTGTTATCAATTCTGATCACATTGGTATATTTATAACTCATACTTATGCCGAGCTTGAGGATAGCTTATCAAATCCGAGTTTCCTTCAATTCAACACGACTGAATCCAATATAGCGGTGACAACTTTTGCCCGAACTGCTATTCGCAATTTACCCTCACCTTATCATACCCAATGTTTCCGATATGATACTCTTGAATGTAGACATAGAAGCACCTGTATTCGACATTGTATCAACAAAATTTCCCATAACAAAACTGGTACATGGCATGGTCCAACCTATGTGAAGCTTGCAAGTGAATTTATGGATGGATATTTCACTCTTTATCCCCACGAAGCTGACCAAATGATTTACGAACAGTGTCAAGATGAGTACCAACACGAACCATGCAATCAATATCTATATGAACCTGTTATAACAAGTAAATTTACTTCAAGCACAGTCCAAGAGGGAACCTTTAGATTGGCTGTTGTTTATCCAAATAAACCCAAAGTTGAGGTTAAACTGCTACACAAAACTAAATTGAGCGACTCTCTTATTTTTCTTGCTGGCATTGTTCATCTCTGTACTGGTGTTTCATTATTGGCGATATTAATTGCACTAAGCATAAACCTGGAATCAGTTGTAAGATATTTTAAACAACCAGATCGATCCATATATACATTTTTTCTTCTTATATTTTCCAAAGTGTTCAGGATTAATTCAGAATCTTTCCATGATCACCAGTCAAATCCTAGCTCTTTAACCGAAGAGTGGAATGGCCAATCAAAAATGCTAAAGACAGCACGGTTAAATCAGTTCACTTCTCATCGATTAGTTTCCCCAACAACTGCGAAATCATTCACTTATTACTCTCATTGAAATACAACTATTGTATACAACAATGTATTACGACTATCAATATTATCAATAAAAAGATTGCATTCTTCTTGATAATGCTGGATCCTTCATAAAATTGACGATATGATTCGGATTTGTCGATTCTTTGATTTTACCAGATTGTATTTGCAAACATTATAGTTCAAAAAATGCATAAATTTTTGTTCCAATTTTGTATCGATTGAGTAACGAATTTTAAAGCGTTAAATTTCCATTAGTTTATAATTATAACTACAGCGTAAAATACTAGTAGATTAAACAGGTTGAGTTCGAGTCTTTGTTCAAAAAATCTTGGGTCGAATGCAGTATATTCCTCTTTAAATGCTATTGAATGCGAGCAAAACAATCATGGACATCAAAGCAGCTTCTAAATTTAAACCAATCTTAAGCTTACTCCGATCTTTTTTCTCATTTAATTCAGCTTTCATTTCGATCGAGCAGGTATTTGATGTTTAAAGTTAAAACTGCAGCCTGGTTAGATGTTACGAGTGCCTCTATGGACCATGTACACTTGGTGTGTTCCCGGGTTGCCTTCATGAAGATGATCCTCTCGTTAATATACCAACAAAGGACGTGGGTGAACAGGCTAAAAATGGTAAATTGATTATATTATTACTTTAAAGTCAATTTTTTTGCCTCAAATTTTTACATCCACAAACCCACTCAGGTAAAAGTGTGTTACCATAAATGGAGTTGAGTCCATCTTTGTTTTCTCCATCTTTTCCCGTTTTCTTTCATGATTTGTTTCTTATAAACAGGTAAACAGGACTGGATCAACAACTCAAGAGTATTCAAACTTTTATCGCGTGTGTGGGTTGATTCAACGTTATTCTAGTCCAAGAAAACTATGCACCATTACAATTAATGTTAACTTTCAGTTAGAGTTTTTAACCAAAAAAAGTGAATCTAAATTTTATGGATCCAACGAGAAGTGGTCACAATGGTTAATCCGTTGTCGCTTTTCCTAGTGTGTGTGTGTCTTTTTTGTCCAAGTGAAGGTCAAATTGGTGGAGGAAGATCGGACCTTCCAATTAATTCTGGTTAGTTTTATAAATCTTATTTGATTAAGTCAACTTTAAACCATCTTTTACAACTTATATACAAACAGATGATGAAACTGCTTTCTATCCCGAGACATTTGATCTTGCCAAAGGATCCATAATTACCGTTAATGCAACTTGTGGTCAAGCTGGTCCAGAGCCATTTTGTTTTCCAAGTCTCGACGCAAGGTAATTAAATAATTGTGATTGAACCTCCATCAAAAATATTTAGCAAATAACTGGTTCTCAATAATTCCAAATACACAATCTAAATACAATATTTAGGGAAAATGAATGTGGAGTTTGCGATGCAACAAGTCTTAATCCTGAAAGGAGACATCCAATTTCCAATGTAATTGATGGTACAAATTCCTGGTGGCAAAGTCCATCGCTGCAAAAAAGTCGAAAATTCGAATGGGTCACAATCACAATTGATTTGAAACAAGTAAGATATCAACTGATTATTCACAATTTTAAAATTTACTGTTGACACCTGATCTGCTTCAACAAACCCCTTTCTCAGCTCCCTCTTTTATAATAGTTTTCATCTAATCTTTTGTTTACTTCTGATAGTTTCGTCTTCACCATAATTTGTTAACTACTGTACAATTTAGTCTATTCATTAGTAATTTTTTAACTCAAAGATCTCTATTTGATTTATTTGACATGAATAATGATTTAGATATCAGACCAAATACGTCAATAACTCAATCTATCCTAAGCTTGTGACAAAGTCTCCATGATTCATAAGGACTGAAAACAAAGAGGTCTTATTATTATATATTATAATATTTAAATGATGAGATATATTGTTCTGAATTATATCAGAACAGTTAACTCAACACTCAACCTATGAGAAATGGAAATCAAGATTAGCTGGGCGTTATAATAAGGACTACCTGTTCTTGTGAGGTTGTTATGAGTGGACCAGCCATATGTTAACGTTAACCAATCTGTTAATATATCTTTAATTAACTAACTCAACCAGTGATTTATTGCATGTTTAAACAACTCCATGAGATTTATTGTCAACTAATTCGTCTTTTTGTAAGCTTTAATTGTCACTAATTTTTATGCTGATTGTTTGATAAACTTTTAATTGTACAGATTTTTCTATCTTAACAAAAGAAACGATTCTTGTCTCACAAGTTTTGTCAGATGGGAAGATCCTCATAAGCTGCAAGGTTTACTCAAATTTGCTCAATTATTGAATAATCTAATAATTTCTAGTTGATTCAAACGGATAGCCAGACAATTTCCGATCATAATAGCTGCAAAATTAACGAAAATTATCATTCTGGTCATAATTATTAATATAATCATATATTTGGCAGGTTTTTCAAATCCATTATGTTAAATTAAAAGCGGGAAGGTCACCATTACCAGGCAACTGGATTATTGAAAGATCAGTTGATGGGATTGAATACAAACCATGGCAATTTTTCGCCCTCAGCAACACTGATTGTTGGCGTTTCTTTAGTACAAAACCAATTGCTCATCATCCACCGCATTATCGATCTGATGACGAAGTTATCTGTACTTCATATTTCTCATCGCTTCGTCAGTCTCAATATGGAGAGGTAAACATAATAGCCTTTTAAAGCTCAATTAAATTTAATTAATACTTTTTAATTATTTACTCGTAGGTGAACTTATCATTGTTAGAAGGTCGTCCCGGGGCAAACCTTTTGACCGAAACTCTTAAACAGTTCATGAAAGCTCGTTTTGTTAGGCTAAGACTTCAAAAAATTCAAAGCCCATTGGATGGAAGTGATGTGTTTACAAACCCAGATAGATATAACCTAACATCAGTTAACCAAGTAAGTCATAAGTTTACTTCCAACTTTCATCTTTTGACTCATAAACCTTTTTTTTATAGCTATTTTATACACTGCAAAGCCTAGAAATTATTGGTCAATGTATTTGTAATGGTCATGCAAGAGCCTGTCCAATTGATCGAGGAACACTTCTCAGAAAATGCGATTGTCTTCATAACACTTGTGGAGACAATTGTGAAAAGTGTTGTCCTTTGTTCAACCAAAAACCTTATAGACAGGCAACAAAGCGTAATTCATCAGTTTGTGAAGGTAAATATTGAAAATTTTAACAATCCCTTTTTAATCAAAACTTAATAAACCAAATTTACATCATTATCATTTAATTAGTTTGTCAATGTAACGGACATTCAACTGAATGTATCTATGATAAAAATGTCGATGCTCGAAATGGAAGTGTAAACATATTTGGTCAACGATCAGGTGGTGGAGTCTGTATCAACTGCCAGTCCCATACAACTGGTAATAATTGTGATCAATGTGAGGATGGATATTTCCGACCTAAAGGAGTAGTCGTTAATGATACTTCGCCATGTCGACCATGTCAATGTCGTGGTAGAGGAACAACCGAGTATTGTATTAAGGATAGTAGCCATGTATTAACTGGATTAGATGCTGGTGACTGTATATGTAAAAAAGGGTTCCAAGGTAAATATTGTGATTCTTGTGCCCCTGGTTATCGTAATTATCCAAGGTGTGACTCCTGTTACTGTAATGGAGCTGGAGTAGTAAACCCAGAAGCCTGTGATGGTCCATGTATATGTAAAGCAAACGTTGAAGGAGCTCGGTGTGATCGTTGTAAACAAGGCTATTTTGATTTGTCTGCTGATAATCCTGATGGTTGTGCACCTTGTTTCTGTTTTGGGGCAACCAATACATGTAAATCTTCAGATTGGGGAGTTGAAGTTATATCATCTTTGGCTCACCTTGAAGCTTGGAGAGTTTCTGATTTCGCAGGTAAAAAGGTTGTTACCCCTCAGCGAAAAGATGATCACTTGGTTGTCGCGGATGATGATATGCAGCCTATGTCCTCTCCATATTATTGGATGGCTCCAGAAAATTATCTTGGTGAAAAATTATACTCTTATGGGGGTGACTTACGATTCATGATTGGTTACACCGTTTTACGTGGAGATACTTCTGGTTATTATACCGAGGATGCAGATATAATCTTGGATGGTGGTCCAGAAACTCTGATGAGAATTGGTTATAATTGGAAAAAGTATGATAAAAATGAAGAAGACAAAGTTACATTAACATTACCGTTGCGAGAAAATGGTTGGTATATCCTTGATTCAGATGGACGTCGTGTTCGCCCTGCGTCACGAGAAGAGTTTACACTTGTTTTGTATAATTTACGTCGAATGTTGATCCGTGCCAAGTTCCATACCGATCAAATTGAAGGATCCTTGTACAATGTTGAGATGGAGCAAGCTTCTAAAGATTCTAAATCACTGAATAAGCAAACTGGTGCAGAAGCTTGTGATTGTCCTGAGGGTTATGCTGGTTTATCGTGTTTAAATTGTGCACCAGGCTATCGTCGGGTTAATAATATACTTGTTGGTGGTCGTTGTGAAAAGTGTAATTGTAATAATCATGCTGAAACTTGTGATCCGTTCACCGGGGAATGTTCTGAATGTTTACATAACACGGAAGGAGTTGGATGCTCGCGATGTAAAAAAGGTTATTATGGTGATCCAACACGAGGAAAGCCTGATGATTGTAAACCATGTGCTTGTCCATTAACCTTGGCATCTAATAATTTTTCACCGACCTGTGTGTTAACTCCATCTGGAGATGATTATCGGTGTGATGCTTGTATTGAACCATATACCGGAGATAAATGTGAAATATGTAAAAACGGCTTTTATGGTGATCCAACTGTTCCAGGAGGTGAATGTCTTCCTTGTGATTGTGGACCAAATGTGGACTCATCAGTTCCTGGGGCTTGTGATCATAGAACTGGGCAATGTCGCTGCGCTTCCAACACCACTGGATGGAAGTGTGACCAATGTTTAGCTTATCATTGGGGTAATCCAGCTATTGGGGATTGTAAACCATGTAATTGTGATCTTTCTGGATCAATTGATCCTCAATGTGATCCCAAAACTGGTCAATGTTCCTGTAAACCCAATTTTACCGGCCGTTTGTGTGATCGATGTGCTGTAGGACATGGTAATCCTGAATTAGGCTGCCCTCCTTGTAGTTGTAATGCTATTGGGTCTTCTTCGTCTGATTGTGATCCAGTTACTGGTCAATGTCATTGTAAACCCGGAGTATTTGGTCAACATTGCTCTCATTGTTTAGAAGGCTATTACGGGTTTTCTGCTCGAGGCTGCCTTCCTTGTGATTGTCATCCTAAGGGATCGGAGGGACGAGTTTGTGATGAAATTACTGGTCAATGTAAGAATATTATTTTTTTGATTTCTGTTTAAATTTTGTAGTTTGGAACTTAATTATAATCACTTGTTTTCCTCTGAAAATTTAAAGGTAAATGCAAGCCCCTCGTTGAAGGTAGAGCTTGTGATCGATGTCGACCAGGATTTTGGAATCTCGATTCTGGTAAAGGCTGCTCACCATGCGATTGTAATGGAGTGGGATCAATGTCATCGGTTTGTGATCAATTAACTGGACAGTGTGAATGTAAACCAGGTATCGGAGGTAATAAATGTGATACTTGTAAAGTTGGCTTTTATGGTTTTTCTCCTTCTGGATGTCAAAAATGTGATCCTTGTTACGAGCCAAATCATATTTGTAACCCAGAAACTGGTAAATGTGAATGTCCGCCAAACACTGCAGGTAAAGATTGCCGCGACTGTGCTCCAGGAACTTATGGTCTAGATATTTTAGAAGGCTGCAAAGCATGTGAATGTGACATTCAAGGTTCAGTTAATAATCAATGTCACAACAAAACTGGTGAATGTGTTTGTTTAGAGGGCTTTGAGGGCAAGGACTGTTCCAAATGTCGATTCGGTTATTACAGATTCCCTAACTGTAGGAGATGTGACTGTCATTCACCCGGAACATTAGAATCATCTTGTCAACTCGATTTAAGATCAAGTAAGTCAAATTTACTGTCAAGTTTATCGTTAATTTTCAATGAGGCTAAAGTCGAAATATATAATAATTGATCATCTCTTGTCTATGCTTTAACTAAAACTTTTAATCAACAATCGTATCTTTAACTAACTATTTAATTAACGATTTCATTTTCTAACAACCTTACAGTGAACGGACTCAATGACCCAGAACGCATTTGTCAATGCGATGAGACTGGCCAATGTACCTGTAAAGTCAATACAATGGGAAGAAGATGTGATCGATGTAAAGATGCCACCTTCTCACTTACGGCTTCGAATCCACTCGGGTGTTTTAGTTGCTTCTGTTTTGAAAAAACCTCTCGATGTGAACAATCATCATTTACTTGGACAACAATCACAACAGCTCCTAAGGAAGTTACTTTCGGTATAAGTGAGACACCTGCTGAAATCAAATTGGGTTATAGCATAATACCTGATTCAGAGTCAAAGCAAATTACCAGCGGAAATTATGTTACAGATCAACCTTACTATTGGCAATTGCCAAAAGAATTTATTGGAGATAAAGTAAATTCTTACAATGGTTATCTCTCATTTCGAGTATTTTCTCGAGAAGATTCACGATTTTCAGAGAGTGTTCTCCGTCGTTATCCACTCTTGATTATTCAAGGAAATCAAAGGTTGATATTACACCATTTTGAGAAAGAATCACCATTAACAGCAGCATCTTATATGGGCGATTTTCATAAAATTCAACTCCACGAGTCATCCTTTATTCTTGCCGAAAATCCTGGACTCGAAGTAACTCGAAAACATTTAATGATTTCATTACAAAAAGTTCAACACATATTTATCCGAGCATCCGCAGGTCCTGATGTCCAGTTAGCTCGTTTGTCTGATGTAACTCTTGATGTGGCTGAAGATTTGCGTATATTAAACTCTTCACCAGTTAATTTCACTGCTGTTGGCGTTGAACAATGTCTCTGTCCGCCTCAATACCGTGGACCTTCATGTCAAGATCCTAATATTGGTTATTACCGAAAACGTAAACCCAACTATCTTGATTCTCGTGATTACATTGATCTAGTTGGTTGGGCTGAGCTTTGTCCATGCAATAACCGTTCAAGAACGTGTGATCCAGAAACAGGACATTGTTATAATTGTACTGATAACACTGCTGGACCTTTTTGTAACTTATGTGCTCCAGGTTATTATGGTGATCCAACTCAAAATATACCTTGTATACCATGTCATTGTCCGCTTCCAGGTCATTCTTTTGCTGAAACGTGTGAAACTCGACCTGGAAATGATTATGTTTGCTCTGACTGTGCTCCTGGTTATACCGGATCACGATGTGAAAGATGTGATGATGGCTATTATGGTGATCCAATGGCTCGTGAATTTTGTTTACCTTGTTCCTGTTCACCTTATGGCTCTATTGGACCAAGTTGTGACCCTAAAACTGGTCAATGTTTGTGTAAAGAAGGTTTTCGTGGACGTGATTGTTCAATCTGTCTACCTCGTCATGTCCAAACAGAATCTGGTTGCCTTGATTGTGATGGGCCTTGTACTGGTTTGTTACTCGATGATTTAGATTCAATTAATGCTACACTAGCTGAGTTGCCAACAACTGATTGGGGAAATTTACCTTACACCAAATTTCTGCATCTTTTATCAAAATATAAACATTTTCTCAACACTTTGGAACGACAATCAGCATTAATTGATGGAGGTAAAGATATCTTGTTCAACGTAACATCCAGCTTTGATTTGGAAACATTGGCTGACATGCTTTACATAAGAACTGTCAATTTGGAAGCTAGATTACCGATGGTTGTGGAGGAAACTAAACTAGTTGGTGATGATGCTGAAAATCTTCTTGATTTTATCACCGATCGCTTATATGATTTGAAAAGAATTATTGACGCTTTAAGAAACTTTGGAACTGATAATGGTCAAGGAGGCTACAATTTAGAACGATTGTTATTCCGAGCTGAGCAAATAATCTCCGAGTTAGGCCTCAAGAATCTTCGCCCTCGATTGGAAGAAGCATCAAGAGAAAATCGTTTATCCAAAACATTATTGGATAAAATAGTAGCTCTCCTTAAATCACCGAATGTAGATCGAGATTTTCGTAAAAGATTGGATCGTTTACAGCAAAGGCTCTCTGAGATCTTTAATATTGTTCAAACTCGAGTCCAAAGACCCGTACAATTGACTTTAAATCGCATCAATGAAGGTCAAAGGACTCGTGATCGTGTGATTGAAACAATAAAACTTAGTCAAGGGCATGCAACTCAAGCAAATGCTAGTTTAACAGAGGCCAGAAGATTAATTAATGCAGCTCGAGCAAGTTTAGTTGAAGTTAATGTTAAACACGGTTTGGTTCCTGGTCTTGAAAGAGATTTGAGGAATTCAACATTAGCTTTGGAACGTTTAAGGTCAACTTTAAGTCGTCTCAATCCTGAATACACAACTAAATATGTTGAACCTTGCCAACGACATGCAATAGAATTAATGAAACAATTGGAATATTTGAAAGGACTTTTTGCTGATACAGAAAATTTCTCAAAATATGCTCTAGAAGCTGCTCGGGTTTACGAAAGGATTGTTGCTGCCTTGGCTAGAGCCGAAGAATCAGCTAAACGAGCTTACGAAGCTGCTGAGAGAGCTTATCACGAAGCTTATCCAGGAATTGAAGGTTCATTGACAAAGCAAGCTCAAAAGGCGAAAGAGCGAAGTTACGAACTATTAGAGGCAGCTCGCGATCTTCGAGATAATCGAATTCCAATGCTGGAAAAGGATCTTTCAATGAAACAATCAAATCTTAATGGTTTATCAGCTGATTTAGAAAACGCTAGAAGAGCTCTTGAAATGATTAATCAAGCTCTTGATGAATTGCCACAAGATTTACGTGAAGTTATCATTCAAATTGACCATAAATTAAGTTTTCTTCTCGAGGGATTAGGCCATACTCATTTAAAGATTGATGCTATTGAGAAAAAGATTGCTTCTGATCTTCAACCTCGAATTGATCGTCTAAATGAAGGCACAGCATCTGGAATTGAAAACTTTACACGAATCATTGATAAAGCAAGAGCTGATATCAGAGATTCAAGTAGATTTTTGGTAAACTCTGAAAATTTAAAGAGAAGGCTGGACGGACTGAAAACACGATTTGAACTTGATTTTACTGACCTTAAACATAGGATTTTATTGTCTCGTCAAAAAGCTTCATCAATCCGTGTTTCATTGGGTGCTGAGCGAGATGAAATTTGTGTTAAATCATATCGATCACCAACTCAACCTTCGGCAACAAATTCAATTAGTTTGAATTATGCTATAAAAGAAGATGTTCCCAACTCATTGATATTGTTTATCTCATCATCAAATAATTCTGACTTTATGGCACTTGAAATGATAAATAGGCGAATAAGATTCACTTGGAATGCTGGAGGTGGATCAAAATCATTGGAACATCCAACAATAATTGAATCTAATGATGGTAACCTACTTAGAGCGCGACATTGGTACAAAATTGAAGTTAACAGAGTCAACAATTTAGTCACCTTAAATGTTCAACCATCAACCGAGGCACATAAGCCTGATGCTCAGGAAGTTATGGGATCTTCTGATCCTAAATCATGTAAAATGGATCTTGATGATAAAGCACACTTTTTCATTGGAGGATTACCAGATAAATTTGATGCTCCAACTATAATGAAAACTCGTAGGTTCACTGGTTGTCTTTACGAGGTTTATCTTGACGACCAGCGAATAGGCCTTTGGAACTTCAAAACTTCACAAGGATGTCGAGGTTGCATGGAAGGTGCTACAGAGCTTATTGATTCAGGAACATTCCAGTTCAAAGGTGATGGTTCTTATGCTTTGATGGAACAGGTGAGAAATTTGATTTATACCAATTTATTTCTTTTGTGATTGATTTTCACTTTTTTTCTTATTAAACAGATTCAACGTTATGACAGAGAGAAGTATATTGTTGCTTTGCAATTTAAAACCTTCGACGAAGACGCAATCATCTTTTTCTCGGGCAATCCAGACACTGGTGACTTTGTTTCAATATCACTTCAAGATGGCCGAGTATTGTATCAATTCAATCTTGGTTCAGGATCAAGGCTTCAACTGCGCTCTCGTGAAAGATATAACAATGGTCAATGGGTCCGTTTGGCTGCTGAAAGAGATCGATGGATGGGTGTTTTGTCTGTTGAAGATGAAGTGTTGGAAGGAAATGCCGCTCAAGGAACTAGTCAACTGGATCTTAATCATGTACAAATTTATTTCGGTGGAGTTCCACCCAATTTCACTCAAGATTTATGGACTCAAGTAACATTCAAACATTTCTTGGGTTGCATGAAAGACGTTCAAATTGATACAACTCCTCTTAATTTGTTGACCATTGAAAATTATGGAGTTATACCTGGTTGTAAAGATCGAACTTCAAGAATAGTTAAATTCACAGGCCACGGTTATCTGGAATTGAACAGTCGTCCACTTGGTGAAGATAGTGATTTCAGTTTTACATTCCGAACCAATCAATCTGAGACACTCTTAATCATGTCTACATTCCAGGGTAAAACTAAAAAGGCTCGCGATTATGTATGTATTGAAATTGAAACCAATCTATTCTTAAAAGCTGTAATTTATTGTTGACTATATTTTAATCATTTCATTCATTTTTCACTCATTTAGCACTATTACTCAGTAGCAGTTATTGGAGGTTTACTTGAAGCTCGATTCAATGGAGGATCTGGTGAAACTTTACTCATTTCTGAAATGAGAGTTAATGATGACGTTTTCCATACATTAACAATATCTAAACGAAACCGAAGGTGAATTTTTTATTCTTCAAAGACTTGATTTTTATAAATTTTAATTAAATTGTTTTCTTATTTTAATTTCAACAGAATTTCATTGACTCTTGACGACAAAGAAGTAGCTGTTTCTAGATTGGCCAAAGGAACCAATACAATTGAAGGTCCAGCAAATGGTGGACTTTATCTTGGTGGTCTTTCTGAAGGAATGACACTTAGAGGAATGGCAGGTACCAAGGAAAGACTAATTGGTGTAATTCGTGATTTTGTTTTCAATGGAGCCATAATGAAACTGAATGAACCAACGAGCTTTAAAGGAGTTGGTATTGGTCGAGGTCAATAATAGCGCTTATTTTTTTAAAGTACACAATTATCATTTATAACCTTTATATGTAAATCTGCCATTTCAATTTTTTTTAATAGTTAAAATTAATGATGCCTGCCTAAAAAATATGCAAATTACTAAATCATTTACCAATCAAGCGCTTTTTCATTTTCATTTCAAGACATCTCAAGAGTTTAAATTAAAAAGAGACGATTGGACCGTTAAAGTTTCGTTTTTATTCAAGGATTCGTTTAATTCGTGTAAAAAGTAGACCTTTTTGTCAATTTAACATTTGTTCAATTCATTGAACTATTATTTGGTGATAATTATCAAAACACTAAAACTAACGATAACCTTAATGAAGTTGGAGTTAAAATGAAAACAACCAATCAAACTAGTTCATGGATATGATTTAGTAAGAAATTATTCATTGGCAAGATTTATTCATTTGGTCAAATTGAATCAAATAGAGGTCAATTTTTGAACTTGACAAATTGATATTTAAATTTAACTCTAACTAATTGGCTTCAATATGAGTTAATAAATGAATACATTTCAATGAGATGCTATAAATGCTTATCTTGGTTCGTTTGGGTCATCGTTTAGTTGATAGATTTCATTTTTCCGGTTCATTCATGGTCATTTTTTATTTATCATCATGATTTATCAGCTGACCGCTTATGCAAAGTAATCATCATAAAATTGCTTGAAATTAACCAAGCAAAATTGATTCCCATTCAGACGCACATCAAAGTTCAAATCATGCCAATATGTAAAATTGAGAACTAAGAGAAAGAAAAGTTCAAAGATTAGTCAAATTTAATATTTTATATCACCAAAAATCTATAAACACTGAATTCGGCTGAAATGGTAGAAATTTTCTTTTGATTTTAATCGCATTGAAGTCTTAATAGTGATAAAGACTGATCGAAAATATAATTCAAATAAATTTATATGTTTGTATATATAAATACAAATGGTACTCTGTTAATGGGACATTTACTTGACTAGATGCGTTTGCCTATCAACTCTACTTTTCAACTAAAATCTACCTGGAAAGGAAAAAGAAATTGTTTCGTCGAATTAGGGAAAAATAAGATAAATTTATGCAATTTCTTGCAAGTCTTGATTATACAAGAACGACAAAGATAATATGCCTGGGGATGAGATGAAAGAGATAGGAAAGAGTTAAGACGTAATAAAAAATATAAGCTTTACATGAAATTCCATGTGATGTTTAGGAAAAGTTGATAAATGTGACACAAGGAGTTGTGTGACACACATGTGAATCTCAGTTACATGGCATATCTTTTAGTCCAAAGTCTTGCAATTCGGTCATGTTCCTCTCTATGTTGTAAGTATTGAGTAGCAATGCTACCAACCAGTGGATCCGCTGAATATTAAAAAAAGTATAAAAAATGAATAGATAGATTATATGCTCATGTCTTATTAGATGCAATTATAACGCGTAATTACCAGGATTAGAGTCTGTCAACAGGGAACAGATGGATAAAAGAACTTTAGAAATTGTTAAAGCTGGGCTCCAATTGTCTTTCAGGATATCTAAGCATATAACACCTTGACTGTTTATATTACAGTGATATATTCGAGTTCGAAACGTAACCTGTAGGGAAAAAACGAAAAAAAATGAAAATCACAATAAAGAGAAAGTTGAAAGCAAAATTGCAATCCATGTCATTTTAAAACTAGAGTCGAACTAAAGAGTGACAACTCGGCTTTGGATTCGGAAATTTAATGAGCAACAAATATGGACGAATGAATGACGGAATAAAGAGATGATAACAGAAAGAAAAGATGTTGAGACGAACAAAGGAAAAGGCCATCTCAAATTACAAAATGAAACAGCGAAGTAATCTAGTTAAAACTAACCTTTGGAGGTTTAAATGGATACTCTTGCGAGAATAGGATGTCCAAGAAAAAAATACCACCTTCATAAACTGACCCTGGAGGCCCTAAAATGGTGGACACCCATTCATAGATATTGTCACCTTTTGGACCAGCACTACAGTTAGGTGGAGGATCAAGAGTGATTTCAGCAAGCTCTTTTTGAATCCTTTTAGCACTAGTCGATTGTGCTTTTTGTGCAGCTGGAACTCCTTTGGAATTCAACATGATAAAGACCAAAAGTTGATAGCCTTGGTGATAAAATTGGTTAATTAGTGAATTAAGAGGAAGAAACGAGAAACAAGTTGAAAGTAAAATTAAAACAAATCACAGAAAAATGTGTTTGGACTGTTACTTGTCACAAATAGACTCCGAAGTCAGCCGATCGAGTCAGCCAAGCAGTCGACTCGGGCTCCTGCGAGTCGAAGTTGAAATTTTCTTCAGCTGAGTCGGCTGAGTCGACTCTAGCTGGGGTCAACTCAGTCGATTTTTTTGTCGCATTTTCAACAAATAAACACCAACCACATGCTCTCCATGCTGTTTTTATTTTACTTAAATTATTTACAGTGAGGTCTCTCTTAGTCTAACGCTTTCTTTAGTCTCTTAGTCTCTTACTTTTTTAGTTAAAAGCGTTAGACTAAGAGAAACCCCACTGTATTGTAATTCCATCAACCTTTGTCACTCAAACTTTATTTTTTTGATAGTGTTGAGTGCTACTCTGAGTCGACTTGAGTCGACTTGAGTCGATTGATTGATGAGTCGATGGAGTCGACTCGAGTCGACTGCCAGTCGATTAAACGTCCAGTCAGTCAGTCGTTGAAAAAACGGCTGACTTCGGAGTCTAGTCACAAACAATTGTTTTTCTATTGACAATTTTCTTGGTACTGTAGTACATCTAAAAACTCAACAGATGGTATTAGTGTATAAAATCAAAAAATCACTCTTACAAAAATTTTGATAGGTTTATGAATTTACTTTTCACTATCAGTGTATGTTTTAAGTCTGTTATTTCTTGATTATTTTATTGTCAATTTTTTCATGGAAATAGTTTTTATTATTTGAACTTAAAGAAGAAAGATGGAAGAACAAGATATTCCAGAAATAGAACTCATCATCAAGGTAAGTTTCCTTTTCCGTATAACATGCCTACTTATTTGCTCCATGTAATGGATTTTAATCCAGAGAGCATTTAAAATCGCTGAAAGATCAAACGTTAGTCATTAATTGTTTACATCATTCTATCTGAATTTTATACTCTATTTCACTCCGTTTTCCTCCCAAACTGAAAAAATTTGAAATTTTTTACACTAGCACTTTGAATGTAAGTTTGTCTCTGATTGTTTTGTTATTTTTTAGATGTATTTGTTTTCATTACATTTGTACTTTCTCTTGTCATTTAAAATTCCACTTTCCATTTTATTAGTGTTTTGCTATTAAGCCTTGCACCTATCAATTTAATCTCTTCTTTAATTACCTATCACATTCTTGTTAGTTTGAGTAATTTTAATTTCCATCTTGTTATTCATTATTCTATGGTCTAAGTGTCTCCTTGAAACACCCCTTGAGTAATTATTGTATTCTTGCGGATACCTGAAGGAGACTAGATTAAAATGTCTTTATAGGAAGCATATGGGTTATTAATTGTACCCTATTTAGCGCCGAAACTCTGATACATTTATTGCTATCATTTTGATTGATCAAAATTTTACTTTTATTATCTATTTATTCATCTAAAGGCATCAACTATCGATGGACGTCGCAAAGGAGCCTGTTTATTCTGTCAAGAATATTTTATGGATCTTTATCTGTTGGCCGAGTTGAAGACAATCTCATTGAAGGTGTGTATTAATTTCAGGTTATTCATCAAACCTGAGTTTGATTCTGTTTAATTTGTGTATGTTGATACTATGATAACATGATGAAGCTCTTTTTGATTATTTTTATTACTTTTCTTCCGTGACTAATCGTGTATAAGAGCAACGCTAGATTGAAGCTTATCACATTCATTAGTTGTTTGTTTGTTCGTCATTTTTTGATGATAAATTACTTCCTTAAACACTTTAAAGTTGATAGTGGTAAATATTTTTTACTCTCTTGACTCATTACAGGTTACAACTGTGGATATGCTTAAACCACCACCAGATTTTCGTTCTAAATATGATTCAACGCCACCTCCCATTCTTGTTGACGGCGATTTAGCTATCCTGGAAAATGAAAAGATTGAAAGATACATCATGAAAAATATTCCTGGAGGTCACAATTTGTTCATCTCTGATAAAGAAACAGCAACTGTCATCGAAAATTTATACAGTGTAAGCATAATTTCACTGTCACCAGTTGTTTATTTTTTTTATCATTATTCAGCTTCATTTAACCTATTCACTATTTTGATTTCAGAAATTCAAGTTGATGTTCGCCAGGAAAGATGAAATTTCTAAAAGATCTCTGATGAGTCAACTCAGGAATATTAATGAACATTTGGAAAAGCGTGGAACCAGATTTTTAACTGGTGATACAATGTGCTGTTTTGATTGTGAATTAATGCCTCGATTACAACATATAAGAGTTGCAGGAAGATATTTTTGTGAATTTGAAATACCAGAAGAGTTTAATGCTTTATGGAGATACATGTATAATATGTACTTGTTGGACGCTTTCACCCAATCATGTCCATTCGATCAAGACATCATTAACCATTACAAACTACAACAAGGTACCAAGATGAAGAAGCATGAAGAGCTAGAAACTCCTACGTTTACCACATCGATACCGTCCTCTATCAAAGTTAACAAATGAGACAGTAATTGAACTGAAATCGAAACTATCTTGATCTAATTTGGTTCTTCCTATTCTAGATTAGAGAAATTGGCCTTCTCTGATTATTAGATCCAACCCAGAGCATTTTTCTTTGCTTATCAATAAATTGAATATCAATATTTTTCTCTCTGTATCACTTCTTAACGAAAACCTATGTAAAGATGAATATTAATGACATATTATATTTTCTCACTATTATTATCACTAATGCAAATTTAAAACCTTAGAGAAGATGAAAATATTTCCTTTATTCGTTGACAATTTAATTTTCATCCTGATTGTTTCAACTCAAATATACAGAAATATCACCAATCTGTAATTGACTTTTGTATAAATTGCAACTTTTCTAAATTTTAGTTCAATTATTATTCGATGAATGGAAAAATTAAATTAGGGAAAAAGATGAAAATAGTCCAAATTTCCTTCAAGTTCAACTCGTCGAAAGATCTGTGTTTATTTATGTAAATTTGGATAGGCCAAGGACATAATAATACCATGATGAAGCTCTTTTAGATATAATTGCTTTTCTTCCGTGGTTAATCGTATTTAATAATATACAATAGATTGATGCTTATCACGTTGATTGGCTGTTTGTCCATTATTTGTACTTGTTGGATCACTTCTCAGCTCTTTCATGCCCATTTCATCAAAACCTTCAGTTTATTTGAGCTCCAAGAGATCCAGAATCCAAAGTCATGTTTCTATAAATGGTAATTTAATTTATATTTTTGCATCATTACCATAAACTCGTGACATTGGTCTTCAACGGTTTAATATCAAAACATCAGAAAGTAGAGTAAGTTCAAATGGATTTGATTTGCTTGGTAAACTAGCCTGAAATTTTGTATTGAAAATTTTCTCATCCATTCACCCTTCCTTGAGATTTACATGATTGTTAGTTTATCAGTTAGTCCACGATAAAGGGGATTCAAGGAGAGATATTGTCAATATCAAAAAGCTCAAATTAAAGAATTTTAAGAGATCTTAAAACATTTTGATGAAAATAATTCCAATCTTTATTCACAATTTTGATTGTACATTGACTGATTCTCTGATTAATTTTCAATACTGTATAGATATCGTTGATTATTGAATCCGTGAGTACGTTGAGTATAATGTCTGTACTCGTCTTCGATTTCAAAGGGCCTTTCTATGTTATATTTAGCCTGTCGACAAAATCTTGCAGCTAATCGTGTAATATTTTTATTAGTTGATGGGTTACAGACTAAGTATTTGAGATTAGGCACCAACATCAATAATTTTTCCCAAAAAGAAAGAGGAAAAACAGCACCTCTTAAGTCTAAGTATTCCAAGTGAAATAGCTTTTGATTTTCAGTATAAGGCACCACATGATACTCAGGAAGCATATCATCGGGAAAGTCGTGGTGATAAGTTGAATGTTGGGTCACTTTAATAGAACGTAGGTTTGGACTAGAAATTGCAAAATCGGTCATCATTCCAGGTAAATTGTTATAAATATCGATGTAATGAGAAGTGAGTTCGAATTCTTCAAGGCAAGGAAGTCTACCAGAGACAATACGAAGCATGCTAGGAGGGACGGGAACCAGTCTTGGCCATCTATCATTTGCATAATAAGCAAGTCTAAGTGCTTTGAGATTGTGAAAGTTTGGAAAATTAATCTTATAATCTCTATCAATCCGTATATCCAGAGTAAGAACAGAAGAAATATCAGCAAAGAAAATGGACAGTTTTTGCTCAAATGATGGCTCGTAGGGTTTACCAAAAAAGTAAAACTGACACAAATCAATGGCGAGATATTTAATGTGAGGCAAAGGCAGTGGTTCTCTTATTTTCTTATTATCACTGTCAACATGAGCTTCGTAATCGAAATGGTAAATTTTGTCCACGAAATGAGTCAATCTAGGAGCAAAACGAAGCAATGTATGCAAATTGACAAAGACAGTTCCATGATTTTCTGCACCTTTTTCTATTTCACCTGCATACATGAAATCGCTTAGATTTACAAGTTTGTAGTTTTGGGTCCTGCATGCCTCAGAAACAAGGTGATAAAATTGTGAAGAAACTGTCAAGAGAAAAATGATAATAATCAGAGATCAGTCAGGTACATAAGTGTATTGTATATAAGTCAGAAATTTTATCCATGAATTTAAAATGTATCAATACCTGAAGCTAGACGTATCTTTTCTCGGATATTCGTGATATAACTGAGTATCTTCAACTGAATTGTATCAGGTAAATCAAAAAAGGTTTTGGTCTCAGTCATCACGAAATAAAATATGTATTAGATGTATTTATATATTAATAGATGTATGTGATGAGTTTCAACAATGTATAAGGTTCCGACAACTGTGATTGATAAGACTGGAGTTACAATTTATATTGTTGTTGTTGTCAATTGATTAAAACAGAAGATAAATAAATACCGATCACATCTTTCTTTCACCCAGCTCGAAAGTCTTGTTAGCAAATTGTGAGGGAGTTGTCTTTATTACACTGAGTTGACACAAAAGCAGTTGACATTGAAAATGATGATAAATCAAATAGCGAGCCGAGCAGCTTTCATTACCAACTTCCTCTGATGATAACTGCATGAAGTCATTCAAGTTTCAAAGAAAAAATGAAAATCGAAAGTCTTGAGAAGCATTTCTAATGCTGAAAAGCATCAATCAGAAATTTATTTAAAAACACCGTAACATATGCCGACACATATGACAACACCTAAACCTCGCTTATTTTGCAGAGACATCTAACGTTAAAAAAACAGAGTGAACTGATTTACAGGAAAGTACCGGATCAATAATTAAAAAGTCAAAAACCATTCTTCCATCAAGTTTAATTTATTTAATCCATCAATCAAAATAGGGTTATTCATCATCAATATCTAGATCCTCTAACATTTCTTGTAAAGTGATTTGAGGTATTCCTTCGTGTTCGAGATCATCAACGTCAACAGCCATTTCAGAGGCAATCTTTTTCTTGTCGATGTAAACATTAACATTTTCTCGAAGCATAGGATCTTCTTCCAAGTCATCCATAAATTCAGCGATATCACCTCCTTCTGAGCTAGCTGTCTCATCTATAACCTCTATTCGTTTCAATTTCCAACGCCTGAGTCGTTTTCGAATGGCTCTGTCGCCGAAGAACTTCTTAACCAATATAACATCTGGGATGTTGTCACGATTTGCATCTTCAAATTTTTCGAAATACGTATCATTCCAATTGGCATTGCCCATATCATAACCCAACACTCTATCAAGTGGACTTAAGAGATGACCTAGATGAGTACGAGTGTGAATTTCATCCTCATTACTTCCAAGATTACAGGAACGCTGTACATAAGCATCGGCTAGCATATGCTGTAAAAAAAACAAAAATTAGTCAACTTGCCAGTTTTATCATAAATGCACTAAAATTTGAAATTAAGAAAAATATGTTTGAGCTAACCTTCGATGATAAATGAGCTTTCTGGTGGCCAGGAATTTGGTTTCTGTTAATTATATCAATACTAATCACAGTGTACTCTGTTAATTGCTTGGTACTCGCTAAAGCCTTGAAAGGGTATCTCCAATAATTTTGATTACTTAGCTCAGCATCTGGATAAAATTAAAAAAAGAAATTTTAGATCGTAAACGCATAACTTTTTATAAGGTAGAACTCACGTCTTAAAGTGAAGGGATCTAGTAAATAGATGTTATTTGTGACTCTGAGGCACAAACACAAGGGTCCAATGTTTCCTAGAGAAGCGGCGAGAGCTGGAGGAAGACAAACTAAATCATCTTTACAAATGGGGACGATTTCAACAGAAAACGAATGCTTGTAAGTGTAGGTATTATTATGCGTATCGTGCGAAATCAATTGCTGGGAAGGAATATACCGACAAGGTACAACATTTTGTAGGAAGTCAACAAATTTTCTTGCGTCGTCTTTTTTATCAAAGAAGAAATCAACTCCTTCGGTTGTTGCCTTAACTGAAACAGCGTTAGTGTGTGCTTTGTGTTTAAGAATCAACTGTTCAAGGTAGAAAAATGTTTTCTTATGCCCAACTTTTTGTCGAACTTGTACCGAGGCTCGCCAAAAATCTTTTGCTTCTCTTCGATGACAAGCATCACAGAATTGATTATTAACCACGTATTCTACAATGAAAACTTGTTGTAGGATTGTTCCACCATCAACTTCTTGCTGCACAGTGAGTTTCACTTTGAGTCGCTTTGAATGTGGCTCAGTCCAAACAAAAGAAGCATCTGTAAGATGAACCTTGCTTAAATTTTTCAATTTCTTAAGGCAAAGTGTCAGAAGCTCCCGAGACTCGAGTTCACAATAAATCCAATTTCCTTGGGAGTGTTGATATCTGTATAAAGAAAGGTTAAACAATTTAAGGTGAGATCTAACGATTATGCAAAGAGAATACAAGAGCGTTTCATCTGGTTCTTGTTGTTGTCTTTCTAATCAAATATTATGAACGTACCTTTCACATCCTCGACAGAAGTACAAATTACTAGATTTTGGGATATCCTTGGTTATATCGAAGTTAGACTTCAAACATGCCGCACACATATTTGATGGGTTTGTATCGATTAATACACCACAAACACAACATAATCTAGAAAAGGATAACAGATTAGTAATTTTCATAAGTTTGTTATAAGAAATTGAATAACTTACATTTTCACCTGTGTTTGGGTGATTTCATCGGCCGGTAAATATTCCATAATTATTGAAGAAAAGAACTATTAATTTAATTAAAATGCCAAGTCAATACATGTGATTTAAACAGTACACAAGTTAAACAAGTTGAATGGATGAAAAACACGAGATACTGAAGCCAGTGAAAATAAGCAAGCCAGCCAGCCATATTCTGGCATGAATGGCTTTCCTATTCTTTTCACCTTCAGATGGCTCAGCCATTTTTGCATAAAACTTGGTAAGACCAGCTGAAGATCGATGCATCGAAAAGCACAATCAATCTTTAGCAATTTAAATTCAGATGTTTGCTCTAAAATTAATCAAGTGCTTTAAAGGATTAATTCATAATAAACTTTTTTTAATTACTTCGTCAGCTCTTCATTTAAATGAAGTAACTTATCATATTGACAATCATATTAAGCTGTAATCCATTGTGTTTCTTGTTTCCTCTTTATCAATCTGTGAAACCTTATGTCAGTTTTTTTTAATGGTTTGATCACCAGTTTGAATCTGATTCCTGTGGATGATATTTAGCGTAATATTACTATCAATTGGATTATACTAAACCTTGCGACCTCACATCAGATCGAAAATATCACTTTAATGTCAACATTCATGGCTTTGAAATCGAGTCAATCATCTTGACCTATGATACTGTATCACTGTTCCATTATTTATTCCTGTCTTATTTATTGTTTTCATTCACAGTGGCTTAATTACGTGATTTTTGAGTCAATTAATGCTTATTCCATGCATTATTTATTTTAAAGCAAACTCTAATTGTGAAAATTGCGCTACTATTTTGACTGGTTAATGGATATCCAGATGAAACTCTTGAAGGTATCCGAGCAACCACCAGAAGGTGTAACTGTTTCAAAACAATAGTGATTGAGTTACATTGGAAATCTAATTTAATTATAAATCTATTTAAATAATTACCTATCTATTTGAGTGATTGTCCGATTTTTATTAATTTGTTATCAGTTCTATTTCTGTTTCTATTGAGTTTTTTCTTAATTTCTATATCCCTTTCTTTCTGAACAGTTTCTACTTGTTTTAAGTGACTGCCTGAGACAACCATGATTTACAATTTTTATATTTTTGATGGATCTGGTAATAATTTGTTTGCTCTGAAAAAGGAGAAAGGTGATGAATCAAATAAATTGTTATTTGGATTTTTGTTCACAATGAAGTCGTTTTCCAATAGGATTGCTCCGGTCCTCATCAAGGAGCATAATTTTTTTGTCTGCTCTACCTCAGCTTATCAACTTGTCTTCATGGAGATGCCAACATCAGTTAAATTTGTTATCATATGTAGCAAGGACTCAACCCGAAACAATGATTATTATAAACAAGTTTTAAGAGATCTTTACCGAACAGTATATGTTGAATATCATGTTAAAAATCCTGTAGTTGAGCCACATGCAACATCAATAGATTCACTTTTATTCCGTGAAAAAGTCAATGATTTTTTCACCAAAATGTAACCCATTGTAAATCAATTTTCCTACTCATTCTATGGGTTGATAATGATAATATATTTCTGATTTTATTTATAAATACTAGTCGCTTCTTTTTCCAAATACTATTATGTAGGGTTAATCAGTTTCTAATCCATTAGAAAATGTAAATATTAAATCCTGTTACATGAGTATAATTGTGAGTGGAATGAAAGAAATGGATAAGTCCTGAATTTAATAAAAAATTTCAAACACTCGAGTGAAGTTGACTTCCATGAGATTGTGTTCAAATATGTTTGTTAGCTTGCCTAAAAATTTGAAAAGGTTTTCTTAATAAATACTGATAATTTAGGATGAATCGTGAGGATTAAGAAGAATGGAATTTATTGAATTCAGAGCGAATTTTCATGGGAATACGATGATCGGCAAAATCAGGGTCACGACAAACAATTTTTGCCCAGGGAAATTTTTTCGGTTTCGGAATGATTTTTGGCAATCCTTTGGCTGACTTGAGTCCATCATCTTCAACTCGGCTGACACAATCAATACAAAAACGGATTCCTTTTCTTTCTCGACGACCCAAAATATGATTAGCACAGTCCTTCATTCGCTTGAACGTGGTCCAACAGTATAAACATTGGAAAGCAAAAATATCTTCTAATGCCTTGTTTCCAGTATTAAGGTGATTCTTCTCAATATCTTTAATGGTTTGCACTCCATCGATAAACAGATCCCAGGGTTGCTCTTTATCTGCTGTTAATATTGACCTATCAATTCCGGACATTCGATCCAATGGAGCTATTAATGGGTCCCAAACAAGCTTGACGAACTCTTTACCAGTTTTTGGACAAATGGACCAAGCAGTAGGAGTACATGGCCAATGCATAGCATTGGTAGAAACATATGGTTTGGGAACAAATGACATTATCAATTGAAATAGTTACACTGGATACAAAACAACTCTAAAGTCAATTTGGAAGGTGAAGATGAGAGGAAAACACTTGAAAAGAAACTAAATTGTTGCATTGTGTTTTATTTTTTCCATATCTTATCCTGATTTCGGTCCAAAACAAATAATTATCGTGATAGGTGTACATTGGTTACCACAAGTGGTCCATCAAAGCTAATGAATAGATAATTCAGCCAAAAAATCAAAATAGATGAAGATTTGTTAATTTGATACAAACATTTCTTGTAATCCAATGGACAACGAAGCTACCAATGTGAGTCCTACAAAACAGTTGATTTATGGTGGTTCATTTCCCTCTCTTCTGTTCCGATGAGGCATCATTAGACTATCAATCAATTCTCTGAACAAAAAATGTAATAAATCTAAACAAAATATAAATAAACACAATCATTAGATAGTTTACATCAGACAGGAGGGATATTTAATCATTTTAGTTTATACTTACATTGTCATATTCACGTAAACAAAAGTAAAGATAAGATTTTGATTGTTTCCAACTTCACTTGGATCCCGAATAAAGTCCACAGTTTCATGTAAATTGGTCTGTTAACAATTGATTGAGATTGAAGAATCTGAAACCAGTACATACTCGGATTGTGTAAACTACGAAAACGATTAAAAATCGCCCATCAAACTTGAAGGTGGTTCAAAAATTAATGAATTAAAATTTGTTACAAGGAAGAAACGAATTGTAAAAAATTATAACCTGTAACATAAATAAACAACAGATGGCGTAACATTGGATTATTTCAGCAATTTTTCCAGAGGTAATAATTTAATCAATTTTAAATTACATCAACAGATTTCATTTTATTTTTAGTTAAAACAACTCATGATTACCCGATCGATGAAAGCCGATCATGACCATTTGGGATGAAAAACTAATTGAGCAATTCAACTCATCAATCTTCGCTTTTCTGCATTTACGTGCCTCAAGTGGTCATCAAACCTTCTGAACCTACTTCTGATCATAGATATGAAGCTCAAAAAATAAGGTAAGCAAACAAGGACTCGTAATTATCTCGCCAAAATCGAAAGAAAAGAAGTGAACTCATTCAATCTATTCGATCTGTATTCGAAGCCCATAGACACGAGTGCTTAATCACGGATTTTCTTACATTTTTGCTAGTCTTTTCTGCTGTGAAACTACGAAACTATTGTATTTTTCGGTAACAACTAGTTACACGGACATTGGGTGTAACTAGCCAGACTTTAAAATCAATATCCAATCAAGAGGATCTTTTAAATTTAATATGAAACAAATCTGAAATAAAAACGTTTCACGTTGAATTATCATCAATATTGAAACGTCTAAAAACCAATGAAGAATCAAATATTATAGCTTTTTAGCAAAGTTCAATCAATTTTCTGAAATATTTTTCCTAATACTAAATTGATCCATGATTATTCACCATTGAAATACTAAATCTTTCAAATTGATTTCTGTTTTTTATTCAACCTTTAATGGCCTTTAGAGACAACCTATTTCTAGTTTTAGAGTCCACGCCTTGACGCCTTTCATCTCAAAAATGGTATTTTTTAAAACGATTTCAATGGTAACCCAATCCAGACTGGATTCACAAAGATCAGAGGAAAGAGTCGACTATCTGTTTCATGTTGAAGCTAAAGCAGGTAAGTACTCTTGTATACTTGATATTGAATTTGAATGACTATCTGATGCTGGAAGAACAATGACAATAATTTGGTCCATTCATCTTCTTGTCTCTTCCTTCTGACTAACAGGGAAACATTAACTGGACGAGCAAATAAAACAACATAGGTTACATAATGTGGCATAGAGTGTATCACAAGGAGTAAAGGCAGGAATAACAAGACTTATTATTAATATTACAACAACAGGAGAAGCAGAAGCAACAACAGTAACAAAAAGAGAAAGATAAATAACATGATTGAGATGGCTGAACTGCATTGAACAAGGCAAGTTGACTCCATGTAAACAGTCCACTGATGTCCAGTTGATTAACTATTCTCCTAGTTTACTTTCATCATCATCATGAAAAGCAACAACAAACATAATCTTGCCTCCTTTTCCTCCTCCTGACCATCCCTTGAATGTGTACCAGGAATAAGATAGCAAGCTACAAGGCCTACAAGCCCTTGGAGGATTTCATTAAATGTTCACAACTCTTTGCTTTCATATTAAATGTCACTGATTCTTTTTCATTCTCATCTTAATTGACTTTTAGTTTGCCGTTTCATCTTTACGTCTTCTTGTTCATCCAAGTTTCCTGTTACAAATGATGAAATATAACTACAAGGTGGAGAATCCATGAAGAACCCTGAAGAGTCCGTAGATAAACCAGGAAAAGTCCAATAATGAAAGATGATTTTACTTAATACATCATATCATCTTCCTGATGAGTTTATTTTTTCAAGCCAAGGCAGAAAGAAGACCATGAAAACAATCCAAAAACTGGACAACCTGTCAGTCTAAAAGAAAAATTATTCTCAGAGAATGAGAAAAGTCAATGCAGAAATGAGCCCAATTTGACCATATTTATCACCATCATCGCCCTGACCATGCAAAACAAGCTTCACTTGATCAACAAATTATCCATCATCAAGATTAACTGAAAATTTGCAAACAAAAATCAACTGTAAACAAGAAATGATTGATATTGGCCACATTTCAACATAAAACAGTTAACAATGACTACTCTTGAAATGATTATTAATCTACTGGACGAAGCTGTAATATCATCAAACAAAATTAAATTGTATTAAACAAATGGTCGAGCAAATGTCATCACCGTTGGCAGCCTTTAACTACAATTAATCATGCAAGGAATGGCCAACGATCACCATTAAAAGACACATTTAAACATGTAAACAAGTCGAGAAAGCTCAAGAAATATTGGAGGAAAAAGAAGGAAAAGATGAAAATCAATTTTCAACATTATTGCAGACTTTCATTTAATCAAACTCAATTGCTTGAATGGCAACTCAAGTTGATGACTTTACCCAAAGATTAATCGTTTACGATGCAAAAACAAACCTTCAAAATTAAGGTCACAGTTGAACATTTAAAAGCCAAACCCTAGGAATCCTTCCAACATTAAAAATCGCAAACACCATTTACTTTAAAGTAAAAATTGCCATTGATTCAACATTGATAAATGAGCTATTTAAAGCGACTCGATTATGCTGTAAAAGACACACATCAAGATTGAACATTTACAGAGGTTAAATTACACACCAAATCGTGCCAATGACCAGTAATAAGTCTAATTCATTTGGAACAATTTAAAGACACAATTTCAATTCAATTTGGATTCAATTAAGAGGAAAACAAAAAGAGGAGACTAAATAAAAACAATAAGATTGGGAAGAGAAAACATGTTTTATTTAGTTTTTCACATTTGTTTCAATAGAGCACAATTTTAATGTACAATTTGCTTCTTGTTTCCTCCTTTTCTCCTCCTCCTTCAATTCTGATCCATCCATAACTTATCCCAGTGGCATCCTCCTCCTCATCATCCTCCTTATCCTCTTCACTTTCATCATCTTTACTTGCCATCTTGCCCTCCCAAAAAACCGTCAGGGGCCAGAGAAGAAGCAATATTTTACTCGAAAAAAAAAGAAGAGGAAAAACAAATTTCACTTTATATTCGTTTTTGTTTTCAACTTAACACACCAAGGTCACAATCCTGATGATCAAGATGAAGATGATGATGAAGATGATGAAGACCAAGCAAGAGATGATGAAGCTTCTGAAGCCGACATATTTTTAGGCGATATCAGAGTTGGTTTGGTAAAACAAAGAAGCTTTAGTTTCTCAAGTTAATTTTCAACGGCCAATAATGTTGATGAGGATAAAGATGAAGTTTGATGATAATGAAGATGATAAAGACGATGATGAAAAGTAGATGAAAGGAGAAACAATTTTCCTCAACAAAGGACTTTATTAGCTTTCTTTTCAGGCTTAAAATTTACACTGAATTTACCTTTAATCTTTCAAATCTTTTCATCTTAATGTTGATCATTTTCATCATCCTTCAATCCTCACTCACCATTCACATAAACAATCCTCATTCCCATCATCAATACCCATTGTAAGTGTAACTAATTAGCTGAATAATTGTGAGATTTAAAGTGAAAATTTGATTCCATTTACAGTCAGTTTAACCGTTGAATCAATGAATATTTATCAAAGACGAAACCCATTTCAAGAAACTAAGTCAATCATGGAAACAATTGTTGAATCTTTTCATGCTGCACTCGATTCCAAACCATTTAATCATTTTACATTTAAATGTTTGATTAGAAGAAAAAGATTTCATTTTTTGGTTAAAAATGTTATTTCATTGATGTAATAAACAAATGGTTATGATGAGCATGAAGTAAAATGTTCATTAACTGAATGTAAATTGTTGAAATGTTTTCCTCTTTTTGTTTGTTTCAATGTTTACACAACTGACCTTTGACATACAAAGACTAATGATGACAACAAAAGATGAAGCAGGGTCAGTAGCTAAGGTCAGGTTACTTCTTAAGAAATCATTAAACGGTTGAGAAAATCATTTTTACATTTCATCTTTTGCTTACCATGAAAGCCAAATGTTTTTGTTTCAAATGTTTTTTCATTTTAAAGGAACAATTTTTTTCAACATTTTTCTGCTTTTATTTGAAATAGCAACGAAGAAAATGATTAATTCATCAATTTTCCTCTTTCATCCAAATCATGTTCAAATGAGACACAATGTTTGCTGAAAGTTCATGAGTTGACTAAAAAAATGTGAAATGAATTGATAGGCTGGCAATTGAATAGAGTTGACCTCAAACTTTCCCTGTTTACCAAACAGTAGGACCAGTGAAAGTTGAAAGATGAAGTTATAAAAAATGTTCAGTTCAATCTGATTAAAATCTCATCAATCAACTTCTGACAATCAAAAATATCACTGACAATTTGCCTAACCCAAAAAAAACTGGAAAAAGATGAAAGCAACAGAAGTGTTTCAATGAAGTACAAAATCAAACCTTTTATCTCATCAAACAATCAAAATGGCTATTAAGTCAAGAGACGACAATTAAGTGATGAGTTTCCAATCAAACTGAGCAATTAAAGCAAATGCAAATTGCAATCATCACTTTATTCCCAAGAACTGATGACGAATGCAATATTTCCCTTTTGTTGGTTTGATATTCATTTCAAACTTGAGCATTGATGTTATGTTTAAAGGAAAATAAGCTTACGCAGATTGAAGAACCATAAGTACGAACGCTCAAGGTTATTCAAGGTCAAACCGTTATTTGACCTCTAATTGACATTTGGAGGTCATTTTCTGATAAAAAACATTTGGAGGTCATTTTCTGATAAAAAAGATGTTAGATGCATGATTAGAACTGTTGTTGTTCAGGAGTTATGAGTGTTTTCATACCGCAGAGTTTGTGCATCTTTTCAACAGGGTGAGATTTCCACTTGTGACAAACATCAAACCATCTGCAAAAATCTGTTCTATCATAAAATGACCTTCAAATGTCAATTAGAGGTCGAATAACGGTTTGACCTTGAATAACCTTGAGTGTCCGTACTTATGGTTTTTCAATCTGCGTAAGCTCATGGTTCAAGTCTGAGGTGTGTACCATCACCCTTTCTTGAGTTATGCCTGCAAACAGGCGTAAAATGAAAAAACGCAAGGTATTATATTTTCTTTTCATAGATGAATGTGACTTTTTCTGCGCCACACGGCTCTGCTACTTGTCCTGATTTTCATGATATAACAAAAGACGAGTTAATCGGATGGCTGGACGGTTACTTTCGTGTCCCTCGTGGCGTCACAAGACTTTATATCTCAAGGCCGCAAAGGGATATTGATATAGATGCAGTAAGTGACTACATAAGAATAATCCAAGGGATTCCTATTTTGTTTGGAGAGAAAACGAAGGTTACGTGATCGCTGCGGATATCGTGGAAATACAAAGAAATGGTCATAAAAAATTATATTCGTATAAAATTCGTATTTGTTAAAAATCTTTCAGGTTTTGCTCAAGGTAAATTAGACGCTATTTCTTTAATAAATCGATTCAACATTCAAATTTGTTTAACTTTTGATTGAAACAATGAATTAAGGCTTCAAAGATTAGGTAATGTTAGTTGGATTGAACAATGTTTATCTGGTTCTAGGAGTATTCAAGATATGAGAAGATTCGAATCGAATTCTGGGAAATGTTGAATTATTTTTCAATTGAATTATGAATTTCCTAAATGCTTGTTTAGTTTGATTAAGATGTGAATTGCTTTTCTTGTTTTCCTTGAAAGTCTTTTCAAAGTAATCATTAAATGAAAACCCTTGTTAATAAGATGAAACTTTAATCAGCTTCGTTTTTTTACAATACAATTAATAGTTCTACTAATTACAATATTGCCGATTTTTAAGAGCAAAATACTTATTCGCAATTCCTTGAAGCTCATCATTCCATCACTTTTACATGAATAATGAATATTTAAATTCAACTTTTTCCTTCCAATCCAATAATTTGACTTTCAATTTAAACAAAACATCTAATTTAATCATTTCCAAGTAGCAGCCATCAGCTACACCAAAGCCACTGAAGTTTCCAGGAAAATTCAATTTCAATTGCATAATATTACAAAAAAATTGTTCAAAAATAATTAATTGGAATGAGCAAAAAAATCGAAATTCGGCGAAAAAATTTACCTAAAACCAACATTGACATTTCAATTAAAAGTAATGCATTTAAGTGTAAAAAATTTCACTCAATTGCGACAATTTAACAAGAAATGCTGAAAAAAAGATTCAATTAATTGTTACTTTTCATTATTTTTGCTCAACATTAGGAGTTAAAAGGGAAGGCACAAGATGGAGCTTTGAAGGAATGAGGAAAAGTGAGTTTGGATGATAAATAGACAGAGAGTTTGTGCAGTCTTTCGATGAACATTTAGTTTTAGGACTGAATTGAAGTTGAATTATTGTTACCCTTGCCACCATTGGAATTGTTTGAGTCCGTGATTGAGGGTAAACCTCGAATTAAACAAATGCTTTTACTATGAACCAACCAGTGTTGAAATGCATTGTCAAATACCATTGGAAAAAATATTTTGTGTTTTAATGTTTCACCTTAGTTCATCGCCGGCAACCCTGACATTACTTTTACTCTATCTTTCAGGAATGTGTTCAGGATCACCGGGAAGTGGCGGGACAAGTGACTCTAAGTACAACACCAATGGGTTTAATGGTACTAACCAGCATCGTCACCATTCTCATGGTAATAATGAGACAAGGCCTTCAAGTGGTTCTGGTGTTTCTGCTAGTGAACCTTGTACCAACAGTGAAACATCGAGCAACCCTTCAACTGGTTCTCCAAATAGTGCCCATTATCCAGGGAATAATAGGATCCATAGACCGTTAATTAGTGAATCTGGATCGACAAGTGATATTAATTTAACCTCTTTTACCTGGAATTTTGATTTACCCTTAACAACAGCCACAACTACAACAACATCCCAGTTAAGTGTAAGATTGAAAAAGGATCTCACTTATATTTCCTATGATACTCATCGTCATCAACAAATCTATTATTCTCAATTATCATCCCCATCATCACCAACTTCACAGCCATTTTTACCATCATTTTCAACCTCAGTGCCATCTTTATCATCTTCATTACCAGGAAAACTTGAAACTTCAACCTCAACAAGCTCGACACCAGCAAAAACAAAACCAACAAGAACAACTTTTCACTCTTCTCCTTCCTCTTCCCAATTAATGGTGTTTCATAATAAACCACCAATTTCATCTTCCCTCTCCTCATCATCCCTATCCATTTCAGCATCGCCCTCATCCTCATCAAACCATAAAAGTATTACCAATAACTTATTAACTCGTCCTTCATCATCTTACCACCAAGAAAGCCTAACAAGCTTAAATCAATTGCGAATGTTTGAAGAAAAAGCAATTCCAAAAAATATCACAGCCCAAGTTGGCCTTCCCGTCTATCTTCACTGTATAGTGGAACCAATTGGTGACAAAATGGTAAGACAAAAGATTTCAGAATATGAATAAAGAATAGCAAAAAATGGAAATGAAAATCTTAATGTTTCCTGGGAAGAAAAAAAAGCGAAGCGAACAAAAAAAAATTAAAAAATAGCAAAAAGTTGCTCAGATACAAGACAAAAGCATGAAAAAAGAATAAAAATTTCCCAGTTTCTCCATCATCATCATCTTGAACATTCCCAATTCATCCTTTTTTTGTAAGTTACAAAAATTCTTGGCATCAACAACTGAAACCTTTTTTTTTGCTCAACCAAACATTATATTTAGAAACATTTTGGCAAAAACACTTTCAATTGCAAGTTTTACTTTTAACCAGCAAATCTATTCAACCTCAACATTTCCCTATTTCATGATTACTATAGACACTAACCATGATAATGTTGATCACAAGTTGCTTCAACTTTTAATTGACAATCGAGTAAATTGTTGGCCTTTTACCCAAGAAAACTGGACACCTTTACCTTTTCACAAAAAATAGTGTTTCAACAATTCCAATGATCATGAATCCTTTGACCTGAATAATTGGCAAACCATTCGCCCAACACAATTTATAAATCATAATGGTCAGTTTATTGTCTAGTTTAACCCAGGTTTACACCCAATTTGAATAGACTATTTTAATGTCTATTATATCTTATCAAATACAGAATTTCATTTCAATTCTTCATCGAGATGATGATCAGTTTTGACATGAACTTTCCCTCAATTAACATAATGCATCAAAACACATTTTTCATTTACCTTTTATTCGTCCAACCACAACCATTGAATATCATGAAACATATCATGAGCAAGGTGTGCCAATCGAGATTTAAAGATGACACAAATTTAATTATCAATCGTTTCACTGAATTCAATTGAAAATCATTTTCTGTCAACAATTCACTTTCACTAGCTTTTAAAGTTATATTAAAATGATTGTAAAAAAAAGTTAAATATTAAATTCAATTCTTAAATGTAACTTTAATCATTGTTATAACATTTGTTATCCATTAATGAAACTTATTATTATAACGATAATATTTTTCATCCTTTTAACAATTGTTGGTTAATTTGATTGTAATTTGAGTTTGCAATCAAAGTCGATTTAAAAGTGTCGACATTAATGATTTAAGTTTCAATTGAAAGTTGATTTTTTGTAGCTTTTCATTTGTTTCAAGAATTTCAGTTTTCTAATCAATTCTCGATAATTAGATTGATCATTCAAGTTGACAAGTTAATTATCAAAGAAGTGCATTTGCTAATAAATAGGAATCACTGTTAATTAGCAACAATCTATTTCCAGACAATCAATTGCAATTGATATTATTAACTTTTTTTGTTCCATTTTTTTCTTCTTCTCTGTTTCATCTTTCAATAACAGCCAAATCAAGTTAATTCATATTATTTTGTACGTCAATATTAACGATGATGGAAATTTCATCTCAATCTATTATCAACTTATATCACAGTAAATTGTTATTACATTCAAGTTGATAATTTTTACCTCCCTCTAGTCAAACAATATGTATCAATCATTAGATGCCATTTTGCTTCCCTTCACCTAATAATGTTGGTAATGAAGAGAAAAGAAATAAAATAAATTTCTTTTCCAGTTTAATCATTTTTCCTTCATGAACAATAATCAAAATAATATTACAAGAATATCGCATTTCTTTATATTAATGTTGGATAACATTAATGAATAACTTTTCACATCCAAAGTTTAAGATCGAGTGAAAACTGCCAATCAATCCATTCAGTTTCACTAAAGTTCTGAACATTAGCCCTTCGATAACGAAGACGATTGAAATTGCAAAAAAAGTTCAGCAAGTCGATTAGTTCATTTTTCTGATTTGCGAAAATTCTTGGCATTATTTTCTTTAAAAATTTCGTCACTAATTTGATTATCGTTCGAGCAATTGCGATTTTAAACATTTCATTTTCTCGAAGAAAAATTTTCTATGATAAGTTTGCACTTGAAGTTTCAGAAACTTTAAACTTTTCAAAGTTTCCTTTAAAGTCCTTCCCAAGCTTGATATTTGAAGTATCCACATTTAAATCATTGAATGTTGAAGACTTTGAGCTCGGGCTTGAGCTATGACCTTAAATTTCAAAAACTGTTTGGAAATTGTAATAACTCGATTCTGATAAACATTTCATGAAAAATTGAAAACTTGTTTTTCATTGAAAGTTTTGCATATCAAAAGTGAAAAATTGTAAATATCAAAAGTCGGCTAAATTATTTGGAGTTTTGATTGAATTGATAAAATTAGTTTGAAAAGCTTAAAATGCTGAAATTCAATTCATCCTTTTACCAACTTTTAATAATTCATTTTTCAGATTATTTCAAATTCCATTGAAATATATGAACGTTTGAACCTAACTCCCAAGTTTAAACCCTAAGAAGGGAAAAAATGTTCAACTGATTTCCTTGAAAAAATCAATTTATTGCATTTTTCCTTTTTTGCACAGAATTTTGTCCTGAAAAAGTTTCCAATTAATTTTCCATTTATCTATTAATCTGTAACCTCCAATAGCTACATGAAGACAAATCTAATCAAAATGGACTAAAAGTTTACGCAAATAATAGATGCTAATCTGGGAGTTTTTTTCCTCCAAAACTATTCCTGTCAAAGTGGGTCAATCTTTTGAGCAACTCTTTGATGAGCAAAAAGTAAACCTCAACATTGTCTTGTTAGTTGATTTACGGTGATTTTTTGTCTCTGAGTTTTCTCTCTCTTCCATCCCAACCTCAGAATATAATGTTATTCTGAGTTTAAATTGAAGTGTCTCACAATAATATCTGCTCTGCTATTTGTTTTAACCTTGGATACACATTGAATCAATACTCGGCTAAACAGTTACAAACAACAAATTTGGATCGATGATGATGATGATGATGGACCCAAAGCTGAGTCTATGTATACAGTTTGATGTGACAGGAGCAACAAAAGGAAACAAAAAAAGTTATACTTTTTTATTTGATCTAGACGAAGAGGAAACAGTAAGTAAGCCAGAAAAGACAGACCATTGAACTGTTGGTCAGCCTCACGATGGACCCAAAAAGAGATGAAATTTTCAATCATTTTTATCTTCTTTTCCTTTTGCCTTCAACTCTTACCTTTTTCATTTCATGTTCAACCTTGTTATGGTAGAATAACTTTTCTCTGGAAAAATTTTCATCTTTTGAACACTTTTCTTTTTCTGTTGATTCCATTGTATTTTCATCCCATGCTTCAGATATACATAACATGGAATGGGATAAAAATACCTTTACAACTTGAAACTTACTGTTTTATTTCTTATTATTGTCAATGAACCATGATTATGATGAAGATAATACAATTCAATTATTGTTGTGTTTATCATCATTTTCCTATTCAATATCAGGAAGAATGAACAAAAAAAGCAAAGCAAAGTACAATATAATGGTTCATTATTTTCATCAATTGAGTCAATTTTTTGTTCTCATTTAAACAGTTGACTTATGTGAAGAGGAGAAAAGGAGAAAAATTCATTTTCTTTTTTCCATCCTTTTCTCATCTCTATTATTCTCATGATAAAAATGGTCAACAAATGAAACATGTTTATTGATTGTTGGTCAAACTTTTTTTAATATCGCTTTTCATCTCCAAATGATCCATCAGAAGATTAGTCAAAATGAAGTTTAATGTAACACTTGGCTAACTGTTTTGGTGAATATTTATCTCAGATTATCACTCAATTCAACTGATAATTTACTCGAATTATCATAATGAAATGTTCAATTTGCTGATCGATCATCAACTCAATTTGATGAATTTGCTTGCCTTTTAAAATTCCTGCTAATCAACATTCCATGACAATTGTGTATATATTACAATATTATATCAAATGAAATGTGAATAGAAAAAGAATGTCTTTTTTCTCCTCTTTTCCAACATTTCCATTCTAATATTATCCATTTTTTGCCTTCTTTCCCACTCATCTTCCCACTCTAATCATGATCATCATTCAACGTCTATTTTGGTTCCATCATAATATCCATTCATTGTCAGTTAATCACAGTCTTTTTTATCTTTATAATTTCCATTCTTTGCCTTCACTGTCAACATATCAATTTCACCATGAAGGCAAACAAAGAGAAAAGCTAAAACTTCATCTTTACTTACAGCAAACTTTAAGTTCAATCATTTCTCCTTTTCCCCATTTCACAAGATAATTTCATGAGAAACTCATTGCAATTGGAAACAATTATCACAATAAATGTCGATTTATCATTTCTATTGAATATAATTAAACAATTTCCTTCGATTCCAGTCTTGGAACTTTACTCAAACAGAAAGTGAAAATTTTCAGTTTTCCCATTTCTCAATGTTCATTATTCAGCAATTATCTTTCATCGAACTTTCATTTGAATTTCAAATTATCAGAATTTTCTTATTTTCTTTTTGATTGTTAGCAACTTTTAAAGAGCAAAGCGATTCCATGAAATGTTGTTTCATGCTAAATTCAGCTTATCTGTATTATTGAACATTATATTGACTTTGATGAACAAAGTTCAAGTTTATCTCAATTTCCTTGTAACATTTTTTCCCATTGTATTGCTCCTAACCAACTCTTTATGTTGAAGTGAAATAATAATTTTTGCCTAACAAACAGGCAAATCGTTTATCAATGGCAAACTTTGTTTAGCTAAATCAAATCCAGGATAAAGCAGGAAAGACGAAGAAGGAAAAAAATGAAGAAAATTGTGTTTTTCAGTTGCTTTGCATTTTCACTTTTCGGTGAAAAGATGAAAATTGAGGCTGAAAATGGGTGAAAAATTTGAATTATTCAACCTCTTTTGCATTGAAGAGAAAAGGAAAGGGAAAAGGATGACGATGATGATGAGGCAAAATATTGACAGAATCCATCAACTCATGTTGTTCATTTTTGATCTTTCATGATATCAACTTCTGCAACTTGAATGGTAATTCATCCTCATCCTAATGGCAACATCTAACTTGATTGCATTTCTCACTGTTACTCAGCCCATCAACGGATTTCCTTTCAAAGAATGACATTTTACTTGTCAAACTTCAGCACATTGAAACACACGAAACAGTTCACAGCTAATAAGGTAAAGGTTTTAGGAAAAGCTGAGAATCTGGTGAATGCAAAGAAAAATTATTCAACTCGAACAATTGTTCAATTAATAATCAACTGAAATCTGTCAAGGCTTCAATCGTAAACTTACTTTTTTCAATTTGATTCAACATCAAAAACTTAATGTTAATGAATATTTTCAATAATTATGAGTTTCCATTTGCCATTTTCCGAATATGAACTTTTCGATTTTCAAGTGTTTTCAAGTTGAATGTTAAATAAATAATCAGTTTGGCAGATTAAATGGATTTAAAACGTTCGCTAATAAATTAGTGATTAATTATTAAAGTTGAATTGAACAATTGAATTATATGAATTTTAGTGTATTTGCTAAATGGACAATAAAGAAGATTAACTTTTTTAAAAATGAAAAATGTTTCCAATTGAAGTAACGAGTCTATCGTTAGATAATTGTTTTAAAGATTGAAATACAGAAATGGCCAATTTTCAGATTCAAGTTTCAACTAATCCACCGTTCAAGTTGTTCAACTGTTGTATCATTTTCAGTTTATAAGGATTGTTGTTTGTTCACAAGCAATGATCATTTGTTGACTAAAAAAAGAAATTGAAACGTTCATGGATTGCTTTTCATTTACAGTAATGAAAAATTCTGTTCTAATGAGTGTTGATGCCTTGGCTATTGGAATCTTTCCAAAAATAGTTTTTCGATTAACATTGAAATTTTTTCTCTTGCAGTTTACTTGTCGATTAATGTAACTTTAAACTAAGGTTTCATTACATTTTACACAACGAATTCTGTTACAAGGTATTCAAGTTCATGAATCTTTCAATTCCTAATTCAAAAATGTTTCTCGAATCATATTCAATTTCGAAATATTTTCCAACCGAAAACTCATCTTCAATCAGAATATCTTATTGAAACACTTTTTTGTCTTTCAAGTGAACGCTAAATAGACTCTGTTAATCAATCTTTTAAAACAAATGACTTTGAACAGAAGCCTCAATCAATCCTCTTCATACCTGTATTTTGTTTTGTTTTCTAAATGCTGAGTTCTGAATAACTGATTAAATTGATTGTAAAAGTTGACTCGAAAACCTCCAATCGATTGGTTTATGTCCATTCGATGAGCTAAAATAGTGAAAGTAGATTATTTGAAAGAAGTTGCTTGATTGGATTAACATTGAAAAAATGAGATCCTTTTTATGGACACGATATTAATCTGTTATAAGAAAACCATAAACATTATTGGATTGACAAGTGTTAACAGTTCATTAATAGTTCGTACTTTTTCATCTATTTTAGTATATCTATTAAAGGTAGCAGATTCAAAAACAATTAAAGATTAACAGTTATAATAGAGCTCACAGTTTGAATAGAAGAAAATTTGAAAATTGATTAAATTTAGTTTTACTTTTAGTTTTCAATTTAGCAAGTTTGCAACAAAAAGCTAGAACTTTTAATATTTTAAAAGCAAAAAGTCTTTTGATATTTTCATAATTTTTGTGTTTAATGTAATTATTTGCATTTTGATTATAAATCTTGCTCTTTCTTTTCACCTTTAATTGACTTTTACTTTTGTTTCATTTTCATGTGCATTGAACACTTTAACTGAATTACAGTTGAATTGCATCTTTTAATGTCTTTCATCTGGAATCATTCAATTTTCACGGTAAACACTTTTCCATGGGAAACCATTTAGCTTTACATCTTTCCTGTTAATTAGGTTTCACCAATCAAAATGTTGCAACTATCCAACAAGTAAAAGATTAACGAGGTTTCAAAAATTTTCACCCAACTAATCCCATTGAGAAGTTCATTTCAACATTAGGCAATCAACTGACAAACCTTCAATCAACATTGATCATCATTAAAAGACTTACCAATGCTTCAATCTCAGAAAACATTGAAAATTAAACTCAAAACTGTTTCTGATTGCAATTAACGAAAAGTCAAAAATCTATTTGCATTATTGATCGACAATATGAAGTTGATAATTGAATGAAGGAATAAAAGATGAGTTGATTATTCAGTGAAACTAATCACATTGTCTTTTTGATGAATAAGAAGAGTTTAATTATTCTTGTTAATCAAAAGAGTAAAGTAAAACAATTAATTTGTCTAATTGTATTGTGAAAGTAAACTGTATTTATTGCTTGTGAGAAGCAGAAACACAAAAGTCTAATTTGATTTGAAAGTTATTTAACCTTGCTGTTGCTTTATTATTTAGTTGAACATCAACTTTTATTGCAAATTGTTTCTGGTTAAAGCGCTAACCAACAGCTCTCACATAAAACACTCTTATACACAGTATCAAACCAACAGGGAATGATAAACATGATAATAATATTTACAGTATAATAATAATAATGATAGAGTTGAGGGAAAAGGTTTGCCTTTTCACTCTTGTTTAACCATTTCTCATTGAACTCGATGAATTATCAAGGATGAGGTAACAAAAACCCACATCCTTGTAATCACAATAATAACAAAAATAATAGACCCATGATAATCTGAATTATTATCTTAACAATAATAAGAGAAGAAAAAGTGAAACAAAAATGTTAAACATGATGAAGCATACAACAAAGTCATCCTTTCCATGCATGTTACATATTAGATAACAGAAGGAAGCCAAAACTTCCGATCATTTCTTCTTTCCTCTTCATCTTTCATCAGCTCTAATCATTATTAGTATCATATTTATACTCTACACCAATGAGTCTGAAACAAAACTGCTGAATTTTTGTCACAATTAGCAGAAAAGTACTCGACAAAAGAACTAAAATAATTTCAGTGAAAGTCGATCTCAACATCAAATTAACTATAAAAAGCCAAAAAATTTCCACGCGCATTTATCATTTTTTTTCTCGACTGAAAGCGAAATAGCAGAATTTTTTTTCGATACTCTTTGGAAAACTCCGAGAAAAAACTCCCAGGGAATTTTTAGCTGCATTCATCAGAATACTAAAAATCTAATGTTAGTTTCCTAAAATTTTGGACTAAAATCGAACGAAATTTTAAGAAAAGTTTTCCTTAAAAATTATCGGGAAACTTACAGATAACTCTGATCGAAACTCCAACCACAATGCTCAGTAAATTCACAGAAAAATTTTGTTACATTCAATCAACATCGAAAATTGCAACGTGAATTAAAACCAATCGAATCAAAATTTAGTTGAAAATCTTATAATTTCAGAGCTATTTGCAAACGTAAAGTGCCTTTGCTACTAACTCTCAATAAAACTCAGTTTCTTTTTTTCGGCATAAACTTAATTTTATCCAAATTCTGACAGAAATTGATAAAAAAATTCTCAAAATTTCGCTTAAACTCCCAGTGAAACTTCCCTGTGAAGCTCGCCTTTCGTCTCACAAATGGTGAAAATTAAAGTTGAACTCAACTTTGAAGGTTGCAACAAATGCTATTCTTCTAAACGTGATTCTTGAATCGCCAGTAAAACTTTTACTAATCAACATGAAATTCATTTCCATTTTTTAATATCCTTTGTTTACTTTCGTACACATTACATGTTGTTTCTTTCGAACCTTTGGTCACTCGGAAATGCAAGAATACACTTGAACTAATAATGTCAATTGCTATTCTATTATTATCCTCACATAACAGGTATCATGGATTCGTCTACGTGATTTTCATTTATTAACCGTAGGATTATTCACTTACTCATCAGATTCACGGTTTGTTATACGCCATGGAACCCTTCAACCCAATGACTGGGCTTTACAGATCAAACACGTTACACCCAAAGATGAAGGGCTTTACGAGTGCCAAGTAAACACCGATCCACCCAGAAGTCAATATTTTTATCTCAAGGTTCTTGGTGAGTCCATTGACCAAGTCCACTTATCCGTTGATTCTCCATCAATTAATCTCTTCCCTTTAATTATTTACATGAATAATGTTAAACCTTGATTCTCCTCATTAATCACTGTCCACTTTGCATAGTTATACATTAAGATGAGCACGAACTAATTGAATAAGATCACAATATTTACAATCGAGATTGTTCAGTTATCCGTCAATGTCCATCACCATTTATCCAACCATTCTGTTTACTCCAATTTAACTGCCCATTTACATGTTTAATTATCAGCTTAATTTAGAGCACAATTTAAAACTCTTTCCTCCTTCTGTTTGTTTTCATTCAATCTTTCGTGTTTAACAATTCAAGTCAAGCTTTCAAAATTCACTGTTTATCCAACTTATTACAATCCATTATTTAACTTTATAATCAACTGCAAATTCATTATTCAACTTTTCCATGATTTATCAAGTTTATCAAAAAACTCAAGGTAAACATTACAAACTTTTAATCGATCAAAGTTTCACCATAAAATGACCCAAAAATCATGAATTTACCTGAAGACAAAAATCAATCCAAAAAATGAGATTCACATTAAAAGTTGAGAATCAAAAATTGCAACTTTGCTTAATTATATTTCATGATTAAGCCATTAAACTCGATAATCCTCTTTGGCCCAAAACTATAACAAAAGTGATTCAATCAAAAGCTTATTATTGATCAACTCGGATTAATATTGTGGTTGGATGAATGAAGGAAAAAAGTGATTCAATAATTTTCGTTTTTCTCATCCAAAAAGTTCATTCCCAGTGACTTTCATTGCAATAAAAAGCAAAAAGTCGAAAAAGTTCACTTTAATTATTCAATTGTCATGAAAAATTTAGATAATTTTGAGCAACTTTTTTCACTTTTCACTTTTGATGAAACAATATTTTAATTGAAAAAATGAAATTTTTGTTACCTTTTCAAATCTCAACTTTTATTTACTCAATTTAGGTTTTTATTTCAAGCCTCAATGAATGATGGATTGAGAAGTGAAAAAGGCTTGAAAATTATTATCAAAGTGTAATCAATCGATGAAACCATTCATTTTAATCAACTCTAATTAATTAGCAAAGCTTTTGTGTTAATTGTTAATGAAACCATTTTCACAGGTTCAATGAAAAGGCGCATAAGTGAAGGTATAAAAAACTTGATCACAATTAGAGTTAATTGTGGGCCTTTTATTTTTCTCTCTCATTCCCTTTACTTAACCATTCATCAAATTAATCAAATTTCGTATTGCATTAATTTTAATTTTAAATTAAACTAATTTGATTTTTTGGTTTTCGTTTGTTTCGCTCAGCAATTAATTTCAACTGTAAAATGATTTTTGCTCAAACTTTGACTTTTCAATTGAACAGTTTTCCAGATAATTTTCATTTCCAATTCAGAGCCTGTCATTGACAGAAGTTTAAATGAACATTAACCTCATTAATATCCACAAACGTAAAGATAATCAGAGAAGACATTTGACAATTGAATATAAATTTGCACTAAATCATAAATGCTTTACATAATCATATCGAACAATAATGTCTTTTGGTCTATTCCTAAGATTTCATGTAAAATGGAGGTTGAATTCATGGATTTTTATTTGCAAAATCATTTCTCTAAAGTGAATATCTTTCAATTATTGATTGAAAATTTGTTTAGAAGGAAAAGATTTGTTTAACTTTGCATTTTCTCTGATTTTTATTAACATTATTAGATTGTTGCCATTCATCTTTTCAGATGAGTTTCCATGATTAAGTCATCTTCAGAGTTTTATTCAAGTTTTTCCCTCCTTTTCCCTTCTTCCATCATCATTGTCATTTTCTTGGTCTTTTTTCATCTTCTTTCATCATTCAATTGATGATTGTCGCCATCCTTTCAAAGGCAACCCTTTCAATCAACCTAAACTTACACTTAGCTTGAGACCAGCCATTACTTCCGTTCATCTTGTGTTCATCATCATGATTTTACTTTCATGTTCCATGTTTTCTCTGTCAACCAAATTGATTGTAAGACAATTGACAATGTGTCAAACCAGAGGAACACCATTATCAATTTAAGTCAAATATTTGATCAACCTTTAACCAGGAAAAGGGTTTCCCAGTGTTCATTCAATCTGGTAAAGCTGAATCTTGTCATTTATCAACAAGAAAAATGTGAACCAAGAAAATGGAAGAAGAAGAAGAAAGAAAGAAAAACTTAAATATCACAATTGATATCCATTGAGAAGATGATGAAAATGGTGAGCTTTCGAAGAGCAAGAAGATGGATAAAGTTGACTTGAAATGAAACAAACAATTTCATTGGAAGCAGCGCAAACAGAAAGCAAAGAAAGTGTCGAAAGAAAAGCCAAGAAGAAGAGAAAAAAAGAAAGAGAGGATTAACAATGAGGATAACAACATTAATCCCTACTGAACAGTTTCATCCCATATTCACACTTTTATCCACAGCTATTTATAACTACAGATTGATGAATGTAAATCCAGGGCAAAGAATGTGGCAAAACCCAATTTTCACTGCACATTGTTGACCCTTTACCCAAGACTCATTTGGTCCAAAAATAATGTCCTCACAACACAAGGAAACATTGATTGAGTCTCACTGGGTTCAATGTTTATCTTTACAGTCCCTGTCTTCAAGCTAACACAAGTCTTGTTATTGAAAAATTTGCTCGCTGACAATTTATGGTTTTCAGAGTTTCCCCATTTCTGTTATCTCGAGCCAATTCCATGACAACCCAATTCACTTGCATCTTTATCTTGATCATCATCGTCTTTTCCTCTTCACAAGCTAATTCTGTTGAGCGCAATTGAACCATCACCATTCTCATCATATGAGTTAATGAAAACAAAAGGGAATCCAAAAAGGAAAGATTTCCATCTCTTCATCTCTTCATCCTTTTTTTCATCTGCAGCTTTTTTCCCTTTGCTCAACAACTGAAGATGATGATAAAAATAACCGACTTCTTATATTAAACCGAGAATGACTTTCATCTTCTTTTATTGCTGAAAACAAAATTATTTCATCCTTTCATCCTCACCATTTCCTTCTTCCTCATCTTCTTCCCCATCTTCATGATCATCATTATCATTCTCTCACCATTTAGACTTGCAATCTCTTCCAATGTCCAATTGTTTTACTTTTCCTATTTATCTTCACTTAATATTAGTTACCATTTTCATTATAAAAATCTCATTATTCCCAACAATTAGATTTATATCATTCCAATTGCTCCATTATCTTGATTGTTTCGCCATTTAATTTCATTTTTTTGCTTCTCTCTGTTCAACTCTTTTTTACTCTTCTTTTAATGATTAGTTCAATCAATTCAGCTTGTAATATCAAAACAAATGGTAAACCAAAATATCAGGAAAAAATATCAAATTTCCTTTCATTTATTTGTCCTTTTTCCTTCGCTATTAGTCTATCATTTTCAAGTTTACAATTCATCTTCTTCTGTCCATTCCAAGCAAATCAAATTACATGGAAACAAGTCGAAAGTAAAAACAATTTTCAGCCAATAACATGAAACTAGAAATTTATTGTTCGAATAATTATTTTGAAAAAAGGACCAATTTCATCAATTATTCAGTAAACAGATGAGAATGGAAATAATTTTTAAATTCCTTCCTGTCAGCTCAATGTCCCAATATTTCTGTATAAATCAAAGTGAAAAACTGGAGAAGCAAAAATGTATAATGAATCTGTAATTCAAAACCTTTTTTTGTTATCACATAATGATGAATAATGCTCATCATCATACAGCTTTATTGTGATTATTGTGAAAACTTACTTGACAGCTATCAATGATAACTTATCATAATATGAATCTTTGACAAGGAATAAAAAAACTCCTTTCACATGATCAACCAAACTCTAAATAAAGCAACTTTTTTATATAATTTTTGGTCATTTTGCATCAATCCAATTTATCTATAAGTTCAAGTTGAAAAAAGCGAATGATGAAAGGATAATAAAAGAGCAGAAATCACTGATACTTGAGAATGTAAATGATGAATTTAAATTGTCGGTGAAAAAACTTCACATTGAATTGCCTGAAAGGTCAACATAATCGCAAAAAAGTGGTCTAAAAATTTGTTTATTTTCGCTAAAATGTTGACTTACAAGGGAATTATCACTCACCGATTTTATGCTCAATGTCTCAATCGATAAAGCTAAGGGTTTAGATGAATAGTCTTTTACGTTTCTTTGACGAGTTGAGTTTCCTGAGATATTTGGGTTTAAAATTTAGGCATTCTTATTCATTTTTAAAAATCAGTAAAATTGTCTAAAAAGGTATAGCTTAGTGGATGTTAATATTTGAATCTAATTACTTAATGAGCCTGGACAGAATAGACTTGCAGAGGTTGACTTAGCTGGTTCAAATCTCATTAGTTTATTTTGTATTACTATTGTTAAGACAACTGTATTCATGACAAGTAATGATAGGCTTGATTAGAGTTGATTTGATCCTAATAAACATTTTACTAAACTACAAGGCTTTATGGCTTACCAAGAGATTGGTGAGTAAAAAGTTAATGGCTTGAATAAGTTTCAATAGCTCAACAGCAAGGTTGACTCAAAGTGTAACTGATTAGGGTTTGAGTGAAAGTTTAAAGAGTCTCATCGTGTTATTTTGCATCATTGTTGTGACAAGAAAGCGATTAAAGCATGACAAATAATTATAGCCTTGAAGTTAGGTTAGGTTTGGTTAGGTTAGGATAAACTGGTTTGACCAAAAACAAAAATGTGGCTCAAAGTTAATATCCGTTTTGTCAGAGTCAAAGATTCAACTCTGAACTGTTACAACTCTAGTGATTCAAAGTTGAACAGCAAATTCATTAAACCCAAATAAAGAGTATCTAATAGGAGTGACGATTATGTTGATTTGATTCCAATAAAGTCTGGATACTTAGCTTGAACAAATTACCAGCTTGCTCTATCCATTGTTTCTTGATCCAATCAATTGAAATCAGGTTAATTAAACTAATTCAAAGGGTGACAAATGTACATCCCAGTTAAAATGAAAATGACAAAAGTCACTTTTTCCAATCAAAGTAAAAACAATAATAGTTTTTGGTTAAATTAAAAGTTATAATGGTTTATAATGATTTGCAGTTATTTTTCATGATAATAATGATTGTAACAAAAAAGTTATTATTGTTAACCCAAACTTGGAATGAAAAACAAAAAGAAAGAATGGAATCCTTTAATGTATTAATTAAACGGTTCAATGTTCATTGCCTTTTCTGATCACGATTGTTAATAATTGTATCTCTATTTATTCACCATCAAAATGTATTTCATTTTTATTCATCATCACCATTATCATAATTAACATTATCATTATTCTCATTATTATCATTTTGCTCTTATCTCTTTCCAGTTCCTTATACCCGAATCTCTGGATCAGGCAATGATATTATTGTTAGCGCTGGATCTGGATCAACCATTAACTTAACCTGTATTATATCTCAATCACCCAATCCACCTTCCTATGTTTTCTGGTACCACAACGATCGAATGATAAACTATGACCTTAAAAATGAAGGACTGGGTCAGGTATCATTAACAAAAGATCCAGTTCAAAGTGATACATTGATATCACGTTTAACCCTGCGAAATGCTCGTTACAATAGTTCAGGCAACTATACCTGTGCACCGTTCAATATTGAACCTTCTTCCATATATCTTCACGTTCTCCAAGGTAAGACATCGATTTTGCTCATAAAGATCTTTACTCTAGTTTCATGTTCCAACGACCTACAGTAAAATTCCGAAAACTAAATTCAGAGCTTGAATGGATTGTATTTACAAGTGCAATGAAGATTCATCAAGTTGATATCCATAGTTATCTGCAATACGGCTTTAGGATCGTCAGGATCGTCAAACAGTAATTTTTTGAGTTACAAGGTTCAAGGTAAAGACTTGAGATCATTGCATTTTTTATTGAATTTATCTGAAGGGAAGATTATTTTGGAATACATTCGATATTTGAAATGCGATTTTGAAGTTATTTATGCGAGAACCTTGTTTATGCATTTAAATTGATAACTTGAGCTGTTTGTTGTTTATTGTTATTAGTGGCAACACTTTTCTCGATCTTTCATCGCACTCTGTTGGTTCAATAATAATGAAACTTGAATTTTTGCTCGACAAAGTTTATTCGATTTAACCCTTTTTTCGCAACATTTCTTGTTCTCAATTTTATTAGGTGCAAAACAGCTTTCCCATAATTGGCCTCAAAATGATGAAGGAAGCTCAACCGAGTATACAAGTTCCAATCATGGTGAATCTAATTACAAATTTTTGGAGCAACTTTTCCCATTCAAATCATCACCATTCTCATCTTGCTCATCTTTAACCTCACTTCTTACAACGATTATTAAGTTTTTTATCTTACTACTAGCAGCTGTATTAAATAACCAATTGATATACAGTTGTGTTACATGATAAAGGGAAGTTCAAGTGAAGGCAGAGGAAAAAAAAATTCAAGAGATAAAGAGAAAGAGAAAAAAATTGGAAGAAAAATGAAGATAAAAATTGAAGCAAGAAGATTGCAATGAAAAAGACAAAAGATGTTAAGTTAATGACAAAGAAACAAAAGTTGAGGTGAGAAGAGCATCGAGAAAGCTAAAGATGAAATTAATGCAAAAATATGTTAACATTATAATGATGGTGATGTTACAAGATAAAGGATGCAAATTGGGCGTTCATCAAGACAGGGAGTGAAAACTGGGAGTGAGACATTCTTTTTTTATACAGACATGTGTATTACATTTATAATCAAAATGAATCAGTTTCCATCTGATTAATAGTCGATATCATTTTTTGTCTTTTTTTCATCTTTATTTTTCTTCTTAACTTTCTCTCTCTCTCTCTTCTTGATGATAAACTTCCATTAAGGTTCATGCGAGATGAAAAAAATGAGCCTCATGATTGTGTATAATAGCAACATCTTTTTTGCCTTTTATTTCGTTTCTTTTTTTGGATAAATGTAATAACTTGACAATGATATAAATAACAATGAATAACAAGAAAACAAAACAAGAATCAAACGCTTTATTACTTCGTTAGGTCAACAAGGTTGAACATTTCGTTTACATCTGAACATGATATTAATTCAATGGATTCAATTTCTTTGGTCAAATTGAAAGCATAAAAAAGCAAAGTGACCAAAGAGCATAAATCAAATGGACGAAAAATGGTCACAATTTTTAATCTAATTTACACTTTGCAATGAAAAGGAAAACTCGAATTTTAAAAGCAAAATTTATCAATGTCAATGGATGGAATAAATTTGAGAAAATCAGAGATTCTGTTAAAATCGTGAAGCAAGCCATGAAATTGCAAGTAACTTTAAAAATGCAAAATGAAACAAAAGACAAAAATCGACTGAAAAACTCAGACTTATTGAGTAACAGTTGAGACTTTTTAATCTCAACACTGAAGTTTCTCAGATTTCCATGAATATTGAGTCTTTTGCATTTCCAATGAGACAATGAACTGAGTAAACTCTGTTAAATGAAAAGAATGCAATTTCTTGGAGAAGATGCGAATCAGTTTTCTTCTTGAATCCATTTCCTTAGTGAGTTGAATTTTAAAGATTTATCAAGATTCAGACAAATTGAGCATTCAGATTTAATGGACAATTAATTGAGTTTACATTTTTGTCCACAAATTCAAGGTAAGATTAATGAAATTCAAAATGAAACTTTGCATAACAAAATGAGATTTATTAGTTTTCCGCTTTTCTTTAAAATAGTTTTCCGCTTTTCTTTAAAACAATTTACTTTTTTCCTTTGCCAAGATTGAACAAGTTTTCATTTCAACATTAACATTACCGATTAATGTAATTCAAATGGAATCAGGTTAAACATTTTTTTTGCAAAACTTTTTTTCTCTACTTTTTTCTCTTTCTTTTCCATTCTCATTGAAAATGAAAATTGGACTTTGCAACTCAATTGGATGGTTCCCATGTTGATGTTTTGATTATCGTTATTAACTGCGCTCTTGTCTCTGCTTTCAATAAACATAATTTCATCTGGTAAAACACAAATTGAAAAGCAAGATCTGATATTGAATTAAATCAAGAGTTACTTTGCCGTCGATGATTCAATTTAGGTTTACTCTTTAGTTTACTTAACCAGTGCAAAAACATGTAACTCAAAAAGTTCACTTTTCCAGTCATTTTTCCTTCTTCTGTATTTGTGTTCATCTTCATCTTGCTTCCATCATTCAATTCATTTTCTTGGTGAATCTTTTTTGCCTTTTCTTCTTCTTCCTTCTTTGCTCTCAAATTAGGCAAAAGTAAAAGCTGCATCAAGTGTATCTTTAGGATTGAAGAGGGAAAAGTTGTTCATCAATGAGCAACCCAAAGTGAGGAGTTGAAGGAGAAACAGAAAGTTGAGTTACACTCTTTGAACCACACTTTTTCACTATCAACATGAACATTCTCAGAGGCCGATAAATTTTCATTAGTGAATCAACATTGTCATTGAAACAATCAATCTTTTACTGTAAAGAACTTTCATCGTCTTTGTCTGTCTCTTTGCCTTTCTAAATGGGTTAAACTAGACTAGGTTTAAGCGTACATAAATACATAGTTACAGGGGTGCAAGTGAATGAGGATAAAGAGAGATGATTGTGATGATGAGAATCAGGAGAAGAAGATGAGGAAAGAAGGAAAAGAATCTTTTGAATCTTTTTGTTTGTTTCCTTCAAACTTGTTCAACTTTTTTTTTCTCCTTGTTTTCTCACTCATTTTCATCAATGTTTACCAATTGTCTATCTTATGTGTTTATCTGTTTATCCCTTTGCAACAATCCATTGTCAGCCATGTTACTCTTTTTCATGCTCAACATAATCCAACAAACAAGCCTATCAATATTAACAACATGTTGTGACTAGTAGAGGGAAGAGACAGAAGAAGAGTAAAAACAAATGAATTGGTAAAAAGCAAGGAATGAACTGGGGATGATGCAGAGAATGAAAGTGAAATGTTGATACAGAATTCTCAATGAGTTGCAATCTATCTGAGTTCATATTTTACATTTTGTCTTCATGAACAAAATTCTTTCAATGATTGAATGAAAATTTGAATACAATTTTATTGATGAACTGTATTCATGACAAGTAATGATAGGCTTGATTAGAGTTGATTTGATCCTAATAAACATTTTACTAAACTACAAAGCTTTATGGCTTACCAAGAGATTGGTAAGTAAAAAGTTAATGGCTTGAATAAGTTTCAATAGCTCAACAGCAAGGTTGACTCAAAGTGTAACTGATTAGGGTTTGAGTGAAAGTTTAAAGAGTCTCATCGTATTATTTTGCATCATTGTTGTGACAAGAAAGCGATTAAAGCATGACAAATAATTATAGCCTTGAAGTTAGGTTAGGTTTGGTTAGGTTAGGATAAACTGGTTTGACCAAAAACAAAAGGTAAGTCGTATTTATGTGGCATGCCCAATTACTCTTATTTTAGGTATTCCTAAAAAATAAAATCACCCTACAGAATACAGACAGAATATTCTACAGAATTAGTAGTGAACTGTGCTTTTTGAAGCATTTTTGGATGCTGGGACAGGAGCACTTAAGTGCACTTTCTGGATTAAACTATCGAAATTTAATGATTGAATTGCATGTTGTGACAAACTAATGGTAAGATAAAGCAATTGGAATGAATGGACTCCGATCATCACAAATTGAATCATCTGGAATGCCGTAAGGTATTTATTCCACCAAAGATACATGTTGATGTGTGGACCGATTGCTGTTAATCCCTAATATGTGCACATCATTATGTGAACGATACTATTAAAGAAACCAAAAAAGTTGCATATCCACCTGTCAAGAAAAAATGAAACTTAATAGGAGATGATGCCTACGCTTGGCCAACTTGTCCACTCTAGGCCAGCCATTTTCAGTTTCTATTGTCCTATGATTCAAGGTTTGAGACGATTATTAGCGTGGTTTGAGCGAAAGACTGGCGAAGGGGCAACTTGCGTTAGCGAATTGTTAACAACACGCGGCAATACATCGCATTATACGAAAAGAATAAGGCTCAAATTTTGAAGGTATCAAACAATTACTGAATGAAACTAAAAGGAAGTGGTAAACCTGGGTGGTGAGCTGGAAGAAAGGCTCGGAAAAGCCATTTTCAATCTCGCTCAAAAGTTAAAGAACTAACATTGAGATTTTTTAATAATACGAAAATCGCAATCTATAATATATGAATAATAATATATATACGGTGGGGAGAAACTTTCTACGCAGTTGACGCAATAATAAGCACCAACATGCATTAGAAGGCGGAGCTGAAATGCCTAGAAACTGTCTCCTCACCCTGTCAATGTCCATGATTTTTGCGATGGATTTGAATTTTCCTCGTTTTTTCTTGATTCAAAGCCATATGTTGATTGGTTTATTTGATTCCACGTTTAAGTCAAACTTCCTGAAAAATGAACGAAAACTCGATTGTAATATATTCTTGCAACAACCGATTATACGAGATGAAACTCTATTGATGATTTAATCAAAATAATCATTGGTTTCAATTAAAAATTCATCAACCAACAGTTTTCGGAGACTAATCAAGGATTGGAACTGAATCAAAATGAAAACAAAGTTTCAAGCTGATTATTTATTTATTCAAACAAAAAAAGATTTGTTTTTTGCTTTCTTCATAAACCCTTATAATTACAATGCATAAATGTATAATGAAGTTGCCTGAAATTTGAACGAAACTTGCCAGTGCTAAAGGTGCGATAAATCGAGCGCATAATAAATGAGCTGCAACCATGAACAGGGTAAAGTGAAAAGATTAACTTTGATAAAATTTGCTGAAAATGTTTAATTTTAGTTAATTAAAAATATGCAATTGCTTGTTGCCAGGAAAAATGTTGATGTTTATTTAAAATGTTACATTAATGATATGAAAGTGTTGAGGAAACTGATGAAGAGTGGAAACGAAAAGAGTTTTAGTTTCATATTAAGATTGAGATTGACAAAGTTTACACTTTTATAAACAGCTTTAAAGGAAAGAAAGTAAAAACAAAAGTAGAATTATCAGGGAAAAGCTAAAACCAGGGAATTCAGTTGAAACTAATGTTTCCCTGAAAAAACATTTAGAATCAAAGGAACTTTATTTTAACTCGACTCCACAATTGAAACATGCCTTGAAGCCAAAAGTGTATCAGATGATGATTTAAACAACGTAACGTTCATTTCTTGCTTTTGTTTTGCACCATAAAACTGAATGAGATAAAGCAAGAAAAGCTGAGGAAAAAAAGTTCAAGAAAAATTTGTTCAAGAAAGATTATATTTGCTTTTTCTTCACTTTACTATTTACTATTAAAGCTGACGAACAAGGTTCAGTCTATTGGAAGGTCAAAAGTTTTTTTCATTGCTTTTACGCTTTCCATTTGTAATCATCAATCGTCAAATATTTGACGAAGATGAATACAGAGAAGAAAAAAATTTCATCTTCTTTCAACTCTTTTTACGATAAAATTATCATTACCATTGTTATTATCATTATCGTCATCATTATCATCATTAGTACAATAAGAGTCGAAAATTATGGAATAACTTTTTTTTCGACTTTCAACTGGAATCCCTCAAGGCATGAAAAAAGCAGAAAGAAATGAAGTTTATCATTAATAAAGTGAACCCAGAATTCATGAAATTATTCATCAAATTTGTGAGATGCAAAACTTTGGATTGAACGAAAAGAAAAGAGTTGAACCTTCCATGTTAGAACTTTTCATGAAATTAAATAAAGGAATAGAAAATTTCCATCGAAAGGAAACAGAAAATAATCGATTGATAAATAGAGAACAAAGTTTTCGAATTTTATTGTCGAGAATTTGTAACTTTTAAACACTTTTCACTTTGTTTTTGGAAAATTTTTATTCTTTTTGACTTTCTTTGAAAATCGAAAAAATAATTTCCATGAAATTCTGAAGAAGATTGAGAAAATTCCAAGTCTGGAAAGTCTTCGGAATTCGTTAGCGAACGAAATTGCAACGAAATTGTATTTTCTATTGATG